GCTTAACACTGTCCTCGTAAGCTAGTCTAGTTTGGTATAAATCAGGCTTGGTGCGGATGTCTTTTTCAGATACACGTGATCTGTGGTGACTGGCTATTATTGGGTGAACATATTTCATTATATGTGGACGGGAAATGGAATAGTCCTCAGAGCTGGTGAGCACATAGCCACGGTTCTGTGGAAGATTGCCGAAATATGCTGACGCCTTCGCCGAAAATGTTTCATTCTTTGATAACTTTTAAAGTGTACAGGCGTGACCGATGTATGGTTCCAGCTAACAACTGAATGAAAGGCTCTGATTTCAATGGATTGCAAGGTGTCTCTCTTGACGGTTGTACAGTTTGAAGGATAAATGTGGGCTGAAGCCCCACCAAGTTGCCCATTCTGAGCCAAACCATTAAAGAAAAAATCAGGTTCGGATCAAAGCAATCTCGGTCATTTTCTCAATTTTCAACCTATGAGTTAGAAAGTATGGACTATGCCAGGCGAAAAGACGGGACGCCAAATATGCACGTCATCCAAACATCAACGCACCCAGCAAACAGGATTTGCGACCTTAACTTACTCCCATGAAACAATACTGTCTTCAGCATAGCAGGAGTTTACATCACATATATAATTAAGACTAAAAAAGCCCTAACGAACTTATTTTTATTTAGTTCCCACCGTCGTGACGAATGAAGGTACGTTCAGGTTTTGTGTGGGGGAAGAATCTCGGTGATTATTCACAGACTAATAACACCTACCCCTCATTTTGGTGAATTCTAACGTGTAAAATAAACGTTCAGCATTTGAACAAAATAGTTTCCTTGTCTAGAACATTACACAATAAAACTTCTCAAACTTCTAATTCGGACGGGCATCAAGATGAAACTCAACTGGTCAATTTCTCACCTCTAAACACCAGTTCAGTGCGTTTTGAAGTACCTAGCTTAAACAGTGTTAGCAATGACTTCTAGCTTTCTATTTCACCTCGTACCAAGTCCCTATCGTGGTGCGGAACACGAATGGTGGTCAGTGACAGGAACGGTCAAAAGACGAGTAGTAGTAGGCAGAACACTGATTCTACTCAGTGTGGACGACTGGCAAATAAGGGGAGTGGTGAGAACCCATCACACCTGGGTAGGATGGCGACGAGAGCATCAAAAGAATGCTCGGATGCTATTCAGAAAGGGGAATTGACATTGGTCGGAGCACCAATTTAATTATCTCTCTTGAGCAGAACAATGGTTCAACGCATAAGGCACTTAACCGGATTTTCTTTGTTGACGTCAAAAAGAAAGTTCAAGTACACCTGGCGTGAATGAAGACACTTCTGTCTCCGTTCCCAGGCAAATTTTCGTTTAGGTGGTGGGTTGCCTGGACTTTCTATCTCAAGATCTGCCAAGTCCCCCTTCTTTTAAATAATTAACATTAAAAGTTACCTTTTGCACACACGAAAATATTTACTCCGAAATGCTGACCTATGCCAAATGTTTAATGTGTACTTCTTTTAATTTTTACACAACGTAATCGTACTACAGAGCTTTACCTGAGATTCGGTGAGTATTTTCTAACCTAGCTTGTTTGCATTGTGGGGTTTAAATCAATTCAACAAGCAATTCAAAACTGTGGATATCTATTTTGTTCACTGATATACGTTAGCTTCGACCGCTTTTGCAGGCTCAACGGCCTCGCTCAATATACTTGCAGTGCAGTAGCGCGCATTGCCATGAACCTTTGCATCACGCACTTCACTTTAGTTCAGCAGTTCCGACTTCATTTCTGAGGCTGCCTAGAGGAACCAGGTTATTGAACATGGTCATTTTAGAGAACATTGGGTGTTTTCCAGTTTACACTACTTTTAGCATCAGAAAGGCATTCCTTTCTGTCTCACATGTCCTATGTAATTGGGGTTTCAAGGTTAAGTAACTAAGCAGCTGAGATATAACTATCTGAAGTGCCTTCAGGTCATTAGTCGGTCCCAAAGCTGAAGTCAGTTGACATCCCCGAGGTAAATATAGAACGAAGTCTGTTAGGTATCAAGTGCTTTTCTCATGGAATGCATACCGTACAAGCCGAAATGGTTCGTTACTTCGCTAGAGATACCGTGTTACCGTCTATTAGGAACACTGTGGTGGATAAATTTCAACGTGCGAGATGAGGAGAAGCATGGGTGCTTTTTGTCTTCTAGAATGAAACACACATGATTCTGAGTTCAGCTTGAGCCAAATGGCAGCTAATCAACATCAGTTGTCTTGATGCTGTCATTTTAGATCCTCGTGATGGTATAGACATTGCAGGTGCTTTTAGCAGGTCAGCACTGACTACTCATACTTTTTCTAAAGTGTTTATCTTTTCATTACATGGATCAGCCTGACAAACTCTGACACGATTGTACGGCAGTTAAGCTTCATTTTTCTCAAGCTGATGTTGCCTTCAATGATGATGGTGATAGGGAGGAAGACGACACTGCCACATGCAAAAAGGTGGAAACAATAATCTCAAACGATACGTGCACTGCGTTTGTGAACTTGGTAAACTGACAGAGTTAATCTCTGTATGCCATACTGACCTGAACCAACCGTAACTGTGGACTCATTTCGCCATTATCTTTTTTCCCACAGAGATCACGCTAAACTCATTTCTTTCCACCCGCCTCGGTGCCATCACTCATCTCACAACAGAGGCCAAACAAATGACGCTCGATTTAGCCAATCTGGATAAACAAATTCGCAATGTAAGTCGTGGAAGAGTGGGGACTACATAACTATGCCAGCAACATGGAGGATATTCTAGAACAGGTAACATGAAAACTTCGAGTTTCTATTTTCAGACTGGTCTGCGTTAGGCACCACCAAGTCAACGAGTAGTCAACTTCCATATTTCATTAGCTTGAGATAAATTGTTGGAGCCACCACACGCTTTTACCATTTCACAATTTTTCGGCTAGAAAGTTCCAACCGAAATCTTCATAGCTTGGCTGAGTTCGGTTGGTTGTGAAGGTTTTTCCACGGTGTGGATGACAACATCAGTGTGCAGCTGATGAACGCAAGGTTATTGTGCCTGGTGATCACACCACGTCATGATCTTGGTTCATCTAAGGGGTTATTCTCTAGTGATCCTGTCTTGATCACAGCAACGCAACTTTTGTATGTAATCTTGGGCGGTTGACAATTCTGTCTGTTCCTCTCAGTTTCAACCACACTAATGTCATGGAACAATGTGTTTCACATGGTCATAATGTTGTTGTTTTGACATAAAATGTCTTTGCATTCTTTTGGTGTACAATCTAGCCAACATATCGTTTAGATTTGCATTCATAGTTTATTCCAACCCTATCTAGTGTATATTTTCACGTTGATCTGTGGTATTCCTTTTCATTTATTTTGACAGTCCTGGTGTCCTTCACCATACCTCGATGGACGACGCGAGTTTGGGCATCATTCCGATAGTTGTCTGGCCCTTCAATACGGCCATAGTGATTTGTATTAATCTCACCCTCGTTTTAATACAATTCTGCAAGTTGTTTGTCTTTCTGCGTTTTTACTGACAACAAGGTTTGTGTCGTATACACCGTGGTGTTGGAAGAAGAATTAGCTGTTCATCACCTATCACTCCAATAACAACCGAGTATACATTGTGGGGTGTCAACCAAGATACAAACGGCACTTACAAAAAAATGAATAACAAATAAATGTATTTTCCTGTGATTCACCCATATTTGTGTGCATTTGAGATACGTGCGCATGAATCTCTTCTGAGCGGAACGCTGCTCATTCGGGGCCTTCCCCGAGAGTGCTGCAGCGAGGTATACTATTTACCAAACAACGTGAAAATGTAGCACAACAAAAAGGACTACCATTAATGTGAGTTGCTTGTTGCATGTCCAGGTAATATCTGAGCCGACTGCGGTCGACTTCTAAATTATTCACGTCAGCCATTGTGTGCACTTACGATTCTGAGGGCACAACATGCGAGGTTCGTTGTGTGTTTCAATAAGTCACCCCGAATCAGGACCTTTCAACCTCCTGACCATTGGTTAGAGGTGCACAAACGGTGGAATGCCACATCAGGAGGTCGCATGTTTGACATGGTAATTTGGCATTAGCAGACAGCTTTTTCAACCAAGAACAGTATGACATTTAGCACGTGTCCGTCATATTTGATCATTCATATCATTCGTGATACATACACGGCGATGCGCCATGAAGGCTCCCAGTTACTTGGGTTGGAAGGCGGTAGCTAAAAATCCACATTAACTTTCTTGTAAAGGTCACACCAACCCTTCAATCAAGGCCTCAGCAAATAATCTGACCACATTTTGTTTCGAACGATGTTCTCAGCAGTAACGGTTTAAAAAAATTCTGGGTGAATCTGGAAGAAATGGTGTATGTTCGCGTTGACGATTCAACTGGTGACTTACTGTTAAGTCATAAGGAAAGAAGTATGAAGTATGAAGGAATGGCACTGTCGATCTGGAACAATTCGGTAGGGATTAGGTAACAGGAGCCCAGGGGACTAGCACGATCGAACCTATGTATATCCTGGCTGACTCATCCGCTGCATATCTACCAAGAGCAGAACCAGCCTGTGCTGATGACAGCTGAAAAATGTACCGTCCGGTTGCGCAACCTACTGTTGGCAGTTATGCGCCCTATCCTTACCATAGCCTCAAAGTGGTCACCTACAGATTCTGGGGGCGGGGCGAGGCCATTGAGGTATGAGCGTATCCAAATCCATCAAGAGAACTAATGTTCAATTTGCTCAAAGTTGGGACGTAACCCAACTAGTTAGGCAACAATAAGCAATTGATGTCTTTCTCCAATTACCACTTGAGTAACTGGACTTCCCTATGACCATCTGTAGCTCTGAAATGTACGCATGTTTGGGACGAAAGAGACTGACAACTGGTTTCAACGATCCAAACGAAAATGACCACTTTCACCCATGAATATGGTTATCCCTTGTTCACCACGCAGTGACTTTTCGATTTAGGAGATAAAAGCAGAAGGTGAGAGCTGGAATGTGATATTAATTTTTCAAAAAGAACTATCGATGAGGCTACAAAGCAAAGCGAGTTATTCGAAATTCTAATTTTGTACTGCAATCTAAATCTACTCCTGCATAGTGATGTGTTCACCAGACAGATGATGTGTGGCACACGCCTTCCAAAAGACCGGGAATATTAGCTGGGAAGCGCAAGGTGGCCACGTCGAGGTTGGTTCGCAAACGAATATCCCGGAAGCAGCCCACGAACGGTCTTCCAGGAGTGCTATGTAACTTCGGTCCGAGTAACTTTGGTTTGATTACTAAGAATGGAGGAATACAGATATAAGATGAATATGCATATTCAAGATTATATATATATATATATATATAAACATATATACATACAAATTAGTAGTCGTCCATGCCAAAAGCCACATCAAGATTATTATATGTATATATATATAAACATATATACATACAAATTAGTAGTCGTCCATGCCAAAAGCCACACATAACATGCAAAGAGAGGGACAAAATTTCTCTTTTGAGCCACTAATGGCTAATGTAAATCTCTAGGATGTTTCAGTTAGTTCAGAAGCCTACTATTTGTGATGAGGGAAACTTATCTTTCTGTTGCAGCTGCTACAAACCAAGAGGTATCGTTGCATCTCAGATTGGATCACTCCTAATTACGTTCCAAGCTTCTTGTGGCGCATAGTATTTACCTGAAATTGGATTCGATGTAGAGTTAACTGTGATGCACGGACATACTCGCTGGTGCGCACCAGGCGCTAAATGTTTGCTTGTAAGATAACTGCATGATGATCCCACTAGCAAGCACGGTTTTATCGTAAACCAGGCTGTTTGCTCTGTTGGCGTATACGCGTACATGGCTGGGAATCCTCAGTTTCTTCAGGAGCCCCTGTGCCTGCCGTCAACACCACGTGAAATACCTGAGTAAAATTCATAAGAACAAGTAAACTGTTACGAACACTTACCAGCTCTATAGAACTCTAAAGCCCACACAGGCTACTTCCAATTGAACACCACTCGAAAAAGGTCGGTTTTATTTGGTCTCCCTCCAGAGGACGCTACTTCTGGCAGATAACTCTAAGTTGCTGCAACAGTGGGATTAAGTTACTAGAAGTTGCCATGGCTACCTGGAGTGTTCTTTCCCTGTGCCTTTTTACTACGATATAAATATGGTAGGTTTGAGTTGTGGAAGAATTATTATAAATGCTCCGTGAAACACACAGTGACGATCGTTAATTTGCCACTTGAAATCTGGCGGTTAAATGTTCCTCCAATTTATCTCTTGGCCCACACCTTATGTCTGTCCGTCTCACGTAATTTTATAGTTAAAAGCGATGTGAACTCAGGACAATCATGTTGTGAATGCATTCTGTGATGTTCTAAACGCCCAGCGATTTTTAAGTATTGATGAACTCAAGAACGATGGCTGTTCACTGAAATCCGGACGACAGCCTCACAGTTTCTGCACGATATCTTGGCTTTACTAGGCAAAATAGGTCGCAAACAATACTCCTGCCCCATTGAAAAATTCGAATACACAAAACAAATTCTGTTGCGTTAGTGACCTCAACGTTTTTCCCCTGGTATCCAGAGCAGAGTAGTTCATCTTTCTCCATAGTCACGCAAAAAGATTCAGCAATTCTATAGACGGAATCGTAAGAGGAATGAATCGAGTGAATCACTATCTTACCTTTGATTAAATGTTTTCATGGGCAAAAAAGTATTCACTCGAAAACGTTCGTACGTTAACATTGACTCTAGAATAATTATGAGCAAATACAGCATCACGCCATCGATCGCCACAGATCTAACCGACGCAGAACACGGAGTTGTATAACATTCATTGTTCTATGTCGTAGGACGATACAAACGGCCATTTTAACTGATGTTACTTGAAGCACTATCGGATGATTACTTTAAGCCTCTCCTAAGGGGCACTCTTAAATAGCATTGGTTTTTGGATGGCTTTCAGACTAGTATTTGGTATAAAATGGAAAGTTCGGTGTCCCTTACATCGCTTTGCCCACCAAGAATACAAAAGGATGTACCCACAGAATTCGTCCTGTGGGTTTCTCGTCTCCAATGCCGACCAGAGGAGCATATTGTTTTAGTAAGTTCACTTGCGCCGCAGTACTCATCCTCTGAAGACACCCCCGTCATAACCCAGGAGGCTCCACTAATCACCGTTCTACTTCACAAAAGGGAACCCCAAAACGAAGCTGTTCCGACTCATCGATTTGAATTTATTGTTGGATTATCTTTTCAATCCAGTCATTTGTGTGCACATGCGATTCATAAGGTAGCTGCATCAGTCAACTGTTCTTAACAGGATTTGACTAGATTTGGCTGATAATTTACTCTCAAATGAACCAACAGCGCCATGAGGTAGAATATGTCCAATTACAATACCGACCAAAGGATGGGATGGGTGACGCATCGTAAATTGTTTATGATAAAGGTAACAATACTGACCATCGTTTTAGTTCTTAAACAGTGGTAAACAGTTTTATTGGATGGCTTTTAGTTGAGTTTAATGTGACAGGAGCTAACTGTGCTTATAGTGGATTAGCATGTTGCGCCAGTTTTGCATCGAATAGGGGTATTCGATAGTGTTGAATATCAGAGGCGAAATTAAGATACTCGGTTCCACTCAGATTAATCTTGTTTGAGAAACCCAGATACAAATAACATTTCGTCACTCCTGGTATGGAAGCGTGCGATGAGATTCTTTTTGGTCAATCTCCTATCTTGAAGATAATAGGCAACCTCCAGATGGTTTTAAACCGTATCGTTCTAAACAGCGTACTGATGGTACATAATACCTCATTAAAAGGACCATCATCCAAGCACTGCCACAGGGATGGAAGTTTTTCACATTATGAACAGTTGTTAGATAAGAATCTCCCTTACATAGGTTTTCTTCTAGCATGTCAGACGTCTGGGGTTCAAACCCCGAAATGATACAGGGTATGCACTACTGATGAGCCCAATTAGGAGTTAAAATCGAGTCTAATGTTCCTCTTTGGTGTGAACTTACTGGGAAGATCATACCAGGACAGGATGAGGACTGTTCAAACGGGAGTGGCATGAATGTGAAAAGCGATCACTTTGTGGGAACTGCTCTGTTATATTCCATCTTCGCTATTAGCAATCTGTTCTATGTATAATATATGGAAATAAGCTGAGATCCAGACTGTCAAGAAAAGTCTTTCAAGGTAGACGCATTTCATCAACAGTGCTTGTGACGTAACAGGTTATTGACTAAACTGTGTCCACTGTATGGGGTATTTTTATCGTTTCGTCTTCTTATTGAGCTCAAAACATCTCAGTCATTAAGGCGCGAAATTACTTGCTGGAAAATTCGTGGCACTAACTCTACCCCGCCAACTAAACTTCTCTAGACTACACTTGGGCTTTCATCGTGTAGCATGAAGGCTATAAGCATAAAGGCTGTCACAGATGAAAGATTGATGAGTATTATCTATTCATATTCATGTGACATATTCGGTTACAGTTTCCCTCCTTGTGAGGAACACCGTTGAGGAGCAGTTTTATTGTTTCTTAGTTTGGGATATTGCTTTGTTAAAATTGAGGCCCAAAATAGACCAGTAATAAAGAAGGATTTGTTAATATGCATCTGGAAGTTGACTGCTTTAGATGTATTGAATGCATTGAATGCACTGAATGTATCGTAATTGTTTAACGACACATCTTGTGTAAAGTAAGTCCCTAATGCAGATTTCTGTCATTCGGAACTAGGCGTTTTGTTGCTAAAGCAAACAGCATCTTAGTATGCATAGTTTTCTGGATATCCTCTTTACTCCTTGATTGTTTCAAATCGGACGGTGGCTTGAAAGTTAGCCAAGGGATCACAGTAACTAAGATTAAAAATAATCGTCCGGCTTCAGTACGGTCTCGATGCATAGCTACCATGCCAGCTGAAGGAAGCGTTAGGGCTAAGATCCTGTCAGACTAACCAGACTTAGGCAGGAGCAGTTGTGATGCCGAGGTTGGATTGTAGCCATGTACCCTTCAACCAGTATGTCTGGGTCTTGATAGCTGAGTTACCTCGAGCCTAGTTTACGGTAAAGGTATAGTTGCACACCAGACAGCTCACCACAGACTATCATGATCTTCCCGAAGCGCTCCTGTAATATTGTAATTTTCATTCCCATGAACCTGTGTTCCAACGCGTTCTATAAGTTTCACAGGTTTCGCTGTATAGACACTCCACTTTAGGTAGGCCAAACAACCATTTGTGGTAAGTGTAAGATTTCCTAAAATAACAGACCGAATGCTTTGCTAAAAACTACTCTAGCTTTATTGGTTATAATTTCTGTGCCAAAAGGTGCGGTTTTGTCAGGTAATCGAATAGACACGGAGGACCGACAGAAACCGCGTGTCAGTAAACTTACCCATGTCCTGACCGAAATAGATTGCCTTCAGATTACGCATCGGTTGCAACATCATCAGTGGCAGGCTTTGTTCACCCTTTGACCTGAGCAAGAACACCTTGGTAGGTCCCAGGAATAACATTTCAAGCTTGATGAAATGCCATGTGTTCCGTGAACGTGGCAGATTGGGTAGCGTCACCGAATGTCCTTGATCTTGTGGCTCCTCGTCACTTGGGCTGGCTACCATCTTAACCTATGGGATGGTTACAGATGGAACGTTAACAGTGGGCACGGAAGCAGGGATATCGACTAGTGAGAATAGGGGTTTTGGAAAAGTTGAAGTTGTCACACACGGTCTTAGTTGATGCCTAACGGAAAAGCATAAGCACTTTACCTTGAACGAATCCTGATTTGATTCATACCACAACGAGATTTTCTTTGCTCCGGAGACAAGTGTTTTCGGTTCACTGTCCGTTGATTGAGTGACTCGAACCTATTTTCACAATATATCTTTGTTGTTGGAGCCATAAATCTTTCATCGAATCCACATGAATGGGACATTTTACATTATGGCCAAAGCGCAAGCTTTAAATAATTATAAGGTAGAGGTGATTGACTCCTGAAAAAAAGCTGTCACATTTCTTGTCCTGATGGAGACAAACCAGATGGATGATGAAGCGTTCGTTAGTCTGACGTTTAGGTTCAACTTTCACATTGTTGGTCACACAACCCTCACCAGTTTATTATATGTAGAAAAAAGTTTAAATCGAAATCTCATCATGCAAATGTGGGGCTGTTTGGGTAGAAAGCCGCAAAAGTACTTCACAGTTGCATTATCCATGTTAGGAATCGCCACCAGTGTATGTATAACCGACGACATCCCGGCTAGGAGTTGAAAACTATGCCATTCACTGTCGGATTTTTGGCGGAATTTTATACATACATAATTGGTGAAATCGTAAGAACTCGGCCCGAAGCTGAATGTGGCGCTAACTGCAAGTCGCTGATATCGATGTTACTCGAGTGAGTAAGGTCGTTGGACAAAGACTATATATATATATATATATATACGGTGCTTTCTGACAATCCAGCTTTCTACGGGTCCGCAGATAAATAACACGATACAGCTCGCTCCTTTGGAGGCCACTGTAACCTTGTCGACGCTACCAACAATGTCCTGTGTGAGAACCAATTTGGACGCGAGTGCCGAAATACACTTATTTTCGAATTCCTCTGGTGTTAACGGATGATTCGAGTGAATATCTCCTTAATAGTATCCATCAATTGAAGATGTGGCACAAAGGACACCCTTATGTTTCAGCTGGCCCGACGTTTGAGATAATGAAGTACACTTTCGTGGTATGAGACACCACGTGTAAGTTTACTGACGGTTCTATCACAGCCCACTACCAGTTTCGTCCTCCTTGGGGTTCACTAAATAGGCTCAATCTTCCTTGATTCCCTAGTTAAGGCCGAAGAACATTGTAAGTTATTCACTGGAAGATTACATGCACTGCACTTTCACTGCTACCTATCTGGGTATGCACGAACGAGTCTCACATAATTATCTATGGGGTTTAATATGAAATGCTGGTTTCACACTCATGGTTCCATGAATAATTCCGTCATCGTTGACTTCTCATTAATAAAGTATGTGAGCATCACTTGAAAACCAATCCAGGAAACTGTGAAAAATTTTAAAGCACATACTTCATTGTTGGTCAGGTAGATCCAAACACGATGTTCCACGCTAAGGTCTTCATTGTCACTGAATACAAGCATAAACAGGCTGTTGATTATGGATTCCTGTCGGTCGTAGAAGAAACTGAAGTCAAAAGTTAACTTTTCCAGATCGGGATCTTGGAATACTGTGGGCACTGGGGAGAGAAATCGAGAAGATACAACATGCGAACGTAAAGTGGCTGTTGTTCTGTATGGGGAAAAGAATAGCCATAGGGAGCCCTCAGGATAAAATGGGGAAGGAACCTCACCGAACCAGTTCTACGCAATGTCTTGAGTGTGTCTTGAGGCCTTAATATAATGCAATTAAACCAACTTACCCTAGGCCAGCTCACGCAAGTGTTGGCTATTGATGGAGACATGGGAATTAGAATAAGAGTACCAAAACACCAGCTAGCTGCCATCAAATGGCAGATAAAATTTACGATTCTTCACAATATATGATTGCTTGAAATTGCGTACTTTGAGTCCCAAAATGACTGGAGTTCGTTCGCTACAGGTGCACCGACCTTGTTTGCCAAGGTTTGTTCAAACTTCTCAATGTTCGATAATATAGAGTTTAAACCTCAACCTAATGGTGCATGAAGTTCAAAGGGGATAGAGATGGTAAAGAATTTCTTCACTGGTTTCATGGTTATTAATCAACCTGGGTTTTCTATGTTATGGACCTGTATCAGAAACACCATGGCACTAATCAAGCAAAGTATCCTAGCCTAAAGCACTTCACCGTTGTGCTAGTGGTCAGCCAGACCCTATTTTTGTGTTGTTGGATTTGTGAAGTTTGGTTTGAGTGGCGTCGATTACTTGCTCATGGTTCTATTGAAAGAACCCTCACCATCACTTATCAACCTATTGCAAATGTGCACTGTTTGAGTTTCGGTATTAGGTAGAAAGTGACGGTAGAAATGAATTCAAACAAGCTAACCACCATCACCACAGACTGGTTGGTGACTAGACTGCCTACAACGCCCACAGTCCAGCACATCGAACGAAGCAGGGGTTAGGCGTCCCAATAAAGTTACGCCCTAATCCGTAAAAGTACTAACCAAAAGCTGACAGGAAAGCACGTTCGCGTAACTATGTGATTAGTATGAATTCTAAACCAAGGACTTATTCCTTCACTGAACGACGCTTTTGGTGATTTTGAATAACCCTTTAATTCGTGGACGATTTCTCCGATTAATATCTAATGAGCCAATCCTCAAATGCTCAGAAACACCACATCAATATTATTCTCAGTTGGTATCATCACCAGATATATGTATTTGGTAACTCATGCAGTGAACCTGAATCCACAACACTGCGTTTGGGGGAAACAAGCTATACTTCAGAGGTAAATGAGTCCCTATAAAAGAAACAATGTATTTCACTACAGAAGGAACTGTATTGATTTGAAACCAGCGCAGTACTTACAGGTCAGAGGGATCAAGTTCTTTTCCAAGTACTTATCCAAAGTTGCTGGCACGTGATAAATGTTTGGATCCAGGCTGAAGCAATCATAGCATGGTGGACGACCGCTAAGCGTAGGAGGCAATTCTACACCGTTGATAATCACTTCATCCACACATCCGAAAAGTCCACTGACTCGTTCCTTGAATAGGTAGGTAGATTAACATTTTTTAACCATTTCGTGGATATAAATAGTTCAAAGTGTTTCTCATAAAACGGAGTAGACTGTATAGCACCGAATAAACTGGCACGTTCAAGCTGATGGTATGCCACAGTGTATTGCTTCACACTCAGGTAAAAGATATTCTAACCATTACTGTCTCTTTTCTGTTGAATATAACATGTTTGGTCGAATAAAATGAGTGCTGCGCCACTGACTTTATGATCAGTTTGTGAGTTGGATCATAGAGCGAGGCCGTGTCTACTGTCTACTCGTTTGTTGTGGGCCAGTCAACTACTTTCTTGTCAGGTCATGGTGAAAACGAACCGGTGGGGATGCAAGTATATAAAACGCTGTAACTTCGTTCACTCGTCCGCAAAAACACCATTGAGAAAGGCAAAAATGGCCTGTACTTGAGGGGTAAATCTGTTTACGATCCGAGCAATCATTTTTGTTTCATCTGTTATGTCTTCAGGAGATTTTGCTTTCCATTCTACCACGATGAAGTAAATACGCTTTTATACTGCTTGAAGGATAGAGAAAACTCCAGAATAATACGTTGCGCGTTTGGCCCTTTTCGCACCCGTACCATTGGCTTTGTTTCCAATAATGTATCAAGCCTATTTTATACCAAGAGAGATATATTAAAATTTAGACAGTCATTTGAAAACGTGCATATGATTCACCGCCACATTTGTACAATTTGGCATTCAAGCCGTAAACTAATGTGACCAACGGCAATCTATAAGGATTTCATCAATCTCATAGGTGGTGTTCTATCACAAGTATTTGAATATCATGTTTTATCTTCGTAAGTAAAACATGACAGCATTTGTACAGCACAATCACTTGAAGAATAGAACAAACGAGAGGTTCAGCTGACACTCAGCCAGGTCTCACGTGACCATCAACCCAGTTTGCCAGCGAGTGTTCTAATCCTCGTGAAAATTATCATTCTCTTACTGCTTCAAAAGACAAGTTTGGATTAGTCGTAGGTGGTTGCGAGACTGTATAATTCAGACTGACATTTTATGTTGGGAACCCGGCATCCGAAGCGTATAGATGCATTTTTAATTTACTGGACGAGTGCGGTGTGCAGTTCACCCTTTGGCCGCCAATCCATCTAGAAAAAACACAGAAAATAAACCTAGATGGTGAGTACACCTGACAGAAACCATGAGGTCACTGGCGAAAAACAACTTACAATGTTATCATTTGGTGACAGGTTCGGTCTCCATGCGCTGGGCAAGCCACCAATATAGACTAGAAGTGGTAGTCCGTCTGATATGAGCCGAGGTAGCCAAAGATGCCGACCATCAAACACAATCTGCAAACGAGGGGTATGGATAAAGTGACTTTATATTCATTCACAGGTTTAGCGAAAGCGAAACCACTTTACATTCTTTTCGCATTAACTACCGACACCAGTTGCTGTCATCCTAGGAATGGCCTAAAACAATCAAGAGACAACCGAGTATTTCAATCCAGCGTTGACCCAATCGGACAATCTGGCTACTCATGCGCAACCAGGTTGATTATCTTTCCAAAGAATCAACGAATTACCAAATTTGGTTTAAGCTGTAGGTCTTTGATCTAGTCTGATCACAAAAACTTCAGCTACATGAGGCCATATTTATTTTTCGAGACGTATTAAGTACGTGTACGCCAGACCAACTTTCTACCGGTCAGATCCTCTATTCATTTAAAATTCCCCAGGAGTTTTGTAAGCCGCCTCAAGTAAATTCTCATTAATCACAAATTTTCAATTGAGGTTTCGGCCTGTCAGTGGGACCCATCAGTGCTGAAAAGCCGAAAAGAATTGTACAGCTGTTTCATCCACATTTGGAATCATCAACACTGCGGATCACATGAAACTCAAAAAGTTTCGAACTCGCGGCTTTCCGGTTGGTGTTTGAACACTTTGATGGATTGGCCACAAGCGGCTGAGCAGCAGTGTAATAAGCTCTCACTCTCGCTCAACCGCCTTAACTGGCTGTATCCTGTCTGGGTGAGAGCTAATCAAACTGCTTTCAACCGCTTGTGAGCAAACGGTCAATGATCGGAAGGTCGCGGATTGGAACTCCCTGAGTCTCGTGGGATAACGACTATCAATGATTCCAAAAGAAAAAGCTGTGAATTTCTTCTCAGCTTCTCAGCATTGATTGGCCTTACTGACAGGATAAAATCTCAATTGAAAACTACCAATTCTCCTCACACTACCAGGAATCGCATTATGTTTCAATGTAAGTCCAAGGAAGCCCCAATGTCAGATTAAGAGTCTTCCTAGGAAGAAGAGATCACAAAGCTTTGTATTTTGTGCTCAAGATTGAAGAGAACACATTGAGATTCTGTCGAGTACTCTGGGACTTTACCAAAATATCTTACAAAACATGCCAGGACCTCCTAACTAGAAAGGGGCCTACTCATTCTTTCTCGTGGGTAGGTAGCTCACAGTAAAGTGCAGCGAACTTGAGAAAATTACATACTAATCAGACCTATACAGAGCCGGTAACCCAGCTTGATCGAGATGCTTGGAATCGGAAGAATTATAGAAAATAACATTTGCCTTGTATGGTCATCATCGCCGAAAGCATAACACCAGTGTTCAACAATGATGCTTTGCAGGCATGAAACCATATTCAACCTTGTATGACATGAGGGAACATCCAGTTTTCACACTAGAAAGTCCTACAGGTGGGCGATTTTCCACCCTTAACGATTAGAAAATAAGGATATGAGAAAAACTACCAAATAGTCTACTTAAATCACAGATATGTAGACCTTACATTTCCATTGGATAATAAATCGCAAAATATTCGAGAAGGTACCGAGTACATTTACACCAGCCTTCTTAAAACACGATCTATTAAATCTTTCATTATTCTGTTTTCTATTCTCCTCATAAAAGCGGCTAGTTCTGAGAAAAGTCGGATTTCAGTGGGTCCCTTAAGGGCGCCTCTCTGGAGCAACGTTGTGTGGTCAGATTTTGTTCACGCTGAGCACTGCTCAAGAAAGCAACATAAATGAGATAGCCTTAATTTTCATAAGGGAAACTACTCGCAAAGTTGCTGAAAACTCTTCGAGAGCCCACGACCGGTTTCGCCCTTCTTGGGGCTCATCAGGCAGGCGCAGTCCCCGAGTTTCCGTCAACCCTATGTTCTAGTCGAAACCAAATTGTACTGTTTTCGAGAAATACACTCATTTGTAAATCAATTTAGTTTTCACGACATACTCAACTGGATCTCTCGTTTATGATATTCTACAACTGAATGTGCTGCACACAGGCTGCCTCATTTTCCAGTTGGCCTTAATTTCAGTCAAGAGTTACGGTTTCCTTAGTTCTCCGGCTATAGCTCGGATTTCTTCTCAAGTAGGAGTGGAGCGAACCTAGGGCAGAAGCGCAATTAAAATTAGATAAAAATCACAATTATGTAAAAAAAACAGGGTTTCACGTAGTACTTAAGGGCAAATTTAGATGAATCGAAGGATACTTTTTGCGGCCCAACCTTTATCTAAGAAACATTGCATAGTCACAAATAGACTTGTGGATTCCAAACTTTTCAGATTGTGCATATAACATTCACTCTTCATAAGAAGAAAGTCCTACAACTCGGAGCTTTTTTAAACGTGCCTCGGCCGTCATTACAGACAGGTCCGGTCCGACTCCAAGGAAGTAACATTCTAGCAGAGCATTCTAGCGAGTAATTAATAGTTTCATTTGATCAGTAAAACGCATTGAATTTGGTGAGTATTTTGAAGTGAACAAAATCATACACAGTTAAACTGAGCCAAAACACAACAGATGATTGACGCACTGCGGTAGAGTGCAGTTTGCATCCTTCAGAGAACATCACCTGGTAAGGCTGCCGTTGAAACCAGATAAAGGTTCAGGAATCGTCTTGATGAACAAATCTGACCAAACTGACAAGATGAATATCATCCTCTCAAACAGATCCAAATGGAATCCGAGAAGGACAAGACACAGTGTCCAAAATAAGAAGACGTCTTAAACAATCCGAAAACATTGACACCAAAACTTTCAAGCTTATTCGCCCCACTGGTACAACAATCCCTCCCAAATGTGCATAAACCCAGTCCACCTCTCAGGCCCATCCTCGATAGGTCTAATTCTCTTTACCATGCCTTGGTTAATGACTTGTCAGTCTTCGAGAAATACACTCAGTCCGTTAGAACCAATCAGGAGAGGAGTGTCCACACAGCCTGAGCGACGGTTTTGATTTCGCCGGTCAGATTAAAAATGCGATGCTTGATAACTATTCTATGTTCTCCCTGGACGTAAAGTCATTGTTTACTGAGTCATTGTTTCACTGAGACGATAGGCTATGTTTGTGACTTGATTGAGTGCAACGGTAAGGATATTGGCATTCCCATCTCGGATCTTAAGGAACTCCTGCTCCTTTGTACCTGCAATGTTCAATTTACTTCCAACAATCTAATTCATCGACAGGAGGGGATCGCGACATGGTCTCTTCTAGGTTATGTGTTGGCAGGTTTTTCGTGGCCAAACTTGAGACTTAAAAATTAGAAGCACTCACTGCACGGCTAACATTGTATAGTCACCACATGGATGACATTTTCGAACTTTCCGATGAAACCATCAGCACAACAGACGTGCTAAGCAGTTTCAATTTAGTCCATACTAATATCATGGTTACTATCAAGTCAGAACAGAACGGACAGTTACGTTTCCTTGACGTCAATGTTAAAGTTCACAGAGAATAAAAATGGGAAGCTCAGTATATTTACTTCGATAGCTTCGTTCGGTTGCAACAAAAGCGTAATCTAATTAGATGTCTGACTGAGACAGCAGTCGGGATATGCTCCCCTGACCGTTTATAAGAGGAACTAAAGTTCTTTGGACGCACATTCCTGAAGAACGGATATCCTGAAAAGTTCAAGACTATGGAATACCTTAAGCCCAAATCTAAACAATGTTCTGTTGGGAAGAAGCCCGTCTAAATAAGGCTCCCATTCAAAGCTGACTCGGTCGCTGAACCAACTAGCAGAAGTCTAAGAAACTCTGTCGGTACGATATACTTGGCTACTAGTCTGTGTTTGAGCTTCAACTCCAGGTCCACTATCAGGTTCCACTTGAAGGACAAGCTGGCGCGTTCTACCATCAGTTTTTGTGTGTACTCGTTGTATGCTCGTGTTAAGCATCATACGTTGGTCGTACGACTAGGCATTTGTCGGACAGAATGCGAGGACACAATCCCGTGCCTCTGAGTGGTAGTTGGAAGAAACCAGGCTCAATTGCAATTGCATCACATTTGACCGAAACGAGTCATGTAATCGACAAAGAGCAAGCCTTCACTATCATATACCGGGTACCTCTGAACCGATCACGACTGGTACGATCCAGGCTACTATCGATCCCAGAGGTGATTGGAATCCGACTCCTGGATCCAACATTTTCCATTCATAAGAAACTTGTGCGACCTCTGAACTTGAACTGGCGAAAAATCCTGTCCCAGGACAGATTCAGCTGGATTCGGTTCGGTCTCTTGTCAAAATCAAGTTCACATGCAAATGAGAGTATTCTCTCGTAATAAGATTTCTTCTTTGTGCCTACGCAAAGTTTCCACCAAGGAATTACTAGATCATTTGTCCGAAGTCTTGGAGTGGAATCAACTTTGAATGCTTTTGACCACATAGGTGAAAAGAGAAAAACCAACATGTTCTCATCCAATTATGACAGTGATGCAACTGCTGAAGTGAGCCGGTCTATTTTGTGTAAATAGAGCGTTTTTTGCCAAATAGCCACTTTCAGCCTCTTGAAGATTTCAAATGCCTGATAAGGAGCCAAAAGGCGACTGACATCAGTTGGGACTACTGAGAACTACCTGCAGCGTAGGCAAGCTCACACTGAGGGCTGAAAAATTAGATCAATTTGAGCAGCCTGCACGTTCACACTAGAACCTCATTTACTGGCTTTGACTCTTTCAAACAATTGGTCAGTCATTTCACTATGGTTGAAACGGATTTTAGGAGTATGCGAAACATCCAACCCAGTAATATCTCGAAGCACCCCTGAATGATGTTTAGTAAACGAGATGATACATGTGCCACCGAAACGGAACTCGTGAAAAAAACTTACGTAGATTCCCGACCCGATTCCGTTTCGGATATCACCGTTTTTGGGAATTGTCAGCTGAAGTCTGTGCCAATTCGCATCGGCAATTGTCAAATGTGGACTGGACCAGAGAAGGCGAGTCGTGTCGGTCAGGAAAATTTGACTCTCCGATACGAGCAGATAGAGATTCACGCGTTCTGGTCCGAAGTTGAAAGCGGCCAAAATACTGTGTTCCACCTGTCCAAAATCTCCACCCTGTAATTCACGCGTCCCCTGACTCAATTGAGCTCGGAATCCTATGGTGAACTCAAAAGGCTGGTCACTAAAATAGTTTGAAATTAACGGAGGATTACCTGGCATTCGAAAAGTGTTTTTAAACAATACTGTGAAGCTAAACCACTCAGCTGATTAGTACGCTGTATATCTAGACAATCAGTCACCGGACAAGGGAATGACCAAGACTCGGAGAGGGTGCTGCGTGCATGAACAAGTGAGCGAAACAGCGAGACAAAAAGCAAACAAATAGACGATGGTACTATTAGAATCGTTCAGTCTCACATCACTCTCGTTTTGAACAGTCGTCCTCATGTCCTGGCGCAATTATTCATGTGAATCCACACCAAACGGGGGGAAGCACTGGACTCGAGTTTCGCTCTTGTTAGAGCTCATCAGCAGTGCATATCCAATGGCCGTGCCGGGGTTTGAACTCCGGACACCTGACATGCGAGGCGAACGTGTTACCACTATTCCACCAGCGCACGTTGGACGCATCTGAATTCCCACGTCTGAACGGGTGGACGTGTTCTCACTTGAGCGATATGATTAGTATGCCCGACACATCATCGATACGACGACCCAGCGTCCAACGTGCGCTGGTGGAATAGAGGTAACACGTTCGCCTCGCATGTCACGTGTCCGGAGTTCAAACCCCGGCACGGCCATTGGATATGCACTGCTGATGAGCTCTAACAAGAGCGAAACTCGAGTCCAGTGCTTCCCCCCCCCTTTGGTGTGGATTCACATGAATAATTGCGCCAGGACAGGAGGACGACTGTTCAAAACGAGAGTGATGTGAGACTGAACAATAAACCTCCCACAAAAACCAAAATATGCATCAACAAAGTTGTCCGGCGGGTTACAAGCGTCTGTGGCGCTACCTGACTGAGAAGTCCTGACAAGCGGGCCAATCGATCGTCACAACCAGGACAGTTACTGGGTCGTCTATTAGAATCATTAACTGATGGCAGATGTGGGACGGCTGACAGACATCCACAAAATTGATGACTCACACAAACCGTTCACTCAAATTGGAATCGGATTAGACGGTTGCAGCCAAAAGCTGGGACAGAAACTACGCTAATTACGTCTTACGGGACTGAATTCAGCCTCAATTGAACAATGTACGGCTGTCGAGCGAAAACCTACGTGTCAGTAATCATAGGCTCATTTTATGAGAACCAGCAAAGAGATGGTGCTCCGCATTGTTGGAATTTTGCTGATGCCTAGCAGTAGTTTCGAAGTACATTGCCCAATGCGCTTCTGTGTCATGCTGTCCGGGTACAGGGATCACTTCAGCGCCAACTGAAGTTTCCAACTCATCCTCTGAAACAGATGGATAAAGCCGTTTGAGTGTATTCATCAGGAACTGGCTTCTAGGGAAGGACCATACTGTAGTCAGCATGCATTTTGCGATCAGTTTAGCTAACAGAACACTGAAGTTCCTCCCAACGGCAGACACCGAAGTAGTGAACAGCTCTCTCACTTTGTTTTGAAGGCAATGGCATTAAGTTCACCAAGTACCGAATAGGTTCAAAAAATTTTAGTTTCTACTAGATAGCCCGTAAACACACCAACTGGTTGTGTGTATAAGAGCGTTTGTCGGGAGTTATACAAAGTTTCATTCAAATGAAGTATCATGGTTGTGCGGTAGTGAAGAAGTAGTGTTCCTCTCTGGTGTTGCCATCAACGACGACGATTATGACGACAGTACAAGATAATATGTATCTCCAATGCGACAACGCGGTATAACTGTTTGTTCTTCGCCCAAGTGCAAAAGATCTGCCACAAAACAGGCACACAAAAAGATAACGAATGGTCGAATCCACCCACTTACGTGCTCTTCACACGAGTTCGCAAATCTGTCAACTCCCAGTAGGATTGCGACCCCTGGTCAAACCATGCTGTCTGAGACGGATTTACCGTGCAATCCTGAAAACAAAGCAGTGCAAATTTAGACAAAATGCTTGGAACTCAAGGAAGAAGAATGAAAGAGTTGTGACAAGATTTTTCACCAAACGGGTTAACTGGCAGGTCCGTCCACATACGTATAAGATCAAATCGAAGCCCAAACACACTGCACGAATTGGTCATCAACAATGTCAGACCAGTCCTATTTTGTGAGAACTTTCAAACCGTAGACTAGTTGTTCAAAATAGTCTGATTTTGGCACTACGATAACTGGCAACCAATAACCGCATCACAACCGCTCTACTCTGCCATTGATTCGACCTGCTGAAAAAGATTCACACAAAAGGCGCGGAAGCTAGCGGACAGTATAGACACGTACTTCTCCACCAGATTAACGCTCCTGATCGCTTTCAAAATGAGAACACTGCAGCTTCTGAAATGAGAGTGAATGTACTCTGGAGGTTGCTAAATTGGAAGAGTGCCACCCTAAACTGGTTAGCTAATTCTGGTTTGGTCAATGTAGACAAGAAGCTATAGATCAACCCGAATTTGGTGCTATCAGCCAATCGCAGTAATTCAAGTAGGACACTCACAGGAAAATCCTGCCCTTTAGGCGGCAGTCAATCATAAGATGATGTTCTGGGATAAATTCATTGAATTAACGTTAGTTAAGCCTCCCGCCGGACAAATAGAATTCAAAGAACTATAATTTGTGTGCTAGGAGGGGACTTCATACAGCATCCAGAGAACTACTACCTTTTCTCTGCTGATAAGGAATAACTTACTTCAGATAAAACATGTCAAAACTAACAGTCACTCTCGTGGTACACCGCTTCTTAGTCTCGGTTAACGTGATCTGGGTTCACCCTGCTGAACGAGGATTGAGTTTTCGTGGGATAATTCTCAGGTTTCGTTTGGTAAAATGGTTTAATAAGACGAAACGAAGCTATATTAAAGGACTTAATTATTGACTAGGCGGTAATTGATCTGTCAAGCGAACTTAGCAAGTGGCGTGCTAATTGCTCGCTTGGATTTTCGTCACCATACGAGGATACATCTTCAACGTGCCGTAGTCAACATCTCACGGGGCACTGACAGGTCAGCAACCACTGGTCGACATCCGGGCACCCAATGGTTAGGCATACCGAACTGGACAGGCGTTCCTGCTTTGTTTGAGACCAGTAACTGTGCCAATCCCTAAATTTCGGATCGTCCGAGCTCGGAATCTCTTAGAGGGTAACAAAATAGTCTAAACAATCGGAGAACTCGGTTACGTCACTGTCAGGACGTACCCAGACATGGAAAAAGTACATGTGCAGAGAGTGACGCATCCCCAAGGTCACCATCGGTACGACACGTCCGGAAAGTAGGTGAGTTGGTGGCTCCCACCAAACATGGCTTAGAAACATACGACCAGCATAGTGGGCCTGAGGGTGTTCACAACCGGAACACCACGATTGGTTATACGGAACGAACAAGTGAACGACCATATCTGGTCACTTGATCATCCTATATATTACGCAGACGCTCTGTATTTTTTGTCCTGGCAATACAGCCGTGTCCCCAGTTCTCTGCCTTCTCCCTATCGCGTAGTCTGGCAGGCACAGTGCTGCCGTAACCCATAGACGGCCACCCACGATACAACAGTCACTTCACCACAGGACAAAAATTCCAAGCAAGTGTAACCAGTAACAAGACGTTAGTAACGAAGAGTGTTGAGGGCGAAACGAACATTCAGAACACCAATGAACGACAAGCATTGAACACCGGCAGAACAAAACTGCACAGACGGTATACTGCTGCTATATCCGTCGCCACAGGGTGGTGCACAGTGTGCTGTGAAAGCAAGCGTGGTGTGCGGATAGCAAGTGCGCAAAGCAGGTATAACGGTAAAACTCAGGCAACTCAGTCTTTTTTATTCTTTGCTGACCGATGGGATAAACGGCTGGAAACGAAAAACATGATGGCACCTCGCCACATAAGTATGGGTAATAGAATCAGTTTGGATGCTTGACATCAGTAACCTCATGTGAATGATACTCCTCAAGTATGAGGAAACAACTTGACCCTAAGAAAAGATAGCTTCCTGTTTATACCGTTTTCGGATATATTTCTTTCAGGGCTTATTGAAGTTCTTGTCAAATTATACGTGTTATGTGCACCTGGGCCTCAGTAAATAAACTTTTCTTGAGGCGAGTCTGGATGACCGCGGATTAGGTAAGGAGTGTACTCCATTAGCATCGTCGATTTCACACTACAGATGACACTGCTTTGTCCAAAACGTAGCGCTGTAAATTACAGACCAGTGAATCAGTGAGTTTCACTTTTTGTCGGTTCAGGATGGGCAACTGTTTTCAACTGGTACCGCGTTTTCTCTAATGATCACCGGTTGCTGAACTTCACTATAATCATCAAACTTGTCTATCTCGCGCTTGACAGAGGAAAGAAATGAAACTAGCGGAATTCACAGTTGTGTCTTCTAAACTGGCCGAGTTTCAAAACCGGTTATTCACGAACTTACCTCTTCCCTTCGTAGACGTGTGTCAGAAGGTTTCACCGTAGGAAGTGTTGTGGAGACGGGGATTTTGAAATTATCTGGTTGAAGTGCGACCAGACGAAGTCTTCGACCACCCGGTGGCGATGCCAAATCCAGACCCTGTTCAATCCACACAGGCCCCAACGGAACAGCGCGCTCGACGAAACGAGGGTAGAGCTGACCAACACAGGAGCCGACCTGGACTCCGGGAATGTTCCCATCAGTATGCAGTTCCACAGCAAAGTCAACCAAACTTCAAGATAGAAAGCGAAATAGGGATAGGTTAGCACATGATCTAAGTAGATTTAGGTTAAAGGCTGACTGAAATCACCAAATTTCGACAAACAGTGGACCAGATATCCTTTAGATGTACATTCAGCTAGCTATTATACACATTCTAGGTCACTGCGTTTTTCTCCACTACACTTTTGCGGTTTTATCTCCGACAAACAGTTAGCATGAAGTTTCTATTGGGTTCCCTAGATTTCTCAATGCCCAAATTAAACCCGAACTAATAAGTTCACAGAATGAACACCGTCAGTTATTCGGAAACCCATTAAATTGCAGATGATCCATCGTCATCAAAACATGTGAAAACAACCGAAATGATGACTTACTGACGTCCGATGGTGAGATAGCTGATTGTGATTGGATACTTGTTTGTAGGACCTACGAGGGCCAGTCGTATAGGACCTCTTTGTGACTGTGCTGGAATGGTCCAGCTTTGAACCACGCGCTGATCAAAAAGAACATCAAGCTGTTCAGAATCAGCTCCGTTGAAATGCAGTGCAATGGAAACTTCCGTTTCGGCTAAAGTTAAATCCATTGGAACACCAACAAATTGTTCAAAAGATTCCTTCCACGTGGGTAGTGATGCATTCACAGCTCGAGCATCTGTTAATTCTAGCTCCCGGAGACCGAATGCAGGATCTTGTACAGGTCGGTAACGTAGTGACTCCTCAGTGATCAGCTTGTCGTCAAAATCAGGAATGCCAATTCCAAGACGATAGTCGGGCGTTAGCCATATGCTGAACCACAACACATTTTCCTGAGTGGACCAAAGAAAATATAAATAATCTGGTCGAATTTATCATTTCTGGTCCACGCGGTCATTTAAAGTCCTTCTGTATATTTTACGGAAAACAAATAACTGCCTATTCTCCCACACCCCTGAGGCGCCTTAAATTATGTTGGGAAACTATACTCACCACTGAAGAGAGAAAAGTTTGTCACAGTTCCTGAGATAATGAAACCGGATACTATACATATACTATAATAAGAGTGATCTACCTTGCGAAGCCTTTCACCTACACCTATGGATAGCGACAAGCCCACGATTTGCTGAAGTGCGGGGACCCTGTCAGTGCAGTGGGTAGGTTTTTTCCAAAACATAAGACGCATAAGAAAAAAGGTTTGCTGACACGCGACAGCAAATCAACATTATGATGCTGAAAACTTAATTAATTTGCAGTGTTGCGATAAGCACAATGACCATTAGAGTTAATCCGGAATTTTTCAGACCACTGCTTTTACTTCGTAGCTACCCTTACCTTGTTCTTTCTGTCGATGGCGAATTTCCCAGTAAAAACTTTTAACCCGAGAGCTGAATGAAACTGATGACAGGTAATTTAATTGTTGGTCTTCAAGGGTGGCTGCATCAGGAGCAAAATCAGAATAATAGCCAATAGCCAAAACTAAATGCAAACCATAAGATTTACCAGTTGGAGACGCAGAAGGTAGATATTCTCGGTTGGAATTAGCAGAGGATTGAATCGCACGGTCATGCTGATCCCTGGCTCCCAGGGTGAACCTAAGACTTTCTCATTCAAACGAAGAAGTTCTTTGACATCCGGCTTGCCTGTCTGAACCCATTCGGGTGTCAGCCGCAGGCAGTATTGCGAATCTGGTGCAACGTTGGACTGAAACGTAAATGAAGAACCGGCTGGCAGTGTGAGCGTAAATAGGCAATATATCCCACGGTTTTGCGGGATAAAACAACAAGTAAAAAATTCAAAAATACTCAGTCAGCAGACTACGCTCATGATACTTACCAAACTCATGGCTTCTCGGCGTTGAGTCAGGTCAGTAAACTGTGTGTCTCCAAACTGAGAAAGAGGTGTGCTTGTGTACTCTTCCAAGAATAGCCCACCATCTTGACTTGGTTTATCATTCGTTAGCCCGATTCGCCCAGCAAATGGTGTCAGAGTCAGTCCGAGTCTAGCGGCAAGAAGAGAAGAGACAGAGTTAAGTTTCATTGAGCAAGCATTCCCGTCCGAGTTCAGGCATACCTATTTCGGATTCATGAGGAAACTCATCGGTGCTGTAGATACATCAAAATGAAACAGCAGCCTTCTTCTGCACCAGCTGAAATTATCCATTAGTACGCTGGCCAACAATAGGCAAGTGAAAGGATCCAGCTGGTTTCTTTGGGCTTAGCTCATACACCACATTCAGGGCAATCATGCTACACAATGAAGCACATAGCTGTTCTAGATTCAGGGCCAGTACTACCAGTGTAACGGTGATACTACTGATCGGGAGGCACGCGAGTAGTATGTGTTGTTCGTAGGATTTCGCTTTGCGTCGACTGAAAAAGGAGATTCTGTTGCGGAATTCGTGGGGCCACTTTGTAACATTTGCTTGGATTTGACCGAAGAAAGAGTGGAGGCAACGAATCTCTAGGAAGACTCGTTTGGGAGAAGATCTGTGTCCAGTTTTTGTAACTAAGATGCAGATTAGAGTTTTGCTTCCCTGTTCACTGGTCTGTAACCGGTCAGTTGGCATTTCCGAATAAATAACTCCGCAGCGAAGGCCTTCTTCCTTTCACCAGTACTACCATTCTAGGCTTTAACTATGAAAAAACGTCACTGCAGTTGCTGAGCGGATTTAACGCCTTTCAGTTATGTGTCGGCATTTTTCAAACCGTAGTGCACCGTAGTAGTAACTATGTTTAATATAACACTTATCCATCTGAACAAGAGATCGGCGTCAAGTCAATGAAGAGCACCTCTAACGCGGCCGTATTTCTTGAGTATATTGTGAGTTGAACAAGCTAATTACAGTATAACAGTGGACAAACTGAATTTTTGAAGCTCTACACTAAATGAAATCTTGTAATCTGTTTTGAATTACTGAATTCAGATGTAGTTATTCTGAGAAAAGGCGTCACATTGTACAACGGCTTCTGGGAATAGTACGGTTGAACGCTCTGCTAACACCAGCTCACCAGTATTTCTGGGGCCTCACTCTATAAGACAGGTGTGAAAACTGGAAGTTATCAGGAGTAGTACTATTTCAAGCATTCCTTCTATTTTTTCTGCGAAGCCCGTTGGTCTACCACACGAGCCAATGTGTATCAGCGGGATGCTCAGTGCGACAGATCGTGCACTGATTACTGCTCGTGCAATCGCTCATAAAATACATGTTCATAACCCATCCTAGCTCTAATCACAACACCCAACACGTTTTGTCACACTACTCACGGCAGCCTAGATGTCACACATTGAGATGATTTGGTCTTTAACAGATTGTGCACAGTAGCAATGCAATATTTATTCCGACCGTGTATACTGCTGAGGGTTGTCGATGGAGGAAAATGTTGGTAGCTCAGGTAGGGTAGATGGTCTTTGGCTTGTTCACTTGGCACAACCACCGACCCACCGCTACGCACAACAACGCTCCCCAATAACGCACTGATGATGTCACCTCGATTGGTGATGAAAAGTTTGCAATCAAATTGCCCAGCTCAGCGAACAAGCGAACGACCAGCTGAGGGTTGTTTTTACTGACTCACAGTGGATGATGCTTTGGTTTTATTGTTCAGGCGCTAGACACCAAACAGCCGTTCTGTACAGATCACGAATCAGACAAACACATCTGATGTCATAAGCCCACACATGGTGACCTGATCGTAGGCTGCGCCAGTCGATGAGCAAACCACCGTGTTGATTAATCAATGCGCTCGCTCTGCAATTTTGGATGGTAGTGAAACGAGGCTAGTTGTATAAAGGGCGGGAAGTGGACCGATGGGCCGTAGCGGTCAATTATCCTTGCGCTGGCTTGAAGAACTCCATAACGTGTCCACCAACGCCCAGTTAGAAAACAGGATGCGTAACAGGATCGTTTAGATGAAATTTTGAGCGCATGTTCAAAACTAGATTCGGTGCAAAGCCGTAGAAACTTGAGTGCTCATTTTCAGGGATAATAAACGTTAACCCTATATTCAAAGATTTCAGAGAATGTGTCTTGTAGCTGCAAACTCGGGTTCCATATTGTGACGGTTTTGGTGAAATCGGAAGCCACAAGAAGGAAACCGATGCGCGGTTCACCACGCAAATTCTATAAACCACTGCAATGGCGACCCACCAACACATGAACCGCTTCAGTGCAGCCTATTGGTGTCTACATAATTGCAAGATAAACTTACTCAAGCATTCGTCTTCTCATTGCGTAATAGCCAGGTGGTATTCCGCCGACGAACAATATCACGTCATCGTTGCAGTCAGTGGTTAGAAATTCATTCAGACGCCAGAGACGAACTGTCAGTTCTGACTGCGTGATTGACACCTCGCGCTTCTCCTCGCTAGCTCCACCTACCAGCTGACGACGCAAACGAGGCTTATATGTCTGAGATTTGCGCAGCACTCTGCGCCGGAACATCTCAGTCATGTCTGCCATTTCGGCCTTGTGTGGGGAACGGTAAAGCTGTCCACCAGTCCAACGAGTCGCCTTTGGCTGTCCGTTCACTAGAGTCACCGTAACTCCATAATCCTGAATGAGGGACACGATAAAATGTTTGGGCACAGAAACAAAGTTTTGGAATCTATATATCTATCTATCTACCATCTTGCTTATTTTGATTAGATATCTGTTAACACAACATCATATGGGACATGCGCAATGATCAGCAGAAAGACCGTAAGAGTGCCAGTCGCCAACGTAGCTAGGAAGCCGACTTTTGAAAACAATATCCAGGGTAAATGTGTCAGGTTAGCCAAAACAAACAGTGAACCATAGCGATATAATCTAATTTGAAGGGTTAAACTTATTGTTGCGCTCAATACAGACTTGAGTATTGGAGGTTACTGAGCTAAGCGTTAAAGTCATTCAATTATTATAGCGGTATTGTTTAGAAAATGGTGCTTATAAAAACAAATTTACACCGGTCTCACTTCACTTAATTCGTCGATAACGCTGGGAGATCAGCTTGACTGGGAAAATAAATAGTGTTCTTCAAGCGAGTCCTCAGGTGGATAGAAAATAACACAGCTCCCTGTCAGTCATGATACCCCAAAGAAAAATCAATCACCCGAGACGAAAACATCTTAGGTTGGCATGTGTTGCCTGGTCCTATTTTTTAGGGCAGTTGCCAATCTCTTGTACACACAAAAACAGTGTGGACACATCGTCTTTGGGAGACCTATGACTGGAGAATCGAGGCTCAACCCAACGGGCATTTCCACCATACTGTTCCCTTTTTTTGGGACGAACCAGAAGGTATACTTGAGATCGTGGGTTGCCTCCTAGAGAGGTATGGGAATTCAAATAAGTGTGTCCCAAAGCTTGTCCTGCTAAAAGTGTGTTTTCTCCTGTAGGGTACCTCTCATGGGAGTTTGCGATGCTGATTAAAACGCAATCGCGATAGTTTTAGTCGGTGATAGTCTTATCACAAGTCTCATTAAGATAAGGACAGACTAGGGGAATCATCGTGAGAGAAGGCTTGTATCATCTACAGACTACCCTCCTCCACAGGATTGATCTTTTCGGCTAACTTATAGCTTTAGCTTATTACTGAACCCTTAAGTTGTCGACCGCTGCGATGTTCTTTTTATTCACATATTTTAGAGAGTCAATGAAATGCATTAGCGCGCTTGGCTTTCCAATCACTGGCCAGCCTTTTGCTGTGGAATTTCACCCAAGTTAGACTAACATTTGAATCATCCATTATGGAACCCTCGACAGGTAGGGACGCTTTCTACCGTCTGTTAAACCGTCATTCTTGAATCTCGCTGCCATTAAAAATTGCCAAGAAAAGCAAGTTCTGAATGTTCTTGACTAACCTTGTCAAAATTGAAGAACGTAAAAACCATCATCTTGTTCTGCTGCGCCCGTTGAAGTGGAGTCACTTGGAATTGGAGGCGGTCTTCACAGAATTTGAGATCTTTGAAACCTTGTATCCGCGCATATCCGCCAGCTCCGGCAAAGTCATAGAAGAACATACGCTGGAGTACAAAGTTTGGTGGACTCCTGCGAGGTGAACGGGGGGTTGCCGTAACGTTATCCATTTTGCCCTGGGTACGCCAGATGTGACCATCTCGCACTATGGGGCGGTAGTTGGAGCTGGGTGTAACAAGGATAGGAAACGAACTTTGTTGCTTATGAATGGTCGGATTAGACGATGTAACACACCGCAAATTAAAATCGACTGGTGCAGTGGCAAATGCTCATATCTTACAGATAAATCAGATTAACGGGTTCGTTCGTGACTGGTTGGACGATTCATAGAAACGCTTCTATCCATTCAAAGTGTGGCTTGGCCATAGACATGCCGCCGGAAATTGCCGCGAAAATGCACACGGGCAAGCCGTCTCCTCATAGTGATAGTCCAAAAGGAGTGCAGACAAACAAATGTTGCACACAGGCTAACTCCAGTGACTGACTGATTTCGTTGTAATAATAAAAAATATAATCGTTCCGTCATTACACTCACTCGGTGTCTAGTTGCCGTGCTACCTGAAGGAAGAACGAGGGTTGGGATACTGCCAGGTTGCCCAAGCCTAGACAGGAGAAGTCGGGATGCAAAGGTCGGGTTCGAACCACCCACCTTCCGGTCAATAAATTTGCCCTCTCACCACTGAGTCATTTCATGGATTGTGTTATATAAGGTTAGTACATCCTTAGCTTAAATGCTGCAGCACATAAAACGGTTTTGTGCAACGCATCCTACTGAAGAACAGGTTCCACACCTATTGCACGCTCTGTTCAACATTGTAGGTAGCTGCTTATGTTGAAGAAAGTCGTTATCTTGTAAAAGTGGTCATTCTTATTGACCATATTTAGCGCGAACTACTTAGGAATACTCAACTGTTCTTAATAAACCATTCCTCAAATAAAGACCCTCATTGGTTGGAACGTCAGAGTTTCAGTTAATAAACTCGCGACATTCAAAGCGGTCCTGCATCTTTGGTGTCCTGGCACCTTCAAATTCACCCCATTTTTCTTGAAAGCAATCTATCTACTCACGATCAATGAAATTAAATGTTGCCTGCCACACTTTAGAACGTGAGCTTTATTAACCCCATAAAAGTATGGCGCACATGATAGCAGCGTGAATCCATCATGGTATGACTCTCCAGACATTTAGAATGCTGTAAAACATAGGCCTTGATCAATTTGAATAAACTACCCAACTTGGACTTTAAGTACGAGGATTGCCCATAATAGTAAGTCTACAGGTTTGGTTTGGTTCTGTCCTTATAACCACGTTTCTCCGTCGTCCAATGCAATCATCCCACCGGCGAGAAAACGGTGGCCTGACACCCTGGGGAACTTATTTACTTCTCCTTTTCTGCTCTTCGACTGGGTTGCTTCCAGTTAGTTCGTGCACAACATTAGCACCAACATCTTGCCCCATATCCAGTTGATTTTACCCAATTGAAGCTTTTACAGCGAACAGAAATCTCCATTATTTTGTCTCCTGAAAACTGGGTATCCAGCTCAACAGCTTATACCCTAACATTTAAAAGCATACTCTACCTTCAGCTCAGATATCCTACTCAGTGAGTTTCATTCCCTTGTGAATCTCCTACATGTTCGAAAAAGATTGCATAAAGTATCGCACCATTTTGAGGCAAACAAGAAGAGCCAAAGAGCACTTAGAGTCGGTTACAAACTCAGGCCAGGAACCTCAGAAATCCTGGCTTTGGTAACGCCACTAGCATACGGAAACATAGGCCCAGAAGTCCGCTGAGGAATTAGGCAAAGCTGATTCTAATCATTTCAGCTGCTCTGCCATTTATTGTTCATTCAAACGCACTTCTTTTATTGCCTCTGTCTAAAGCTGGTAGTGGCGAATAGGCTAATCTATGCGGAAAAGCCCAGAAACATTGACATCTGTTTCTTACTAAACGAGAACCATTAGTAGCCACACCTATTACGAAACTCAAGGGGGTTTCGAACCCGCGGCTACAAGATTGCCCATTTAACCGTTCGTGACTAGCTCTCATTACGACCTTCAACCACACCAGGTCAAGTTGTATTTATGATCCTGCAAGTATCAAACACGAACAAACACCCCTCTCTTCACACTGCACACAATAAATAGGCATGCAACTCGGCTACCCAGACACCCACGCGCGTGCACAGAACAGGAAGTCAATCAATCGAGCTCCACAAGTCTCCACGGACAACTTTAGAACACATGAAGCAGCTACACTGCAGAGACCGGAACTCCACTCAGAAACTCTCAACCGTTGCACTCAAACGATAGGTCACTTTTTGGCCTATTCCCTTCTTGCATTGTATTTATTTTACTCAAGCGCACATAACTATTGTAATCATCATCATTTTGGTAAAAACAGGCATTTATTAGTGTTTGTCATCTTCTGATAATCAACCAGAGCGCTAACAGAAGTCATCATTGTCAAGCATAACGCTTGGCGCCTGGTTTTCACAAAATGACCTAATAACATATTAAATTTTATTAGGACGCCCCACTCTACCACATTACCAAAGTTGTGTGGGATCATGGCGACTTAGTACAGATCCAAATATAACTCAATTGTACGGAGGTAATGTTGAATACTTACATCTGACACACCATTCGCGAAGGTTGTTGGCAACCGCTGCTTGCCGCTGCCAGGTCCACAAGACCGACCGCTGTGGCTCCAATACGTAAGTTGAAGATGCAAAACTGTGTAGAGTCCAAGGACAGAAGACGTGTCCAGAATACCTCGGCTCCATTGTCCCCCCAAGCTTCTGGGTTCAGCAACCGAGACTGAGATGGATTTGCTCCTCCTATACGAATCTCCATCTGTCTGTCGAGCATCAGAGCTGACTCTGGATAGTTTGCACTGGCATTTGTGGCAACCTCTCGGTACTGGGGTTTTTGTGATCCCTCATCAGGTCGTTCGAGTAACATCATTTTTGTTTCACCCCACATTGAAGTCACTCGTACCTGATACCAAATCTCTTCTCTGATCGAATCCAGTTCCAGCTTACCGTTTGGAATATTCCAAGAAAACCGCAACGTTTTGCCCGCCGATTCTAGTGTGAATGCAAACATTTGCGTGTGACCAATGAATGCACGGCGGCCGACCATCATAACGCCGTCAGTTTCCGAACTTGAACCGTGGAGGCGGAACCAAAACTCTATGTCAAAGATGCGAGATTTGGTCAAAGAGTATGGAACCAGTGAATAGACACAATCACGATCCAAGGATATTGGCACAGGATCTTGAGCCAGAGCACCGTAATTGACGTCCAGCATGGACCTGGCTTCATCGGCTAATCGACGTAAATGAGTAAGTTTCGAGTCCAATTGCTTGATTGATTCCTCTGCCTCAGTAATAGCTTTGACCAGAGAAGTTTGTGTGCCGTTAGCCTGGTCAACTGAAACAAACAATAAAATCAGATTTTTCCCAATTGTTAAAACATCACATCCGTAAGTCTTGACGCTCATGAAAGCCAGAAACTAGGCTGAATAGAGGAAATCTATGAGTTTGGATATTCAGAATACCGAGTGGGTTCTTCAGGGCAGCTATTTATGTAACCTTCGTCACTGGTTTCCTGCTTTATTCATCATTCAACGCATATCAAGCTTTGTGGACAATACTTTTAAATCTTCAAAGTAGACCTTGTTGCGAACATTACTTCAATTTTTGACCAACGGTGCCAAAGAAATGCGCCACCCTTTCGATCGCGCTTATATATGTGAACAGTGCCTATAGGCCAAACCCTGTGGTCCCGTGTTTAGCAAGTCGCCCAGCCGATGGAAACTGGAACTGTGATTGTTGACTGTTCAACCAAGGTTTATATTCACATTTTCGTCATGGCCGGCAAGAAGTTCGCATAATCTGAATGAGGTTATTTAGAACTCAGAAAATCGATGGCATAGCTGCTAAGGAATGTTTGATACTGGAACTTAGCAAAGTTGAGCCCCCAAAAAAGTGCTTCTTTTCAGTTTAGAATGCCAGTTACTCGTGAATGTCTGAGCTAATTCTATGAAAATCAGTCCTAAGCCAATCTATACATAATTGTGTTTCAGATGCCCTAAAGCGAAAACAGCATAACTAACCTGCCGACTGGGCGGTTCCTTGCAACTTGGCGTATCGGTTCTCTGCCGATTTGAGTCTGCTCTGCAATCGATTCATTAGACTGCCTTGTTGTTCAACCAAAGCCGATATGTTCTTTGTCAGCGGATCTGTACTGGCAAGCAATTGTTTGACCGACTGGACTGAAATGGGGAAAATATGAGCATGTTTCATCATCGTTAGCATCAACGTCATCAAGTGCACTCTATTACCATTACGAACAGCACTATCACCACTACCTCATTATCGTCATTATCTTCCACTACATATTATGGACAGATTTTACGAAGGCCCTGTGTGCTCTATTTTACTCCATCCTTAGAGCCTATGGAATAAAAAGGTCTTTTGGTTTTGAGCGTATAAATGTGGCACTTAACAGGTGCATCAGGAATTTCACTGAAGGACTTTGATGCAGGTAAGTTGACTGGCCCTGGTCATTAACAGTCCCTATGGGGACCATTCTCATAGGAGGTCGGTATCGGGGGAACCAGCCTTCAGGATGAACCTTTATCACAGAGAATTCTTCAAGAGAGACCGAATCCGGCCGATGCAACGAAGCACTATTGACTAGGTTATGCCCTTCCGTAGGAGTTAGCTTGCACAAATTTCAAAAACATTACAGAGTCAAAGAAATATGAGAAGTGGCCTCGAATTCACTTTTAACGACTAGAAAACAACTGAACGGCTTCTTTGCATCCATTAAATTACGCATGCGGCGAAGAACAAAGTGTGCGGACACTGCCGTTTCCATATTAGGTTTAAATCATACAGAAAATATCTTTCAGTTCAAATGAGCAGGTTGTTCTCGGTTAGGGTTCACTCTCCTGCTATTCATTTAGAAAAAGTCTCGTAAATGAGCGAAGTACTTTCATCTTCTCCTGGCTGCATCGACATTTAAGATGGGGCTGTATATGTAGATCATCAGAAGTGAATGAAACATGTACCAGCCTCAGTATCCGAACGAGTTATGCGTTTATTAGAGCATATACTACACTTCCATCCTTCTGTAGACAGTTATTCTCAAAGAGCACTGCTTGGACGTGTTCGACTGAGTCGCATGCTTCAACTCCCTTACTGTAGCTGAATGACGAGCATACCAATGTGTGGACTATTTTCCACAATTATATGGATAAATCAAAATAGAACTGAAAAACCTACCATTTTTTATGGCCGATTTTGCGTCAGATAATGTCTTATCTGCCGTTTTTTGCACCTCGTCCAACTCCATCTTTGAACTATCCACTTGCTTCATCACCTCCTTTAAAGTCTCATTCCGACTGTTGACTGTAGCTTCTTGAGCCTCCATAGCCTCTGCCAATTTTTTCCCGATCAACTGAATTTTTTCACGTCTTTCCTGCCAAGACTCTGGACCGGTCGATTCCTGTAAAGCTTCTTCAGCTTTTATTGTCGCTTCCTCCGCCTTTTTCATATTGTTTGCAATAGATTCGTATGCTTCCAGGGCAACAATGGTTTGATTGATTTTGGTCGAGTAGCGTAGTGTGGATAAGATGCGTTCTGATTCACGCTCCAACGGTTCGACTACACCACTGAGCAGGTTTGACGGCACGTAAATGCCATCCAGATCGGCCAAATCGATGCCAGTGATGTACTTTAATGCAGCTTTGGCTTCATCCAAGCGGGACTGAAGTTCTTCTGGTGGTATTGTCGCTATCTGATCTATCTGCTCTTGGAGCTTTTCGAGACTCTCCTGGAATGCTTGAATCACGTTCAATTCAGCAGCCTCAGTGGCAGCTTTTTTGAGTGCGTCGCTTTTTTCCTAAAAGTGAGTGGTACGGATTAACAAGAAATGAGCATCAATATGTTGGTGAGCAACACCTAGTGTTTACCAAATACTTACATTTGCAGACTAGAGACTCAACTGAATCCGGCAGTCTAGCGTTTATAATGGTCTTCAACTGAATGTTCTGCACCAGGCCGTCTCATGTTTCAGTTGACACGATAATCGAAATACCGCAATGCATCGTCCAGACGCGCCACACTACTCATAAAAAAAGCACTATAAACCACAGACTCCGTGAAAACCAATTTCGTATGCAAATGAGAGTAGTTGGCGAATTCCGTCCTATTTGGGTTCAAGTGTAACACAAATTTGACACGAAATCGAGGACTGCACCTGACCAGCCCCAAGAAGGTGGAAACCGTTCGTGAGCTGTTGAAGAGTTTTCAGCAACTCCATGTGTACTGTATCATCCCTAAACAACACAAAGTGTTGCTTTCGAAAACGTCCTAACAGATAGGCACACACAGCTTAAAAGACGCTACAAGGAGCAGTCTAGTGGGTAGTGTTCAGGTTACCACCGTGACGATATGGACAACAATTTTCCAAATGTATTGGGTTCTATGGACATATTGAAATGAAGATAATGAGCTTTGACTACATGCCTTCCGAGAAGTGAAAGCAACCACCTGGTGACCCTCTCGAAATGGATAGCGAGGATTATCTGACAGGGAAGGACTGATATACAAAGCATTTAGACAATACCCAACTGGGTGCAACAAAAGATGCCCACAAGGTAGTGACTTCTTCGCGTGGAACGAACTCGTGTCTGTCTGTGTGCCTATTCATTGTGTGCATTGTGAAGACAGGGGTCTCCCTTCGTGTTTGATACTTGCACGAACATGAATACAACTTGACCTGATGTGTTGAATGGATTTCCTAATCCTGGCGCGTGACGCAAGTGGTGGCTGCGTAAACGAAAATGGTTGAGAAGTTTTACTGAACATGTTGTCGGCTAAGGTTGCAAGTGGGACAGGAATTGTCACGTGGTTGAAGTGTTTGTGACGCGTGATCTGATGAGTGACCTCTACAAACACTCTCCTCTTAACGAAGGAGAGAAGTACGTGCTGATGAAATGGTAGGTGATGCTCGTGGATGTGGGGTAAACAAGATAATAGACAGTCTATGTGGATGTGCTAATGAAATTAGTTCCAGGGGTAAGTAGACAGGAGGGTAGCCGCTACAAGACTAATTAATTTAAACACTGAGGTTCCTCTCCCTCTGTGGATTGCGGCAAAACGGCAGTCTGATATTTGGTAGCTTAAATAAACTGCGAATGCAGCAACCATTCATACCTATCCAGATCATTCCTTCGTCCTCAACCCCACGTTTTTTCCCAGAAGCTGCCGCCAGCCATAAACTGATCCTAGGTTTTATAGTCCTATTGTCCAACTACAAATAATATGTTCCTTCTAGTGAGAAATATTGTTTTACTCGATAAGTTTCTTTAAACGCTTATGACTTTCTCATAAGAGGCCAGTTGTGCCTGGTTCATTGGAGCTAATTTTTCTTCCTAGGTTAAACCAACTTGGGTTAGACGTCAGAAACATATGATACCACCACAAAATAACAAAGTACATTGTCGTTAATGACAGACCTGACTGAATCCTTTTGTCACTGGTGTTTAGGTAGAACATAGATTTGATGGAATCTTGATGACCACGGCTATCTGATGCTCCTCAAGAAGGATGAAATCGATCTGCCGAACATCCCTTAACATCAAAGGAACATGCAGTGGGGTTTTTTTGCCTTGTCAATGAGGATCATAGTCATTTAGTCATCCTGTTGTCAATCAACAGATCAAGCACAGTAAAAGCACCTTTGGCTAACATATCAGAAACATCTGAATAATAGTCCGTAAAGTCCTAGACTTCCTACTACTGCGTGAACACTTAAAAATGCATTGCCTGCAGAGAAAATTAATTCACTGTTTATTGCAGACTTATACCTGTAACACAGTGTGTAGTCAGCACTTTCAGCACGGACGAGTTAACCAGAAACTCTTTCAAGACTACAAACGTGACCTTGTGACAGAGGTATTTGAATCTTAGGTGGTTGGTAGACCAGACAGATTAGTTCGAAAATGGTCTTGTGGAGATCGATTTAAGATGACAAAAATGGATCCTTATTATCGTAGATTTATTACAAAGTCCTGATTCCTTTTCAACATGCTAAGCGCTTTTGTCCGAAAATATATGAATTACCGGGTGACTAGTTTCTCTGGAGGACGGAACACAGAAACTTTCCGGTGTTGAAGGGTAGTGTGTTGTAATGGTCATCCAAAGTACTGCATGACGAAGTTAAATTATTTCTATCGATTACTCTACAGCAGTCAAGCAGAGCCTGAATAAATACCCATGATATGATATTCATATCTCGCGTATTCTTTCTGGACGTCAATTAAAAGTAGTTACTCTTCTTGGTCTCTTTCATATGCAGCCGCACTCTTACAATGCCTTGCATTACTTTCCTTCACTTTGCTCCATTTACGGCGACCTTACTATGTAGGGGAATAATTCCACTCCGCGACTGTCGCGAATCACTGCCATCTATGAAGCACAGACAAAGCGCCATCCTGTTTCTATTTTACTGCTCGACACCCTAAACGACGTGGAGACTGAAAAGACGATCTTCGTCTCCAAATTCGGAAAGCCAAGTTTTTAATTCTACTACGGTGTGACACTATCCAGTGTCGGCAAGACAATGGTGGCAGCCAGTCGTGCACCAACCAAAACCAAAACTAAACTGTCTTCTAGACCGGCTCACTTTGATTCTCTGCTTTTTCTCGATCAACGAGATTGGGTGATTTGTTTTGCATGTCCGCATGTTACATAGGAAAAGCGATAAGATACTGAATTTAGTAATCAGTTCTCACTGTGAAGTTTTCGGATCAAAGTGCTTGAGCTTCTGAACATTCCTTAGGTTTCTATTGGCGAAATTGTAATGTATGCGATATTCTTAGCTAAAAATTGTCAACAGAAGGATAAGGAAACAAGAGACGTCATTCTGTGTGGGGCTGGCAGAGCCTTATGCACCCCATTCCGGTGAACTTTAATGAAGATATACTAGACAGCTGGCATTATTGCCATGTTCTAAAGAGTATGCGTCGAAGTAACTGCACCCTAATTGCACCCCAAATCAGTGCCCAAAATCTCATTCAAATGGCGGCTGCGCTCATGTGAAACAAGCACAAAATTATTTACTGCTAACCGGAATTATTAAAAATCATATAGTAGAGTAACTCCAGAGCCGACAAAATTGTTGGTTTTCAAACAACCATGATGTTAACCGAATGTCAGTTGACAGTAATCTCCGTGGCTGAGACAGTAACATCTAAACCAACACCAGCTTTGGTATTTCAAGGATTACGGTGGACATAACAAGCCTCATGGTTGAAAAAAAATCGGTCTACATATCTTGGAAAGGATCACGGTTATCTGCTACTAAAAATAAGTATGTGGTCTTGGGACGCTACCGCTATTTTTTCTTGATATGTCAACTCATCACCCTCGACTTCCGAAATACTATTTTGGTAATAGCCTTACTTCAGACTGATGTTCACTCAAATTACGGAGTGTTTAAACTGACGCTAGTTCTAACAGCCCTGCTGACATGCGTTTGAATCGAGACTCAAATCCATGATGCCCTCTGGGTTGTTCAGTTCTTCCTGCCAACCCCAGAGTACTTTTCCTGATATATTTCTAACCCTGGTGCAAAAGGAATGGGTAGCACCCAGAGGTGAATGAGGAAAATTGGAAATAGGAAATACGAAAGCCACTCATCTTTTTTGGATAGTTCTGCATTATGATCCTTGTGTTCAGTTCACAACAAAGCGATCTCCTTTGTTCGCTGAATGTCCGTTATCATTTTCCATCCTGGTATCCTAGTATCTACTGATAACATCATAGAGATGGGCTTAGGACGAATTTTAAGTATGACCCTTCTTGTCCCCAGGTGTTCGTAATTTGTCCTTATGTTGCTAATTATCGATCTAGTGTTATGCAACCCACTGGACTGATTTACATCCACCACCTCAAAATGTTTCCGGCAGCACACGACAGCTCTTTGTGTGGTGACCGTAGAGATGATTTAATTCCGCACCAACTGTGGCAAGATCGTTCACGGTAGGAGACGGAAACTTAAACAACTAACTGGAGTGTCAGCTTTGAATTGGTGTAAGTTGAACAGAATCTTGGCCATCTTGAAGGAAAGTTCCTTTTTCAGTCTGACCATGGAAATATCTATAACTTCAGGTCCACCAGACTGGAAACTCCAACTTACTTGAGCAGCGTTTAATCGCACATTTCCTCGGGCAGTTGAATTGCTAATCTCATACATCAGCTTGATTTGCGCGTCATGCAACTTGACTTGTTGAGACTGATAGGCTGTAAGTCGCTCAAGGTCTGCGGTTGTTTTACTGTATTTATCCAACTTTGACAACTGTTCTGCTGAACTAATCACTTCGTTTATCTCATCCATGAGTTTGTCCAGCCACTCCTGGGTGCTATCCAGATTGATGTTTGACAAGTCAGTGTTGACTTTTCTTGCTTGTTCCAGCCACCGCTGCAAAACACGCTCATCAGGCATTTCCACGGACAGCTCTTCAATTCGTTGAATCCACTCTCTCACACGGTGCTCAAAGCGTTGGGCTGTCTTCTGTAGTTGTGTGACGTTCTCTGTGGATGAACAGCGGGCTACTTCTATTGCATTGCGTGTAGCCATCACACGGTCGGCGAGCGCTCGAATTTCTCCAGTTTGTTTGGCCACACTATGTGCATGCTTGACAAGCTCCTGTTCTTTTGTAGCTCGTTCCTTACTAAATCTTTTACGAGCTCCTTCGGCCTGTTGCCTGAGACGTGCTAGACCCTGGTACGCAAGAGACGTCATGTTCAAATTGTCAATTTGAGCTTTCACCTCGTCCGCCTTGATGAGAAGCTCGCCGGTACACGGTCCACGACAGTCTACAATGAACAAGTTTGGTATTGGGTTATAGTTTAGAGTTCAACCGAGGGACCGTTAAGAAAGACGTTTGTTATTAAGCGGAAGAGTTTGCATATTACGTCTTTGAGCCTCACGAGTTGTTTATAACTTCCCATTCAGACTAATAAATTTTGAAAAATGTAGAACCCGCTATTGTAAAAAATGTGCGAGCTCAAGAAACAAAACTATTTGAGCCTCACTAACATTATCAAATGAGTGTTCGAAAGGAAAATACTGACTGGTCGTTTCTGCCAACAAGTTTAAACCTCATACCCGGGACACAGAGGGACTAAGGGCAACCGTCTCTTCAGAGTGCAGATCACTGTGATAGAATGTGTCATGGAGGAACGTTGCTATACTGTTCATAACGTTGTGTTAAATTCTTCCAAGTTACTTGAAGACTCTCCTGTAGTTCAAAGCACGGCAGGGAAAAGGGACAACTTGAAAAGCGCGAGAGATAACTGTCGGAAGTAGAGTGTTTGTTTGGAAACGGCCCAACGGCCATTTGCGGGTGTTCGTGCTCCGGGAAACTGATCACAGAACTCTGTTTTGACAAACTTGCGATACGCATTTAGTTGTATTTTCGCGGGAAGGAGCTACTTATTATGGCAATCGACCTGCTTGATTCCGGCATCACTGAAGAATGTGTATTCAGTCTTTTGGCGCCCGAATTTCCTTCAGTTAAATTTCTTTGTTAAGTGTAGCACTACACTCTTAGTAAATAATAATAATAATAATTAATCCGAAGCCGTGGAATTTTACTGCAGCTTTTGACGAAGCACAACCGTTCAATCTGTCTTGAGAAGGTGCATTTTACCGGTTACGACCGTCAGCCACGTTACAAATCTTTTCATCACATCCTGAATCAAAAGGACTATTTGTTTTGCCGGAATCACTAAATGCAGCTTTTTCGCCTAACTTCAAGGCTACTGATTCCGACTTCACAACATTCAGTTGACCTAATTTCTGGTTAAATGCGAACGAACCAAAGTAAACGTTTTAGCTGTTTGAACTTCCTGAACGATCATACTCATACTTTGACCGAATATTTTGAACCGAATCACCCTCGAATTGGTAGGCACGCACACAGAAACTTGAGGGTTACGAAGTTTCCAAACTTTAGTCATAGTGGCGAAAACAAACCAGCCTGCTTGGAGGATCGATGGAAGTCAGTTGACTCATGAGAGACAACTGCTTGCTGGTCTGCTGCCAATAAGGACATGCTTTAATCTCGCGATTCAGAACGATAACATCAAGGCAACGGCGAAATAGTGTAAGCTTTAGGTTACTATCCTCCTCATCTATGTGACTGAAGTCACAGCCGGACATGTGCAGTGTCTGTGTCTTTCGTGAGCTCACTCGTGACATTTTCGGTTGGTCGGACGTCAGTATTCCTATGTTTCCAAGGGACCGGTGGTGCGGTAGTATAGTGCATTATAGTGTAGTATATTGCAGCCAACTAGAAGTGAATACTTTCCAACTAACTATTTTCAACACAGACAAGTGGGGCAAAAACCTATCGTATATCTGGCCACTGACTGGGAGACTGATTACCCAGAACCCACAGTGAGGAGTTTGCGGGCGCCAAAATAACCTAGATCCTTGGGGTTGACCATTGGCAAATGTATCAAAGTAAGATTACGGAATACAAGAAACTCACCGCGACATCGGCCAGCATCAACCACATGGTCCGGTTCACACTGATCACATCGACGTCCTTGAATTCCGGGCCAACAGTCACAGGCACCTGTACGTTGGTCACAATTTGCACTTTTCGAACCAGAAAGGTCACATTCACAAGGCTGACAAGCTATCATACTAAGCGGGTCACCGAAGTAACCCGGTGCACAGCGTTCGCAACGTGGCCCCGTGTAGCCCGGTTTGCATACACATTGGTGGGCCACATATGGACGATCTTGAAATGGTGTACACGTAATGGCATAGCTGAATTGCAAATGCACGGGAAGATAAAACAGAGGATGAATCAGATGCATTCATCGGACTCCTGTAAAATGAAAATAGGCAGTGAATGAGTCAGAAAACTCACTCGGTTTGTTCTGTCGGGCACTGACATTTGACACAGGTTTGACCTTTTTTGGGATCACCGAAATATCCCTCAGCACACTGACCACAATCAGGCCCAACGGTGTTGCCTGTGCAGGCTTGACAAACCCCCGTGACTGGATCACAGTGAGACGACATGCCATGGCAACGACATTTCTCCACACCGCCGGTCCACTGGATATTCTGCGAGTCACGAATAGCCGGTGCACTGGGGTCCGGAGGTAGAAGGCTAGTGCCAGGTTTCGGAATCAGTGGTGGAAAGTAGAAACCAGAGGAAGCGATCTGTCAAAGCGAGAGAGTGTGGGATCCAATCAGAGAAGATGGCCGACTTTCACATTTGTACACTAGATGCGACGTATTGCATCAAGTTGGTTATAACTATTCCCTCACCTAATGGTGTCGGGTCGTTTTTCTAATAAAGGTGTTCCATTGAGATGGTAGCGCTTTTAGTTTTGTGCCGACGGACTTCTCTCACTGATGCTTCGCATAGATGAGTAGACCGCACACACTGAACGATTGGACGCAATACTGCTAAAAAAACAGCACCAGCCTTAACAAAAACCTGCTCTGCATACAAATTCTCTCACGAAACCCAAAGACATCATTATCCTAGCCATTCCTATACACTGGCAACTTCAGCAACAATCCTAAACAGAGTGACCGTCGAATGCACTTGTTCGGTAATCACCACTGGTCAGCCTTTCCGGTCTTGAAAACCTTGGTGTGAGTGTCTAGGTTCCCACTATCTTCAGCCATAAATTTAATCTCATCTCCCTATCTAACCAGTCATAAATAAATAAAGTTATAGGATCGCCCGCTCATTCTTTCCAGATGAAATTGATCTCAGAAGGATTTGTTGGGTTGCGTGAAACCAGCATAAAAAACTAGAAATTTAAACTCCAACGCAGCTGTTTTGCGTTCCAATCGAAGCACTACGTTTTCGACTGGTCGACTATTGTGCGACACGTCTAGGGTGATGAGAAATGCGGTTAAACAGGTTGACTTGAATTGATCGGAATTGCAAACAGGACCCAGTAGTCTCGCAGTGCTCTTATCTGCAAAACCTTTGTGTGTGGAATGAGACTTTTACGCCAAAATATTGCATTTTGTTGCGTTTGTGCTCAAACCAAAAGCCATCCTAATCTACGTCCACATTTTTGCGGCTCACCGAATTTCATTGGTCACTGCAACCATCATACGTCTGGCGGAAAAGTCTGGTTAAATACTTTCCCAGCATCGCTGATACCCAGGGATGCCTAGATGTGGCTCAAAAGATCGGACTCGTACTCTGAACTCAATTGCCTGTCTCTTTTAGCCCAAAAGGGACACGCCGTTGCTTTCGAAAATCCAATTCTATTGTGCGAATACTGCGAGCCATTGCAAGCAGTACAGTTTTGCTTAGACACGCTGAGCCCTTGAAAGGCACAGAGACTGAAGGTCACAGCCCATCCGTCCCACACCCGTTGTCCACCTCATGAAAAAAGATAGAATAAATCGGTAGATTATTCAGATTCGGATGACCAATCGGTGAGCCAACTAGACAAGGCTTACCAGCCCGGTTTGCTTATAGAAAATCCATAGGCCAATCAAGTCTCAGTGGTAGGGGCGTCAAATCAATGAGTGGGTCACCTCAGTGGAACACAACACAGTCGGAAGCACCTGAACAAAATGCCGAGCTTGCAAGGCCTACTGGCGGTCGAGAAGTTTTCGGCCAGCAGGGTGTTTGCTCTCCCACACCACTGCTGAAGATTACATGGTCTGATAAGACCGGATACGGTGAACAATTGCTCGGCCTGGTGAGCTAATCGGTGTACACCATTCAGCGTCAGTGTTGCTAAGGCTGGCGATCCCGAACGCAGCTTGGTGGGATAAATCAGTATTCACTTGTGGTCTGTTTGGTCGCACGTAATCATCCATTTATTTTCAATCCCATGATAGCTTCATTGTGATCTGTATCATCTGAAGCTTCCACGCTGCGAACACATCGCAGTCAAGTAAACTGTCGTTATTCAACTGTGTCGACTATGGGAGATCGGCTATTTTTTACGCCTATCCAAAAACAGAATACCTATCAAGTTGAGTTGCTATATACCGAAAGTGCTTTCCCGTGTTACTGCTACCTCACAAGGCCTGGGATAAGTCTCGAGGAGTTACCGCACGTCACCGCATTTGCTAAGTGTTGATTGTACCGCTTTAACTCAAGCTGTCTAATGCTTTTGGGCCCAGGAATTTGCCCGGCTAGATACACCCAAATGACCTTCAGAAAAGAAGCAAAATACACGACGGATGAAGGTCTTTACTTTTGATAGTCCGTAGGCAAGAATGAATCCTAGGTTCTCATGGTATATTTCTGTTGAATAACTAGCAGGGCACCGTCCCATGTCACACTGGTACATGTAGTACAATTACCACAACAGTTCTGCACTATGGTCTGCACTCACATCGGATGAAGGACTTTCACATTCATCTCTAGGACACTGAAAAGTTCCTGAGTGACAACTCTGACTGAGTGCATGGCGCTTGTTCTTACCAAACTCCTCACATGTGTCGTGAGTGAAGCAACGCCCACTTGTGGTCAAAACTTTACTTTTTTGGTTATTTCCATCATTTGAATGACTGTAACTTAATTGTCTCAAAATTTACCTGGTAGTATTTGCGCCTTTGGTCCGTACCTCTTAACGGATGGATTCGCGGTTGAATTTAAGTTGATGTCAGTCTTTCTTCAAGACATGGTACATTATACGTTTCTTGTGTCAACTCACTTCACAATGGTCCCCTGAAGATGTCGAAGGACATTCGCACTTCTCAATTGAACGAATCGGTGTTCCGACGCTAGTTTTCATTTCGCTCATCGCTTGGTAGATTCGGTACTTGACACTATCAGCGCATATGGGAAAGCAATTTGAAGAGTGTTATGCTTCGTAATAGATGATCAGTATTTCGGTATCGCAATGTGACAAACAATAGAACATGTTCAAGGTATGGACGATTGCTTCTGAAGGTTGACCATTCCGTGAATGTATGGAACAGTCGGAACCTCAAGTTGAAACTGACGAGTGCCTTTGCTATGATCTTCAGTGGAGTATTTCTTCTATTCGCTTGAGGGTGCAGTTGTGTATTTAAATGTATTACTTCCAAGTTTGACCGATGACTATCTCGTATGACCATGCGGCTGCTAAGCTATTTCGCTCTAGATGGAAGCTGGAAACCGCCCGGTATGATCAAATCCGTTGAAGAGATTTGAATGGCTGGTTATTGAATTGACTACTATCTTTGCTGAGAAAGCATGCCAATCGGACCAAACCAACTGCTGGAAGATGAAGCTAAATGAAAAGTGGTTTCAATTGTCCGGACGAGATAAAAACTAGCACGATATCACAGACTATGAAAAGGAAAAAAACCTTGACAGGAAGATGACATCGTTCCACGAGCTATCTGCCCCATTCTACGACTTCCGTTAGGTGGTCTAAACTGTGGGCTGGATCAATCTCTGGCTGGATGAGAACTGTGAGCTATGGAGGAGCGGCTCGAGCTTATGAACCACAGATGAATCTTCTCGGTGTGGCCTATCATTCTGTTTTTATTTTTGGGAATCTAACCGTACATAAACACACCCCAGTGTTCCTTAAATTGCGATGTATCGTGGTGTAAATCTATCATTCAGTATACAGACTCTATGTTATGTATTTACCCTCTCAAATATGAACAAGAAATCAAGTTCAGTAGTGAGTGCTCCTTTAGAGGGGTGAAGGACAGCTCGTCTGATTGCACCGGGAATCCTTTGGACTATTGTAGGATGGGTGCACTTTATATATGTATTCATGTACTTATGTATTTATAAATAACCCACATCCAAGTTCGTAGGACTGCTGGCTTGTTTCAGGCCTGGTCTAACTGGAAAGGTAGTTGACTACTAGCCAAATCGTAACCCTACGCCATACCAAGAAAGCACATATAAACATCAGCTGTCGTCGATTAAGTATCCATAGCTTTCATTGGGTTTTGCCTCACTTGACGGGCAGAAAGACGTAGATGCACTTGTTGAGCACAACAATAGCTATCCGAGAAGTGCAGAGAAAGCACAAAAAGTCCACTGCAAATTATTGGATAGGCCAGTTTTCCCACACCGATTCGAAGAGCCTAGTAAATGAGGACTTACGTGACAAGTTTGGGCCTGGCTTCAGGCATGAAAAGCCGCACACTGAACGAAGTAACATTCATCAAAGCCAACATGAGCTCATTACGACTTGGTCGAACGCGAGTATCAACATCGACAACACGTGTCAAGACCCAGTCGGATTCCCGTAACCAGATTTGTCGATAGCCATCTTGTATGGCGCTGGGAGCATCATCCTGCATTCATGGTACAAGAAAAGAAGGACAGGTATATTATCAATAAATGAAGTTAAAAGGGACTTATTACCATTAACACGGTTTAGTTAGAAAAACGCTAACTAACAAAAACTGTGAACAAGCAGTAAATGTCTTGTAGCCGAATGGAATGTCAGGTCAATGAGTAAAGCCTAGTGGAGCGCTTGAAGTAGAAGCTCCAAGCAATGTAGAGGAGTTGAATCTTCAAAAATGTACTCTGTGCACCTGAATGGGTTACCGAAATTCAAGCAGCAGCAGAAGGTGAGTTGGATCAAGAATAAAGGTAATTCCTGTGATTCTGATTACGTTTCTATTGAGGCTCTGAAGAGTAGTTAGTAATCACAACTTCAGAAGTTATGTAGGCGAATGCAGAATTGGGAGAATTACCCACCCAACTGAGCACTAACGACATCTCACACATGGTGACGAAACGTTTATAAGTCAACTACCAAGCTCTGCGAACACATCCTTTTCCACCTGGCCAACATCTGATGAATCATGTTTTTGTACTAATATGTTCCAATTGTTATCGTCATATAATGGGTGCACATAGGAACAGAACTTATACCAGACATACAACAATTAGTGCAACGACTCACAGAAGGCTGATATTCCAGTTGTACTCGTCCACCGAAAGCGACCATTTTTGCATCCACTCGATAGGGATGACGAACGATGAGACTGCCAGCTACATCAGTGTTGGGTCCAACACCAGCACCACCATTGACCACAAAACCACTAGGTTCATCCGGTGGATTCAAGTGACAATCACCCATGGGAAGGCATTCAGTTAACAGTTCAATCACCACACTTCCATAGTTTCGGGTCTGAAAATAATAGTGAGTTGTGGTTGCTGAGGCCTGCTGGTAGGATAGGACGGACAAGTGGACAGATATCAGAAATCATTTGAGGGATTTAGGAGCACTCGGCCTACTGCTTGACAGCATTATGTGGTGAGATGCCATAACTTGTTGTTCATATATATTCGTATTTTTTGACACTTCGGACATACTGCACCTAACCAGCTGGGGTGAATTCCCAATTTAGCAATTGGATGGATAAAAAAACCAACCTAAGTATTATGGTTGCATCCCAGGAACATATTTACTGCATGTTCATCATGGGCTGTTGAAACGAATACAATCTCTATAGCTTATGATAGGGTGCTTGTTCACCCCAGTTGTCCAGGAATTCAAATTTCCATGAGCAGACGAGTGACTCTTCGTAATTTCTGAACAGTCTGAGGAGAACCAGGATTTGGAGATGTCTTTACGGGGCATCTGACGGACCCAGATATTAGATTCATCCACCCGATCGGGACCCTTCCGGCAGAAGCATAAAGTTTCCCGTTTGAACCCAGCCCATTTCAAAGGGTCATCACGTTTTAGAGAGTTTTGGTAAACGCTCAGTGAATTTATTGCCGGGCAGCGTTCCGCTTTTGACACAAAATCTTCGTCAGGCCAAGTGAATAAATTACCAGGTTGACGAGATTCAGGGCACACAAAGAACCAGTCAGTGAGATTTCTTACAGCTGGCCGACTTGATCGGTGCTGAATGCCAGTTGGTTAGTGAGGCAAACGGGTTGGGATCAGTATTTTTGGGCCTTGCTTGCCCTATCTAGGACATTTTGATAAAATATTCTCTCTGAGTAGCATTCACAGATATTTGGTCTCCGTGAGTTAAAAGATCCTAGTACAATTTGACTGAGACTGGTCTGGATTATGTGAATCTTATTTTTTCTTTAGACCCAGGACATTTCACTGATAACCACAAGCCTCATCGTATCAGCTCGGTCGACCTAAAACTAATCTCCACACACTTGCTATTTCTACGCCTTTGAGCATACTTTCTATTTTCAGAATCAAAACGCTGCCAGCAATATATTCACCGATCGTTTACCAAACCTCTGAACCGGTGACTACTTAGTCGGTTCAGTACCTCCTTTTGATAACAGACAATCATCCGCGTTCCGCGTATACACTGTTTCACCAAAGGTTCACAAATTTCCATGACATGATTGTGAACGAAGATTTCCGGAGGATGATATGAGGCCATGAATCATTAGGCAACGTAGACATAGAAGCACCCGTTCCCCTCGCGATCGATCAACTGCTTCTATTCGTTAAGTTTTGACACACTGTACTATTTGTACCATATTGTTACTCCATTGTGCATTTTAAGCTCACAAACCAGTGGCCTTTTTTGACCCTACGTAATTTCTCTAAGTGACGACGCACAATCAACTTGTTTCCCGTAGAAACCTTCCTACTATCACTGAAATCTCTAGCATGTGACAACATGATACCCTCTTCTTTAGCCTTGCAGTCGATATCAGAGGAACAACAAGTCCCAACATCCCCTTACAGTTTGTTTTGTGCAGTGGACTGTGCAATTAGCGCTGCACTTCCGACATGCCTTTGAAAGTGTTATAGCGCTCCAGTAGTCAGGTTTAGTTTTTTTAAGAATAGACTAATGCCTGCGGTAGAGCAGTTTGGTGGTATCATTGTGAGCTTTTGCCTCAGATTAGGATGAAAACTATGACTCAGTTTGGATATGGCATGTCTTACGACTCAGGAACAAGTAGGCAAAATATGCTGCAACAACCGAAAAGGTCGGCTTGTTTGGATAAAATGAGAAAACTGAGCATTCCCGAAGTAGCCGTGATCGAACATGAGGATCTACTGACTAATTAGTTACTATCATCGAAATTCGGAGTGGTAAAAAAACGTACACTAGACTTCTAGTGCTAACCCATACATGCTAAACTACCTTACTGGTAAACTTTGGCATCTGGTACCCTTTTCCCCTAACTTTTAGAAAAAAGGTTGATTCCTAGGTACTCAGGGTCCTTTGAAAATGTATTACCCTGTGAAGACTCTTTTTTCATCCAATGGATCACAGAAAATGTAATCAAAGTATAAAACTGAACTTGCCTGAAGGCGGGCAGTCAACATTAACATGACAACCCTTATTTGACAGCCACAAGTCCGAAAACTACTGAGGCAAAACAGATGATTCTAGCTAAGAATTTAAGGTGACGCCAAAAGGACTCGTCTGAAGCTGGGATTTTTTTTTACTACAAAGTGAACTGAACGAAATAATCAAACAGTCATTACGTACCAGTGGGCCTTTAAGTTCCGGGATCTCCAAAAATGTTGGTCGATGATCCGAGAAGCGCCAGTTGAACTGACTCACGCCAACAGTCAGATCATTGTGGCCGCGATCTTTCAATCCAATATCCAACTGAATCAACGCCCCGCCTGGGGTGCTTGAGTGATCGGAGGCGATAATCTGTGTAGAAATGTTTAGAAGAGAAATGAAAGTGCGTATAATTCATGACTGTCCTTTGCCGAAACAAATAAGAGCATCCGCCTCAGAGCAGAGAATCACCAGATAAGCAAACATAGCAACTGAAAATATTCCTTTAGAAGGAGAATTGGATGAAATCCGCAGACAAAGCAACCAATAAAGACATCATGTTAGGAGAAGGTATAACTCTGAATGGAAGCGAGTCTGCTCAACACTGAATCGCCCTCGCAAGAAGTGGTACCCGCATGCTACTAGTTGATTTGCGGCCTCGTCGGAGACAATCTGTTTGAGTTCATCTGAGTTCATTACAGTACATTGTACTCGTAAAGTTGCTGAGATCCCACCTCAAAGAATCAACGAAAACTCGAGCACTATGCCTGACTGACTATTCCTTAGCAGAGTCAAACCGGTAGTAGGTTATCGATGAACTTTGGGCAAACTTATGAGTAATGTTTTGCCGAGAGAAACTGTTGCCATGACAAGCCCCGATCAGTCAGGCAATTTTTATCCACTAAATACTATCATATTTATGTTAATAGTTTGTGGGATCCTTCAGCTAATGACTATCTGGTCCAAAAGTAAATTCGATATTTTCAGATATGTAGTCCCGCAAGTTTGTTTGTGCCGTTCAAACGTGTACCTAGACCGATTTACTGCGCTACCACAAAAAGAAATCCAGCTTCAGACGTAGCATTGCGTTCTATATAAGCATCGGATGAATGAGCCCTAGAAACTGGTCATGAAGGAAGTAAATGAACGTCCACCATATGAACGTTCAAGTGTGATGATAGGAGTAAAGGCGTGAGTGACATTGTTTTACCTAGTATAAAACATCACGGTTGCAGTTAAATTGATATGCCGATTATCGATTGCACTCCTTCGTGCGTATAGGGCCTACATATGATACTTAAGAACTCATACGACAACTAAGAATTTTCGGAATTAAATGCAAGTCATGGCTTTGCAACTGTAGACACTTCGTTGTACTCATTTTGTCCGTGTTCGGGAACTAGCACTCAAAGCAATGTTGCACCCACTAAGATCCTCCGATGTTCAGTCCTCCCAGCAAAGTGATCCAGATAACGATTGTGAAAGCATTTCGTGCAACGGTTACGAGATCCTTTTCATTGCCCATAGTTGAACGAGGCGGAAGCTGGGGGCAGTGGAAAGTGTAAATTCAGATTGCACTAGGGTCGTCTTGCGCTTCGGTTTGACGTGTTCAGTATGAAATTCAAACGAGGTCCAACAGTTTTTATACCGGTATTCTAATAATAACTGGAGAAGCAAAAGGGACCAGTCGAAGTGACGCAGTTGCTTTGGTGAGTTAACAACAAGCGTGCCCTATGGTGTGAGTTACCCGACATGTTACTCTGAAGGAAGACCGGCTTCTAATTTTCTGAGGTCGCCCATCTCTGAGAGCATCGTTTTACTGCCAACTGTTTAAATGCATACAATACTCACCTCAACGCCTTTCTCCCTTCCGCGGGATGATCGAAAACCGGTAAGCAGGCTACATTTGGGTTTCTGATTCGATGGGAAGCAGAAACAGGTGTAACACCCTAAAGGGTAGTCTATATTGAGTCCAAATGTTCCTGGTTTACATTCGTCACACCGGTCACCCTGGAAAGTGAAAAAGACATAAAAAGAAAAGGGGTTTTGACGAGGCCATTAAGATGAGGCGTTTATTGTCGTACTATCAACTACATTGTTCACAACCTTTTACCTATCTAAGAGAGTAAAGCCAGATCATAAGTAGGATTTTGTGGTTTAAGGAACAGTTTGCTCCATTTCCTTTGACGAGTTGGCCCAAGTGGTTAGAGCGCGAATTTACTGACCAGAAGGTCCCTGGTTCGAACCCGACCTCTGCCTCTATACTTCTTCTGTCTAGGCTTAGCGAACCTGGCAGAACCCCAGCCCTCTTTAGTGTGGCATGGCAGTTAGGCACCAAAAGGGTGCTACAGCTGAACGATTTACTTCCCGAAAAATTCCAAATGACTAGAGTATGTTTAAACGTTTCTCTGTTATACAGACAGGTTGTAGACACGTTTAAAATACAGCTAAAACTGAACAAGTGCGATTAAATTGCCTGAGGCACTGTTCCTACTTTTCAACAAAAACCCAGACGTTTGCGGGTTGCCTCGGGCACACGGAAATGCTCATTCAATAGGGCAAAAGCCGCCTTTCTATGCTGTTACAGGTTGAGTTGTACTAATATCAAGTCACATAATCAAACGAGCGTAGGACAGACAGACAAGCAGCAAGTGATGAATGAAACTGTTTGGGCTGTCCCGGCTACATTTACCGAAGGTTATATAGAACATACATATTTCGCGAGAAGTGGGTACCTCCCCATGAAAGTGGAATAACAATTATGACGAAACCGGGTCAAGCCCTAACTCTTAACTCTTCAGACATGACATCATGAATTGTCGGTGGAGAGCAAAAATCTCACCTGAACATTCGCCTTGCAGAAGCAACTCCCGTCAGTTGGATTGCACAAAGTAATGGTAGATTCCGTCCCGTTTGGCCGTAAGCTTCCAGCAGGGTCACATTCACATGGACGACAGTTAGGGTATCCGTAATAACCAGCATCACACTGATCACAGGCTCGTCCTGTATAGCCCCGCTTACAGGAACACTTCCCACTAACCAAGTCACAAGTAGTGTCTGCGCCAGATACCGAACCCACTTCGGAACAGTTGCAATCCTGGCATCATTAGAGAGGAAATAAGTTTTTGAGTTTACTGATTCTAGACATTTAAATGTGAGGGAATTTTATTCAAAATGCACCGGTGGTTTTCCAAGTGTCTTCAAAGTTAGTGACAATTAATTCGACAAAAACGCAAAACGTGAATAGATTCTGAGTGTGGCTTCTGCTATCGGTAATTTTTTTCGATATAAAAGCCTACCTGGATGTCGTTGCAGGGTCCTGTTGAACACAGAGATATCCTCAAGTCACAACATTGGACCAAAGTTTAGAAGTGAAACTTCTTAGCAGACAACGAATGCCTCATATGACTGATAAATGTATTAATACAAAGTCTAGCGAACAATGGTGAGTCTGCAGCCATCCCTTCACCCACATACATGGCTATACAGCTCACCGCCACCCACTAGATCACGAGCCTGTCTTTTTTCCCACACTCACAAACCACGCCACACAGTGGTGACTAACTTGACCACAAATCTCATGGTCACCCATTGGATCACGGGATTCGCCTTTTTCCCTACACTTACAAATTACGATACGCAAGGGTGACTCATATGACATTGACTGTCTAAATTCTGATAAATGTAGTAACAGGTCATGTGCTAAAACCCACACACACACACGCAAACGTACCTACATACAGGAAAATAACACAGCAACAGGACAACTGAGCAGAGCTATGCAAGGCGCACAGGTTGGAGTCTAGCTGCTTAGGAATCACGACGCGTCCCTCACGGATCACTAGGAAACACGTGTAGCCGCCAGAACAGCGAAGAAGACACAGAAACCTGCATCCGAACCTGCAACAGGATTTATCAACTTGTATCTACAATACGATGAATCCCTTGTTCATGTATATACCTACTGTAATCATTTCACTTAACAAAGCTGTCGTTAGTGCTCCCCGTTTTCTGTCCATATAACCAATTTTCGGGTTATAGTAGAGCATTAGCAAAGTGGTGAGCCCGACATTTGCGAACTCACTTAAATTCTAACATTTTTTTCGTTTGGACTTGCATATACCTATATTTCTACTCATGTCTGACACCTAAGACTCAGTCATGAAGTACACTATTACCTCAACCCAACAGCAATGCTGCATCTGTTTGTCTTCTACGGTTTTGGCATTACGACCCATGTATCTGATTCACCTAGGCCAAAGCACAATTCCCTCTTCACGGTATCACCCGAGAGCATACCATGTATTATATCATGTACTAGCAGTGCTCCCTCCAGCATCAGCGGCTGATTTGCGTGATATCTTGTTGAACCCAGATGATTCCAAACCCTATACACAGCTTAGAAACGCGGTTATAACCCGGACATCATTGCCCGAGCATAAGCACCTCGAACAATTAATTAGCGGCGAGACGTTAGAAGGCTGCACACCGTCATAATTCCGGCGAAGCCTCTATGGTATATTGGGTAATTGGAAAATTGACGACACCTTATTCAAGCAATCATTCCTTAAACGTTTGCCAACACACGTACACTCCATACTTGCGCAAGATACCAACAAAATCCTATTGACACAACTCGCCAACATTGAAGACAGAATCCTAGAAATTCAACCTTGCTCACCTGACCTGTATTCTCTCGACACGTCTACAGCTATATCCTCACTTCACGTCCGTATCGACGAACTGGCTAAGCAGATATCGGTTAGTAGTTTCGATCGTACCCCTCGTCGCCGGTTTACATCCCCGCAGCAACAGAGACACCGTCGTTCTACTCCCATATCTCGCTCTACAGAGTACCGTTGGTACCATACTCAATTCGGTCGATCTGCTCGAAAATGCACAACTTGTTCATTCCGGGTGTTACCATCCGCAGAAACCCCACTAGAAAACCAACATGCCGGACAGTAGAGGCGAGCAGTTTCCCAGGCTTGGACTACAACACTTGCCGTCTCCTTCTCTTAGGTAGGAACTCCGGCCTCCGGTTTCTGGTCGACACGGGCGCCGATATTAGTGTAATACCCGTAACCGCTGCGAACACTAAACCGACGCCCTCCTTGCTTAAATTTCGGGCGGCTAACGGCACATACATTAAAACATGGACAACAAGCGCTAGACCTCAATCTCGGCCTACGTAGAGAATTCAGATAGTTTTTCATCATTCCAGACTCTGGGGGCAGATTTTCTGAGTCATGATAATTTACTAGTAGACTTAAAACGTCAAGGTCTACTTGCTGCACAACTCAATTAGCAGTCAGAGGAAAGCCAACAATTACGCCGGACGTTCGCCCCATAACGCTATCACCACACAGTTCTTCCTGCCACCCTGACTTACTCGGCAAATTTTTGGAGCTCTTAAGGCTCAATTTTCATCACGCAGAACCGATGCACTCCGTGGTTCATCATTTTGGCACACATGGAACTCCCATTCACTCACGTTCAAGACGATTTTATCCGGAAGAAGAAGAATTTAAGCACATGTTCCAGTTAGGAATTATTCGGCCGTACAAAAGCGTATGGTTTTCGCCACTTCACACGGTCCCAAAGAAAACCACAGTGAATTGCGGCGATTACCATATCATGCGCATTCACTACTTTGCATCTAAGCTAGCGGGCTGTGCAATATTTTCCCATGTTGATATCCTTCGGGCTTATCACCATTGTCCAATTCACCCCGAGGACATTCATAAAACTGCAATCACTACTCCTTTTGGTTTGTTCGAGTCTTTACATATGCCATTTGGTTTGAGAAATTCAGCTCAGACATTTCAGCGTTTTATCGACCAAGTATTTTCCGGTTTGTCATATCTTTTTGCTTAAGTAGATGACATTCCAGTTGCCAGTATTAGCATGGAACAGCATTTAGGACATTAAGGCCTTTTATTCACCAGATTGTGCGAACATGGGGTTGTTATCAACGCACAAAAATGTAATTTTGGCGTGTCCACATTAAATTTTCTTGGCCATAAGGTTAACCAGGATGGTGTATCACCTAATGACGATAAGCTTGATGACATCCGAAAATTTCCGTCACCAATTTCATTCAAACAACTTAAACGTTTTTTCCTTAACTTAAACAGACGCTTTATGAACCCAATTTGTTGATGCTCTACTATAACCCGAAAATTGGTTATATGGACAGAAAACGGGGAGCACTAACGACAGCTTTGTTAAGTGAAATGATTACAGTAGGTATATACATGAACAAGGGATTCATCGTATTGTAGATACAAGTTGATAAATCCTGTTGCAGGTTTCTGTGTCTTCTTCGCTGTTCTGGCGGCTACACGTGTTTCCTAGTGATCCGTGAGGGACGCGTCGTGATTCCTAAGCAGCTAGACTCCATCCTGTGCGCCGTGCATAGCTCTGCTGAGTTGTCCTGTTGCTGTGTTCTTTTCCTGTATGTAGGTACGTTTGCGTGTGTGTGTGTGGGTTTTAGCACATGACCTGTTACTACATTTATCAGAATTTAGACAGTCAATGTCAGATGAGTCACCCTTGCGTGTCGTAATTTGTAAGTGTAGGGAAAAAGGCGAATCCCGTGATCCAATGGGTGACCATGAGATTTGTGGTCAAGTTAGTNTGCGCACTGCTGATGATTCCCAATAAGGATGAAACAGCTGTACAGTGCTTCTCGGCTTTTCAGCATAAATTGGCTTCTCTTGCAGGATGAAATAACCACATAATTCAAACAGTCAATGTCAGACGAGTCACTTTTGCGCGTCGTGATTTGTAAGTGCAGGGGAAAATGCGAATCCCTGGCGTGCTTTGTGAGTGCTGGAAAAAAGGCACACTCGTGATCTAGTCGGTGGCGGTGAGCTGTGCAGCCATGTATGTGGGTGATGGGATGGCTTCAAGGTAACCGAATCGACCCCTTGGTCTCACCGATCACGCAATACAGACAAGTGGTCGCACGCTCTGTGGTACTGCTGAGTAAATGAAAATGCTTGAGTTCTTACTACCTGAACTTAATGAGTCCCGCTTTGGGTGAAGCGTGTAGTGAATTGCCTTCTCACCACCTACCAAGTCCTGATTCCGTGGAACAACATGTATTGGTGGGGAAAGCGTTGTGATTTTTTCGGATAGTGCTGGACGACCAAGGACAAACGTGTAGATATTCGATCCCCATCACCAAACGCCACAATGAATTTACAGTGCGGTTAATGACGCGGGGATAAGAGGAGACTTAATAAATTGGCTATTCATGTTTATTGGCTGCTTACTCCACCTAGTACACTTGTTTTACCAGAATCGGATGAGCTGAAAATGTACTGCTTTCACCATAATTGAGACATATCAAAGTTAGCTGAGAAACTAACAGCAGAAGATACTCTAAAACGTACTTTGCAACCGGTCACTGGATTGTAGTCCCATGATCCTTTGGTGCATTCCTCACATCTATCACCCTGTGTGTTTGGTGGGCAAATACATTTGCCAGTTATTTGATCACAGAGCTGACCGTTTGGACATGACGGGCACGCTGCGTTGGAAACAAAGTATCCATTATATTATTAAAGATTGTGGACACGATTGGGTTACCGCAAATTGATGAGGGAAGCGATGACAGATTGACAGTAGCAAAGGATTTTATTGGTCATGAATCAAGGGGAAGCTGATCGCATGGCCCATCATTCGGGAGAGTGATAAATGTTGAGGCTCTCAGGAAGTGCACTCTCTGATCAAGACTCGCATTGCTCGGCAAGCTAATTCAGTTGGCCGTCCGACCAGTCAACCTCTATCCATGGCTCCGTGAAGATTTATAACCTGAAGCAGACCACTATGGTCATATTACACTATTTTTCGACCGCTTTCTGGTAATTGTTGGTCATTACTGGCGTCCTGATATCACTATAGTACGAACACGAGTGATATGAGCACAATTACTACCTTATGGTTACGTTTCCTCATCCTCTAATGATCTCCTCAAACTCACCTCAAGTTAACACACCTAGTGTTTTCCGTTTGGTCACAGTCGTCTTATCTTAATGAATGCTCTATGATTGGAATTTTGAGTTCGCTCAATCATCTTGTCCTCTTATTTGTTAATTGAAATCTATGACAGGCGGTACTGGGCTATCAGATTCTACTTGATTCCTACTTATTGGATTTCCTATGTTGGGAAAGGCTGCCAATGGAAGTAGCAAGTTGAAGAATGGCCCATATATTAGCACCCATTAATCACTGTTGGTTTTTCGACGTGATCAAGAGTGTTGCCCCTCGGTGTTTCCTCATTCAATGTGGCCTTAATTGAAGTTATGAAGGCACAAATTCTCTAGGCAACCCTTCTTCAAGTGAAGCCTTAAGATCTACGTCGTATCTATGGCCTCCAAATTCCAAAATAATGGAATGATTTTACTCAAGCAAATTTCGCTGGCATTCTTTGGGATCAGGTTGAGAAAGTCTCTTTCAACAAACTTCGACTGGTTTATTTTATTAGAAAGAGACTACCCGTTGTTCGAAAACCAGATTTGGTTTGTTACTATTACTAAGATGCTTCCTTATCGGAAGACTGATAATAAATGCGTTTGGTAAGCGATGAAAGCTGTCGAGTACAAGTGTACTCAAACGAGTATCATGCTTGTACTGATACTGTAAACATTTAAAGCCATCGAAATAGAATCCACTCACGCTGGCATCCCTTTGCGGACACGCCGAAATAGCCTGGTTCACATTCGGTACACTGGCGTCCTGTCACATGTGGTGCACACCGGCACTGACCGGTCTGCATATCGCAACCCACTGCTCCACCCACCGTCCCGTCAACAATCGTACCGATCCCACAGTCACAGGCCAGACAGTTGGGACCGGTCACATTCCAGAAGTATCCAGCCTGCAAGATGAAAACACCCAATGTAAGAACAGGATATTGCTATTACTTAATTCATCCGGTGCTGGTCTCAAACTACCAGTAAGGAAAAAAATTAGAATAGTGACAGTAGCTTACAAGTGTTTATGCAAGGTGGACCACAAAATACTCGGTTTAAGCGTTCGATGGGCACCCCAATCAACCACCAGAGACAGAATCTTCCGTAGGTCTTACATATTTGGTCCAAATCTAGAGCTCGACTGTCTCCATCGTTTTTAAGTTTGAGAGTTAAGCACGAGTATTTACTACCTATGGTGATGATTGTGACGACGATGATAGTGAGTGAACGGGAGGATTGTGGCAATGGGGATAAGGATACTCGATATTCTGTCCTACCAGGAAGCACTAGGATAGTGGAGCCGTTACCGGGGCCCTTTCTCCATATCGTCAACATTCCTTTATTTGTCATTCTACTGCAAAATTTCTCAACGAGCCTGCGCTTCTTATCTTTGACTGAAAAGTGTTAGGAGAGGCACAAGTGATGAAGTGCCATTGGTCTATTTCTTCAAGGATGCCACCCACCTCTCTTACTGGTTCCATCGCTTTGTCTGTTGACGCTTTTTATCTACATGTGCACAGTTAAATACCATCAAACTTACAAAGCTACATAGTTAGGATAGATATCGATTCAGTCACACTGTTTCTTACCTTAACTGCTTTGAAGTTTTTAGACTGTTCCTGGTAAATGCTCACCTGTGTTGCTACAGTGCTGCTCCCCGTAGCAAACGGTCAAGGGATCACAAGAGGGTCCTGTGGTTCTGTGAATGTTACACTTGTAAGCTTTTGTTGAGAGTCCAAGCACGCTTGATCAGGACCGAATTAAATAACAGAGAATTAAATCACCCATATACCAGTAAGGCACTGTTGGACACTCGCACTTCTTAAGATATACTAATGAATTTGACTCGCGTTGATCGTATTAGTTCTATAATTTTAGAAAATCTTCAAAACTGCGGTCAAAACATGGAGGTCAGGTGAGTTCACGCTTAATTTTGCGTTCAGAGTGTTCACAGATGAACGGGAAACATGACAAATCTTAGAACATACCGGTAGTAACAAGACCAGTTGGTATTACTTACTTTACATTTGTCGCAGGTGATTCCCACTACGTTTTCCCCACACTTACAACGTCCATCCTCAGGATCACAAACTCGATCGATAGCACGGCTAGAACACATACACTCTGTAAGTGAAAAAAAGCAGAAAGAGGTGTACTGGTTTTCTGATATTGAACGCAACCGGTTTATTTGGTCTTATATAGTGCGCAAAATACTACTTGAAATAAACAGTCATTTTTGGATTTCTGGGATATCTCAGTATTTGGAACAATCAGTAATTTCCTTATATGGGTCAGAATTCGAAATCATCTAAATCAGTCTATTGCAAATACTATGTCAGGGAAAGTAGAAAGGCCTCTATGGAAAACACCTGCAATGGTCAAAGCAAGCACAAACACATACATCTGTAAGTGAAAAAAAAGCAGAAAGAGGTGTACTGGTTTTCTGATATTGAACGCAACCGGTTTATTTGGTCTTATATAGTGCGCAAAATACTACTTGAAATAAACAGTCATTTTTGGATTTCTGGGATATCTCAGTATTTGGAACAATCAGTAATTTCCTTATATGGGTCAGAATTCGAAATCATCTAAATCAGTCTATTGCCAATACTATGTCAGGGAAAGTAGAAAGGCCTCTATGGAAAACACCTGCAATGGTCAAAGCAAGCACATATTCAACAACTGCAGCAATTTTTAACAATCACGACAAAGACACAAACCTTACCAAATTCCCCAAAAATTCATACTTTAACTTCTGCCTATTTCTTGCTTCGTGCAGTGAATGGAACGAGACTCATCTACTTAAATTACTCTGTCTGGTGGAACATGGGATGCTCCGATCAGATTTGAATCCTCTCTGTGAGTGTGTCAGCCTGTCGTTCAAATGAGGCAATAGCCTAGTTTGTTAGGTGGATTGTGTACATCATCACATCATGCAGGAAAACCATGGCACCCTCTCAGTTGCCATGGCCATGGCTGGAAGTCCCACTGTGTGTCTTCTGGTTCCTTTCCAGAACCACCATTATAGGTCCACCACTGAGAGCTTGATAACAGAAATCCGGTTGCTTTATTCACGCATCAAGAACAATAAAGCCTCCATCTCTCTAGTCACTAGGGGTTGCATAGCTCCAATCAAAGTTCCGGATGGTGCGATTCGTGTTGTATTTCTCTCTTGGATATGGCTGTAATTTATCCATGGACCTTCTGCCACATCTGTGCATTCCAGGTGTGACGTGTGCTGAAACATACCAAGATCCAACTTGAAGGATCTGTGTGGCTTTGAATAACTTCAGTTGACTTCATATGGCAAGCAGACATCTTCCCTTTGCCTTCTCAGAAGTCATTATTCCGATTTCACGTGCCTTTTTGCTTGATTCGATAAAGTCTGCAGATGACCTTCGTGTTTCTGCTACAACTTAGCGGTACTAACTGCTGTCTTTTCGAGATTGAATTCAACATCTTTCATGATCATGCCATACTGACCCGCATGTCGTGTCTCAGGTTTGCCCGATTATTGGTGCTTGATCACGGTTCCAATGTAAGGACCGTGCAATTATTGGTCATAAGTCATGAGTAATTTAATACAGCATCACTCAACACATGAGCTGCATGCCCAGTATATGGTCTAAAGTTATTGATAATTATTACGTTTCTATTTGTCAACCTATGATTGTTTGAATCACATGTCTGGGATGTCTCCAAAAGTATTTCACAGTAGCCGCGTTAAATTAGTTTGATGGCATCCATGTTCAAGCCCGAATATGCGTTTTACGTAGTTTCGTAAAATTTGGATGCCAACATACCGTACCCTTAATCTGGAAGTATCAAAAAAGGTGTCCTCGAGGAGTGGTGATCCAGTCCACAAATCGAATTCTACCATGCACATCCTGTTTTCAAAGTAACACTGTAATCTAACGTACCTTCAGTCGCCCCTAATTGGACCATTTCGAGTGTGACAGGTTCATTAGAGATTTCATCTGTAAAACGTCTGAAACACGAAAGTTGCATAGGTGGCATGTTTAAGGTGATCTTATTTGTGTCTGTAGAGCCTCCCTGGTTTTAGGCATGGGTCGAATTTACGGGCACGGTTAATTCTAACTTGAAACCTCGAGGTTTCCTCCCTCTACTACGAATAAGCAACCAACCTGTACATGTATCCGGACCAAGACTGTAGTATCCAGGAGCACACTTAGAGCAATCCAGTGTGCCACCGAATCCATGTTTGCATACACATTGCCCGGTCACCTGATCACACGGAGGTCGAACATTCTGTTGCGTACCAAGCGGGCTACACTGACATGGAGGACATCCTGCGTCCACATTGCCACGACCAGCCACACAGCGATCACAACGCACACCTTCATAGCCAGGACGGCAAGTACACTGACCATCACCAAGTCGACAGGTTGGAGACACACTTCCCATCTCATGACAGTTGCAGGCTATAGGTGGAAGTCAGAGAAAAGTGCAGCTCACGGAAAAAGGCGCGCGATAAAACGCACGAGCAAACTCTGACCTACAAAACCTACCACAAAGAAAGATTTCTGCACAGCTGGACAAAAAGTTCAAACTCAGTAGCAAAACAACTAAAACTAACTACATTATTCACATCTTACGAAGTCGCCGAAGTGATGTAACTTAGTCAGTCGTATCACGATTGAAAGGCGCGGTCATCAGGCTTGCGGGTGATGGTAGGTGATTAGTTCCGCTGTCGTGGCTCAACATCCTATAGATGCTGAAAGTCTTGTACGTCTTGTACGTGAATTTGCGTCCACTATGCTATGTACGACTTCTAAAGACTCATTTCTTAATCCACTTTTTCGCAAAAACGCCTATCACGCTCGCTATTGCACATTCACCAGGTAGTATGGCTAACTGAAAAATGATCGCCTTATAAAGACATACATATTACTACCACTGAAAAGATATATGCACCCAGTGGTCCATGTGGACAATACCTGCTCCTAATTCACGAAAGGAAAGGTATTCCTGTCTGATGAGACATTAACTCCCCGATTATTATCTTTGCGAATATCTGAGACAATTTACTGAAAGATGAACTTCCTGATGGATGGCCGATTTATTTTTCTGCGTAGTCCAATTCTCAATACTATAGAATTGAAGCTCACAAAATAACAATCCTGTAGCCAACACAAGTCGCTGGTGTGAAGTTGAACTAAGGGAGTAGCAGCAACTTGGGATTAGAGAGAAAACGATCGTGGCCAGTTTCTCGACACTGGTGTGATGCCTCACCTTCATAGAATATAGTCAAATTGGCTCACAATATGTTTGATCTGCCACCAAGTACAGACATAGTGAGAAAGGAACGGTCGTTTTATGTATTCACAGTGAAGTGGACAGCTGTAGTACGGATCACAGAGGGATATTTATGCTTTCAAGATAAGCAAAGGAGCAGCCAACTTACGTCTACAAGCCTGTCCTAGGAGCGGGTCTCCGTGTGTACCTTCGGCACATGCATCACAGCGAGGTCCGGCCGTGTTGAACCCACAAATACACAGTCCAGTTGTACCGTTGCAACCAACCGCCCCACGACCGCAGTCACATTTTCTGCACGGAATCCCCTTCTCTGGTTGCCCATAGTAGCCTTCAATGCACAGCTCGCAATAACGCCCCCGAGTGCTACGCGAAGAAAAATACAGAGCACGGCATCAATATGGTATTGCGACGACTAGTGTGTTGTTCAAATAAGGGGTTGGTACGCACTGTACTCAGTGGAGGTGAATCAAACAGCGTTTCATACTCAAGGCAAATAAATCTAACAAGATGGTTTACTCAGTGGATTTGAGTATATAACACCTGAGGACTTGGACACTGTACTAAGGGTTAAATTGTGGTAGACGGAGATATTGTACAGTACAATACCAGTACAATCTGAAGTTACTGAAAGAACTGTAGTTGAGCTCCAACTTCGCCAAATTAAAGGACAGCCTCTAGGTTCAAAGGACGGGAAATCCTGTATATAAAATTCAGTATAACGACTGCACTAATAACAAACATTTGGTGTTTTGTCCCTCGGAATTCGCTAGCAAAAGAGGAGGATAACTAAGTCTCAGAGAAATACAGACGAATATTGGGTGCCGGTCATGGAAAAAATGCATTACATCCTCAGCTTTAAGGAGATAAGTGTAAAAGTTCCCAAACTGGGGGCACTGCTCACGTTGAAGTGAAGAACGGGAAACCCGCTGAAAACCGTCAAGTATCCTGCTGTAAAAGGAGTAGAGTGTCCAAAGCCGGAGAGCATCTGAACAGCCACCTAAGATCAGCAGAGCTAGACAAGAGGCTACATCAGCATGGGTGGATTGCACCGGATTGAACTCCAAATCGAACAAAGCGCAGGCAATACCCAACCAGCCCAACCTTCGCAGCTGCCAGCGACCCACGAAAATCAGTAAATTTCGGAAACACCTCAAGAGGGACAATTAGCCGGACTGGTCTTAACAATCAGCTACTACACTAAGTGGCAAGTTCGATGGACGTCTAACAATAGTTTGGTTTAACATGAGGAAGATATCTCGCTACCTGGTGCCCTACTAGTCTGAAAATCCGACCGAACTTTCAACATACTCAACTGGTATGAAGAGTTGTTTGTGTATATATCAGAAAATAGTATGTCAGAAAACAATACACCATGCCGAGGCTCTGACTACCGATGGCGGCCTGAGATTAAACCACTACCAAATCCTGGTCAGAATGTGTTCATTTGAACCATGAATGACATTCCACAGGCATTTTGTGACTGTTCAGCATTCCTCGCAGAGTTTGTATCTTCTGGTCTAAACAGCAAATTGTTGAGTGAAGTTAAACCTGTCATAATTGGCCCACATTCCTACAGTGGATTAACTTACGTGCTTGACACGCTTGCCCATCAAGGAATGCTTATGAAGTTTGTAAACTTAATACGAGAGTATACGGTGAGCTCCCTCGAAGCTTCCATCTACAGAGCGGTGTCCGTCAGGGGTGCCCACTCCCTCCGTTCTTATTTGATTTCGCGACCAATGAGATAATGAGGCTAACGGTGGAAGGTCTTCAAAACCCCTTTGTTCAGATAGCCTCTGGCCAAAACCTTGTCGACCTTCTTCTCGTCTTCGAAGAGGAGAAAAGCAAAGTCATCTCGTCCTTTGGTATGGTGTAAGGTCATGCTTGTGGACTTGCAGTCACTGTGCACGCCACTCACAACCCAGGGGGAGGCACTCGAAGTTGTGGAGCATTTTACATACGTTAGAAGTTGTATTGGTTCTGATCGTAGTGTGAGAAAGGAGGTCAATGCATGAATCTGCAATCAGGTTTGTTAATTTGAGACATCTATGGCGTCAAAACGGTATATCTCTGAAGCTCAAGGGACGTGTGTATTAGGCTACCGTACAGCTTGTCTTACTTTATGGCTGTGACTTAACGTGTTCGATCAGTGGAACTCAGACGTCTTAGGTGTTCGACGAACGTTGTCTCAGAACCATAGCTCGTGCGCATTGGTGTCGGTGAATCCGTAACTCGGCAACTTGAAAGCGAGTTTTCGGTTGTGCGGGGGGAGGGAGGGTGGTTCCATTCAAGAGTGACCAACATCGGTTAGGTCATGCATTGGGCATGCCAAACCATCGTTTGCCGAAGAGATTTCTGCCCTTCGTGGCTAATTTAGAGTGCCGGAAGCAGAGAAGTGGCCAACCTTTGAGCTGGCAGAGGTTACGCAAAGACTGGGTGCTTCGGGTGCCACTCTCTACTCGGAAGGGGACCGTGTGATCTCCACTGTGCCTGGTTAGAGACGCTGAAAGACATGGTTGCTAATCGATGTCAATGGCGTTTGCGTCGTTGATTTCTATCCAGATTGCCCGAATGGTGTCTGGAAGTGCAAGCACTTCGAAATAATTTTAGTAAGGTAGTACTAATTTCCTTCTGTGTCTGCTTTTATTTTTTTTGTTCAAAATAAAGCTTTCAAATAAATCGTGGTTGCATGGCAGTGAAACATCGGTGCTGAACACTGATGTGGTGCTGTCCATGATGATGATGATGATGAGCCTACACTAGGGGACAGATAATTCGGTGTCGGGGGAATGTTCAGTTACAGTACCACTCTCAAGTGACGTTCATCGATGCCACAAGACCAAGAAGCACAGTACAGCTGCTGAGAACCACCAGCAGTACCCGTCCCATTAACTTTCATGATGACCCGAACTTGCGACCCTCAGGTTGTAGCTGAACGCTGTGAACTTATGGCCACGAGTGACTGAAAGGAAATATGTTCATCTCACACCATCAGATCTGTGGATACATTCATGTATCGTATGAGTTGCTAAGTATTAATTGTCGAATTTGAATACATGTATCCATCAAAACTTTGTCACTTCATCAAACTGAACAGCAGATCATAGGATGATGCATGATCCAGCTCTAAATTTCTTTATTCTATGGGGTCCCAGCAATCATTTTCCAGTCTTGTGGATTCATATTCGCTCGTTTGGAGCTTGAAAATAATCAGTGTTCCTTACCACATGAATGGGAAGCCAGATGTCAATCACCCTAATAGACATCATACCAGATAGGGTAGGATCCACGACGTCTGTTCTGGGAATTCGTTCATCCTACTGGCTATCAATTCCTTAACCCCTAAGGGAGTTCATTCGGCTAGATGCTTCCCTAACTGTAAACTCTTTGATCAGACCAATGCCAGTGTACTGCCGAACACCGGAGCCCGAGTAACCATAAAATAAATACTCACAAATCTTCACAGTCCAAACACAAATAAGGTCGAAGATCTGTCGGAGGCGATTGTTCGTTGGCTACACATGAATCTGTCTTCTTATTGGCCAGATTGGGACATTCACATGGTTGACAAGCCGTTGGACTTCCAGACTTTGGATCCCCGTAGAAGCCTGGCGCACATAGCTCACATTTATCTCCAGCTGTGTTGTGTTGGCAGTCCTGAAGTTCGAAGTGCGGAGAGAGAACGTGATAAAATGATTGTACATTCAGCGGTATGGACTAACGTGGTTTGAGTTTTTCTTCGGTGATGGAAACCAGTATACGTGCCTATAGGACATGTATCCGGAAAGGAAAATCGGTTAAATGAGTGAGGCTGTCCCGGATTAGTGCAAAAAACACTCATGAGGTGCGAGTTCATATTCTCTCCCTCATGTCTTTGCTGCAAATAGTATCATTTGAATGCCATTGGAATGGAGTGTGCAGCAAATGATTTCAATGTCGACTTGACCGATCGACCACTGAAAAACTGGCTGGAAACTGCCAATTAACTGGATCTTCACCACGTTTATAATGTATCTCATGACCCAGCTGTTAAGCGGTTCTTATCACATGACTACAAAGCCTCTGGACAAACATTTTTTGGCATCGCATGATCCTTAAATGTCGGCCATGTTTGTGGACTAGGTTGAAACCACGCCGAGTTCGAACCCCGGCACGGCCAACATAAAACACTGTTGGTGAACTCTAGTAAGAGAGAAACTGGGGTCCAGTGCTTCTCCACCCCACTGGCGTGGATAACCTAGAACAATCGTTCCAGGCCAGGAGGAAGACTGCTCAAACGAAAGTGATGTGAGCGTGAATTCTAAAAATCCCCGAACAACCAACAGCTAATCCAAGGACAGAACTATAATGCTGATGAACATCCGATTGTATTGTTGCAGACATACTTGTCATTGATTGCGGTGTCAATGTTTTGTTTAACCAAGTGTCGATCATTTCATATTGAGACAACTGATTCTCTCCATTCCCCGAGGTATTTGTTGGACTGGGGCATTCTAGGGCCACAGTCGGGCAATGCTCAGCCACAGAGATAGGGCAAAAACACTCCGTAAACTGCGTAGAGGACAAATGTTTGGTCCAATCGACAGGATGACGGTTGCTTTTGGAGGTCTTCAGAGTTTCACGCGCTTTCACGTAGATTGTATTTATCTGGGAGAACTTTAAAGGTACGTACCGTGACGAGCAACTAAGAATGGCCTTTCACCGATCATAATCCACAAAAGTGTGCCCCCTCCCTGCAATCAGCATTCACGTTGTACATAATATTAATTTTTTGCATGTACTGAGAAATGCTTTCCTCAGGGGAAAACATTTCCAGAACACTTTGGAGTACTCCGTCAGTAGAGATGTTTCCACGTCAGAAATGACCAAGAAGAACCTTCTCACATGAATATGCATCGCAGCAATGAAGTTCCACCTGGATCCGCGAATTTCAACAGCTGTTTCCAGGAATGAAAAGTTTTCCATTTTATTTGCACTGAGCATATCATGAATTTTTCACACACATGATTCATACTAACACAATATAGACAATGGCCACCATCATCTAATCGCTTTTTCGTCTGGTTAGACTCGAATAGCATCTTTGGCGCTACTCATCTTGGAAATCCTGAAGGAATAATTAGAAGAGTTTTTGAATTGAAACAGTCAACCATCCGTCGTTCGGACCTTTTGGTGAATCAATCAGGCAGAGCAGGTGAGTGGAGCCTTCCCTCGCCGAAAGAGCGAGCTTCGGTGCAAAAGTTTCAGCACACACGAATTTATCACATTGGTTTAGGGGTTTACCGATCTTTGAAATGAGCGATCCATACTCTGATTCACAGCCACACCCAATAGTCCAGGTCAGCGAAGCTGTTGTTGACTAGTGTTCTAAGACCTAAGTAGTCATAAGTTTCGTGAGATTTGGATTTTAAATATAAGGATAATAAACCAGATTACACGCTTGTCAAAAAACTGAGTTGTTTGGGTAGTAACGACGTTAGTCTGGCTTTCACTCACTGTGCATTTACCCGTCCGTTCGTCACAGTGAGCCGAATGACCATGGCATTCACAAGGCACGCATTTTTCAACTTGGCCGCGCCACATTCCCAGTATTGTAGGTTGTTCCGTTGTGACGTTCACGTCCTGTGAACGCCAGTACCCAAACGCACAAGATTCGCACGAAGTTCCGGTGTGACCAACTGGACAGATGCACTCTTCGAGACTGGGAATTCGGCCGTCTGGGTCACGCTCCGCCCTCTCAAGTTTAACTTGGCGTAATCTTCAACGAAAATAAAGGACGAAGATGAACTGTTCAGTGAAAGACTGAAATAGACGAGTTCATAAGGCATGAATGGGTTCTGTGTCAACCAAATTAAGTCATTTGCACACGAATTCGACCTTGATAGGAGACTCAACTTAATCCAGCTGAATCCCTCGTTTATCGTAGTCTGCGTCTTTGACAAGACTCAAGGAGATCGAAACCGGTCATGGGCTGTCGAAGAGCTTTCAGAAGCCTTATGATTAGACAGTAAGTTAGTTCAGCTCCACGAGCTATCGGCAGTGTAGTTTACGCACTAGCCTAGCTATTCCTGAGGCCTGTGATAAGTTAATTTAAAGTGACTGAAATTCATCCATTGTGGCCACACTTGTTTAGATGTACAGTGGTGAAGAATACATTAGCCTGCCAAACTTGAAGACCGTTTATGAAGGCCATCCAGAGGAATATTAATGTAGCTTAGAGTCGCAAGTATATGGATAAGCAAGTGGTGAAATCTTCATACTGAATATGATTTCAGATTTAAACACCGCCAAGGCTGATATTGGACTGGGACTTCCTCAGGTCTCAGTCGGTGACTTGTATTAGCTTGCCATTGTGGACTCTCTGCGTACTTATGACACTTTTATGCGTGGCATATGGCGCTGAGTTTAAAATGTTTGCCATTTAATCTCACATCAGACCCAGTATAACGGACACTTTGTGCCTGATGTGCGAGTATTGATTGTGTTAGCGCTTACCACGCCTTGAAGAGCATTCAACATTATTTGTCCTTTCTTCGCGTGTTTCCGTACCAAAATTTTTGCATACGTTGGGATTCATCCCATCTGACTTGAACTGTTGGTGGCATGAAATCAAAAGAGACGTTCCTCTCTTTTATCTCATCTCTTCCTGTTACCCTTTCGCATTCGTTGCTTGCATTCACTTTTTATGTTTCTGACCATGCTCTTCAAAAATAAATAAATAAATAAATAAATAATAGTGTTCTGTAATATTTTCCCCTTCCACATCTATCTCTTGTACTCACCTTTTATGTTTGCGATCATGTCCATTAAAAAAAACGAGCGACTGACATAGTCGCTCCCTAGTCTGAGCACAATCATTCCGATGCAGTGGAGAGCGCGTATGAAAAGGATTCCGTCCACCCAGCGCCGAGTACTATGAGATGCGGTCGGTTATTCCGCATTTGGCGAGATTGTTCGAGATCACAGCCTTCTGATCCGAGTCCAAAGTGCATGTGTAAACACCAAGGAAGACCTGGTCGCTGCTTGGGGCGACAGTCTACACAACAGCGTTGACGGTCGCGATTTACGAGAGTTGATCGCTTCGCCTCTGTCGAATGGATGGATTGTTTCCAGGACGAGTGTTTCCTCTAATATTTATTTGCAGTATCCAGCTCCTGTGCAAGCCACCAAGGACGAGTTAGAAGCACTCGGTATGATCACGGAGGCCAGATGATGTTCACGCGTGGAAACTGTGGCCGACCGAAGAGTTTGGTGCATATTCTACAGTCCTTCTGGATCACGCATGATGCTAGGTGTGCTCGTCATAATCGGGTTGCAAGGGAACTCGCAAAACGCTCCCGTCAACTTGGATACACCCTGTTTTATGAGTTGAAACCATCTACGTCGACTTCTTTCATGAGACCTAACCTAATCGCCGTTTGGGAGCGTTGAGCAACTGTGTTAGACGTACGTATAGTATCGGTGGGCGCGGAATGACTATTTGGAATGAGAAAAATCAGAAGTACAGTGCCGACGATTGTTCCCCCACCATAGTCTCAGCTCTACGTCCAGTCGAGTGTGATGTCGACCTTTTGGTCCACCAACCGATGATAATTTCTTATTGAGGGATCTGGTTTCTTTAACCCGCCGAGGCTGTTATTAGACTGAGACTTCCTAAGGTCACAGTGAGTGACTTGTGTTTTCTTGCCATTTTTGACTCTATATATTTAAAACACTAATGTGTGGTGCATGGCGCTGATTGTTCATTCTTTCCATTAAGTTTCACACCTGACCCAGTGTGATGAACACTCTATGTCTGATGGGTGAGCCTTAATTGTGCTGGCGCTTACCGCGCCAGTACTTGGCATTGTTTGTCCTTTCTTCAGTTGCTGGTCTTTAGACGCGTTTTTCCATATCAAACATTCTTACGTACGTTAAGATTCATCTTGTCTGACTGGATCTGTTAGTGGCGCTGTTTCGAATGGGACGATTCCTTCGTTTTATCCATTCTTTTCCTGTAACACTTCCACATCTATCGCTTGAATTTATTTTCACCATGCTTTTCGAAAATAAACGATACTATCAGTAGCGTTTTTCATTGGCGAGTAAATCGCAGCCTAGAATCAGAATGACGAACAAACATTGTGGCATTCTGAAAAACCGTAAAATCTAATGGGACACAGTGAAACAAACTGCTTCACAAAGCATCTACAGATGTCAGCAGGATGGGTCTGCGAAACTTATACAGTGTTTGAGTTGCTTTAGAGAAGGATCAATGCCTTCCGAAGCTTTGCTCATGGTAGAACTTCAGAGTCCGTTTTCACACAAGTGAATGGACTGGTTTATCATGTCCTACTTCATGACCTTGAAATTGTGTACCGGCCATTGTGTAATTTCGCAAAACATCATGGGAAACAAAAAGTGGATGAAAAACACGGTAAAACCATGAGTCTTGCATCCGTTCGACGTTGCATCAAGTAACCAGGCCAAAGCAACTAGAATTTCCGGTCTTCACGTTCAAAAACAGCGAACGAATCGTCCGTCAATTATCAAATAACAAGGTGTTGAGTCTCCCTTAACTGGCTGTCTGTCTGCTGTAATTAGCTTGGCTGTTAGACCGATGTCCATCATCGAGATATCGCAAATTTGATTGGTTCCATCAAATACAGGCTTCATTCTCGAAAGGAGATCTATCTGGCCTGGTATCAAACATGGATTTTACTGAAGAGCAGCAAAACTCCGCCCAAAATACGGAGGAATTCTCACGTAACTAATCTGCCTGTTTCAAAATGGTTCTGTATCGCTCTTGACAAAGACTGGTGGGCAAAAGACCGATTTTCATACTTCGTGCGTAAGGAATTCCTCGTTCAAAGTTTAGACCTTCTACGTGTTTTTCCTTGTACTGAGTAAAAGTTACGTAAAGCAATCACAAAGCTTTTCCAGGGAGGATAGGACCAAGTGGAAAGTTGGCTTTGTTGATTACAGTGAAATACCCGGGTCGTAATAGGCTTTGCAACAATCTTATCCCTTATCTCTCAATCTGCTTTCACCTGTTCAGGTGAAAATAGCAAGAGGGTGCGGTTTCGGAGATAGTGACCGCGTACTGAGTATGCCAATGGATTTGTGCAGCACGGTACCCTAATTAACATGATGAATAAGCAAGCTTTTTCCTTGTCTGAGTAAAAGTTACGTAAAGCAATCACAAAGCTTTTCCAGGGAGGATAGGGCCAAGTGGAAAGTTGGCTTTGTTGATTACAGTGAAATACCCGGCTTGTAATAGGCTTTGCAACAATCTTATCCCTTATCTCTCAGTCTGCTTTCACCTGTTCAGGTGAAAATAGCAAGAGGGTGCGGTTTCGGAGATAGTGACCGCGTACTGAGTATGCCAATGGATTTGTGCAGCACGGTACCCTAATTAACATGATGAATAAGCAAGCTGTGCATGCAGAATCCATTATGGTAAGATTGGTTGTCATGACAAACAGCAGTGTTTGCGTAACCCTCTGAAAAACTGCTGTACATTTGCTTGTCCGGAGATGCCAAGGATGGACCAAGCTTAAGCTTGGTGTTTCGAGACGTGCTGGTGATCCTTCTAAGAACAGTTCATTCTACAGCAGGAACCACTTTCAATCAGTCTTTCGAAATGGTTCAGCTAGAGAAAAAGGGTTTCCGTAACTTTTGCCACATCTGACATGTTTGCTTACGTCCTACTCAAGACTGGCGGAAATGAAACTAATGAATGTGATAATCATGTATTGCATATTTGTAGACATTTAACGGGTTAGCTAAGTACCCTATGTACATCCAGAAGACAGGAGACGAAGTTTTAATTCATGAATATGAAATTTCACAACTTGGAACATATTGCGGAAATTGGACCTTCGTTGCAGTAATAAAGCACCTAAATGGGGTTGTCGTCTGAGCGAAAATTGAAGTTGATGAGACCGTGACATAAAACAAGAAGCCACAGTTTCCATCCACAGTTTATGAGTGACGATCTACTGCATTTCGTAGAAGCAAGTTGGAGAGAGCCCTGCGGCTTAACCTGAAGCCGTTACCTAAGTCAAAGAACACAACGATCAGGACAAGTGACACTGCATTCTGAAACCATTCGACTCCGCATTCAAACTTACTCAATCGTGGCTTGGTCGCTTATATACTTCACTTTAATCAAGAACCTGTCCAACTTAGACAAGACTGCGACCATATCTGCAATGGTAGCTGGTCGTCCGGGCAGCTGAATTCCATTGCTTCCACCGTAAGGAGCTATCCTGCTGCTTGCCAGGCTTCCCTGAGAAAGATCAATTGGAATACGGTCCAAAGGCACGGAGGAAGGCGGTTCCACAAGCACTCTGAAGGAGGACTCACTCAGAGGTATCTCAATGATCAAATGATTGGCTCGATAATCTGGAGGAAGCATATACGCCAAACGATACCCATTGCCCTGGAAATGGGAAACAGGAAAACTTGCATCCCACAAAACGAATGATGAACATGAAAAAGCAGGTCTTTTGACTGCTTTTGTCACCGGTAGGATGAAAATCTTAGTTTGAAGTTGACACATATATTCCTGCACATAAACCTGTCCGCTACTTTATAACGACAAAGGATTTAGTCCCGCATTGAAGCCAGTCTATGCTGAAAAGCCGTTTCTGTTTCACCCTTATTGGGAATCAAAAGTAGTGCGAATTTCCAGAGACTCTGAATTTCGAACCTGAGAACTTTCTGCCAGTAGTTGAACGGTTAACCTTCTGGCCGCGAGCAGCTAAGCAGCAATTTAATTAGCTCTCACGTTGCTCTCATATAGCGCCGCTCATCTTTCAAGCATGGAATCCACATTACGTCTTCTCCTGAGCCGCATACTGACTGATGGTAACGTGGGGGGATTTGGTGGTGTTCAATAAAGAGTAAAAGCTGACCAAATTGCCGATCAGTCGAAGTGTTAGGTGGCCAAACGGTTCAACCACGGGCCGGAGTGTCGAAAACTTATTGAGTTTCGTGAGATGCTGATAATTCCCAATATGGATAAACCAAACTGTTTAGTGCTTCTGGGCTTTTCAACATAGATTGGCTTTAATTAATGGAATAAATTTTATTGGAAAGTCACTAGATCTCCTTACACCACCACCCATGGTACCTGGGTTTGCACAGTCAACTATGCACTCAATTGATCTGATGAGTACCATTCAAGTATCAAAAGCGTCTTATACCATCCTAACACACTGTGAAGATAAGCGTCCTGTTTCAGTAGGTAAAAGTTCTCTTGACTAGCTAATAGCATAATAATTCAAGTCATTAATTTATTTTAACTGAGCAAAGATTCTAGCGAAGAAGTGTTGGTAGTGGCCGGGGTGTTCAGCTGCTTATCGGACGGACGTAGAGTATTTAAATGTAATTCATTGTCACAGACTCCTGGAGCAAGGTCGTCAGTGAGTCACGTAACCGGTCGCTATTCGTCCAGGCGAAAAGTGTCAATGAAGGAGAATCTAGTGTCTGATGCGCATTTATTAACGAGATTGTCTCTATCGCACGCCATAAAATGTTGAGAATTCGACTTAGCTAACACATTTCCTGACGCATTTGGATCTAATGATCTGTCATTCCACATCTCATGTAATCCTGTTTATTCGGACGATAGCAAGCTATGATCCTGTGCATTGAAAGATGATTGAGAAAACCGATAGAAACTGTTCTACTCATACGACTTCATGTAGATGCAATGTAACACTCTCGAAGAACTTACCTCTAGCACAATATCTGGTTCACTGAGCCACATGGCATCTAACTGATCTCTGATTGCCAACGAACTAGTGCTTATCCTTCTTGATGTATCAGAGGAATAGCTGACGCCAAAAGCCTGCATTGTTGGTGAGTTGAACCGCAAAATCACTGTCAGCTGACTTCGATAGGCGGTCAGCTGCTTGCCCAGGTAGTCTGTCGGGGCCGACCAGTAGTAACCTCTGTCTATAGGACGTAAACTGGCGGCACTGAGCCAAGACTCGACAATACGAACATCGGCTAACAAGAAACTGCTTTCACCTTCACCACCATTATCGTCCCGGTAGGATACTAGATACCCACTGTCCGTTGAAGTGCCGGGAAACAAAATGGACCAGCCATTGAGCGTTGAGACCTGAAAGGACGGGAACACGATCATTATGAACCACTGTCAATGTGGTCTAAAAATGGTTTACAGTCAGCTTACGTAATTAGTGTATGGAAGACTTACGGCACCAAGAAGCCCGTTTTGTTCAAGAGTCTGTTACCAAAAGAACAAGGCAGAAGAGTTAAAACATGAATCTTTTGTAAATATACACAGAAAAGGGCAACGGTGGAAAAAAAAAGTATCACAATATGTCCCACCCGAACCAAGGCGTCTGCTGTGCCAGTCACTCGGCTAAAAAATGCATGAATAAAACTGATAACAACAGAGCGCTTTCAAAAGATGTGAACTCGTTTGACAAAACTTTGCCAGGTTTGCTGCACCCCGGCGACTGTCATCTAAGATGCAGTTTAGTCCTCAATGCTGCTCACAGCTCATCAGAAACGGAGTGGAAGGGGTAGCAAAAATTATATTAAGTATGGAAGACCTCCTAAGTGAGAACTCGTTACCAAGGCTACTCTTTAGAAGGTAATGAACATTTCTCATTTGTCTGACCAATGAAAACACTGCATTTATGATTTGAACTCAAACACCAAAGCACCTAATTAGGCAGAGGTGGATGAATGGACTAGCCTCTCGCGACCGCAGATCAAACCCACACCAGCACCTCCAAACTATCTAGCCATCCAGGTGACTTTTCTAGTGAAGGAGTGGAGTAAATCAAATCTCTGTTCACAAAGTGAGTTCGTCGGGAACCTCTAAGCATAAATTTTAACTCACTTCTCCACTACGCTGCTGGTGGGTCACTGATATTGATTCCAAACTAGTGGTAAGAAACAAAATTACAAAACGAAATTTCGACCATTGTAGACGCCACTACGCTGTGGGTCACTGATATTGATTCCAAAGTAGTGGTAAGAAACAAAATTACAAAACGAAATTTCGACCATTGTAGACGGATACAAACCCATTTTGCATCCAGGTTACTCTCTCACGATCCAACCCAAAACTCACTAAGAGTTGTTCAAATCCAATGGTACTGAAGGTAAACACAGTGGAAAAGCTAGAATTGGTATAGGATTGAAGTTCCTATGTATTTAGCACGTTCTCTGATCAGCAGTTTGTCTCACCGATCAACCTGCTGTTTTGTGAAAAAGTAGCTGGTTTAACCAGCATTAATTTTAACTACCTGCTCCTATGGGCTGAAAGTTTGGAAAGCTCAGCCTCAGGCCATTCCGATGCCAATTTATGTGGCACTGTTTCAGTAGATTCACGCTAGGCATTTAATCTCGATCTGCGTTAGTTTGCTTATCACTCGTGTTGGAATGATCATGAATGGTTATCAAAAGCCCAGTGCCCTTTGAGTTTTCAGATAGCGTCCGCATCTGACCGAGTGGATGGTCTACACAAAGCACTCATCTTTTTTCAGATTCTGATCCATAAAGAAGCGCTTGGTAAGACATTATACACGATATAGAATTCTTCACGAAAACCCTAACGTGTAAAAATATGACAAATATATCAGTATTTCAGGAGCCAAAATGTAGAGTGTACACAGGTTTTCGTGGTCTAGTAGTTTATACCAACTATGATTTGGGATGCGACGTGATGTTTAGGAAACTGACGGCTCAGGTCGATGTGTGATGGCCAGTATGCACTGCTAGACCAGTGGTTAAACCCCGTTTTTGGTTTTACTGTACACAAACGAGTTTTCAAAAGAGCTAGATATCTAAGACTGTTCACCGGGCTTGTTCCCGCAAGATCGACAGCATAGTTAGTCACATTACATATCTTAGCTATAGCCACCTGCTGAACGGACGGAACACCCCAACTGGCTCTAACCTTCGAGATCAGGTATACCGTTCCTGGAATCCGAGGTGTGAATCTAGCTAAATACAAGAAATTCTGTGTATTATTAACTTTATAGTGACAGGTTACTTGAGATTCTGCGCGCTGAGGAGGGTTTTGTCAATAGAAATACTATTGACAACCTGAATCGACGATGACATTTCTGGACCTTTTTAACAGATTGGACAGCCTATATAGTGACCACAAACGCATCTGAAATTAGCAAGAGGTTTCATCAATGACCATGAAAGTTCACAAACAGCCTTTAAACTACTCACATAGATCCAACCTTTGTTTACCAACGAAGATTATTTTACAGCACACTGACTCACCAATGCAGTTATCGGGCTGATTCCATCGCACTTATCCGTCAAACCAGAACAGTAACACGGTTGACAACCTTCTGGGTTCTCCGCATCCAGATTGAAGTAGCCAGGTTGACACTCTCGACAGTATGAATCCGGGTTCACGTTAACCTAGAATAATCGTGGTGTATTGGTATTAGTAACGAGATTAGTATGGTATTAGTGTTTTGTACCGTGAATAATATATCCTTATTAACATTATCACTCACCTTGCAGTTGCACGGGGGTTCGCATCGGTAGCTCCCACCTCGAGAGCTTCCACGAACATCACATGTGCATGGCACACATTTGGACGGATCCATGTCTGAACGACGGTAACCTTCCGCACATTGGTCACACCGCTTCCCTGCGAAGCCCTCCTTACAGATACAATCACCTGGGTACTAGATTTTCAACGAGAAGGGCAGCAAATTATGAGCGGAGATGCAAAGAACAGCTAACCGATAACCTTTAAAGTCATAATACTAGCTTCTTTAATTATTTTGTTACATACGTGATGTAATACTTCCTCTGATCAACGAAGAAAAACAGTGTTAGTCTTCATCGTTAGTGGCAAACTGTCATTTCCAGTGAAACAAAACGAACAATCAATACAAGCAACCAACCCACCCGATTGGGAATTTCGCGTTCGTTCGAAACACAAACTCCAGTTGAACCTGCCGTGTCGCACTCACATTTCACACAAGGGTGGGGGGAATCCGGGCGCACGTGAAGAGGTCGGTAGTACCCGGGTTTGCAGCTCTCACAGTTGATTCCGGTCGTGTCCTCCTATGTTTGAAAAACAAGTGGAATTTATCGAGGAGGAGCCGTCGCATGTGATACGAGAAGCTATACACAGGCGCCTATGCAGCCATAAACGCAATGAGTAACGAAAAACTCTAAAACCAAAAATCCTCGAGTGACGAATGAATTTTTGGGTTGTTTTAAACGGGATTTTACACCTGTAGCATGTAAATGCCCGATTCAATTCCATACTCAAATAGATAAGTAGGCAAATGCCAAAAAGTAACTTTTGTCAATATCAGCTTTTCTTGCCATTCCTCGCTGTCGAATTCACTGAAAATTCACCCAACATAACAGGGATGTAAGTAAACCAGCGCTCCACAACTCAACAACAGGGAGAACAGCACTGTCAACTCTAGGGTCAATCAGATTTTCACTTTGAGCAAGAAGAAGCGGATTGATACCTCCGTTACCTAACGCTCATTTTTTTCCTTGGACGCCACATCTGAAACCAACGTACAATCAAAGGGTGGCCGATACTGAATGTTTAGAGCAATTGAAATGTCAGACTGATAGCCGATGAATCAGCTTGAATATCCGAGGTGGAGCGGGGTGAAAAACACCATTTGCACCTCGCTACGGACACGTAAATCCTCAATACTGAGGTGGGTTTGCCCTGAAATTTGCCAGGATTTTCAGTAACACATGGTGTCAGGGAGCACAATCCCAAACGTCACATCCACTGAACACATTGTTGGGGATACTAGTATTCTTAAAAACCGTTTAATTTTCGACTTATGGCCAATTTTATTTTCCGAAAATTTGAACCTTCAGACTTCGTACTTTCTTCGGCATGTTGCGCCTTAACCCGAGAAGGACCGCACTTCTTTCAAAAGCTCTCCTCAGAGGGCTCGGTCTTCGTTTCTCCGCAATCATAGTTGACGATTTGTGCGCCCATTCTCAAGTTGCTTATAGTCGTTGGTCGTACCCGTTCAGATACATAACACATATTCAGAGTCCCACTAGTTACACAGGTCGGGTCAACGACAGCTAGCTAGGAAGTGGTGACTTTAGAGACACAGCTGCCGGTATTTTCTGTTGTACGTAGTAACTTGGCGATATTAGGGAGCGTGGCCGGTGAAATTGCTTATAGTTTTTGCAATGTACTGACTTTCTAACTAAAATAGGGCACAACAGCCCGACCGGGAATGCTCTCACTCTACAGCCGCTACTCTTTTGGGCAATCCGGGGAAGCGGTATAAGAAGGGTTTATTGGATGAATTCATGGACAACCAGGTGGCAAATGAATGTGGTTCTCACAGTTGTAGAAGGAACTGTTTTATTTAAGCCCAAACTTCACCTGAGCTAACTGATAACACTACGAAGCGTCTATTAAACTGCAAATATTATACCTTGCGCAATGCGCAAAATTCGTCGCATTAAATTTAACCGAATTATGCTGTACGGAGAACCTACGTATTATGTAATGGTATGTCAAGTGGGGATATGTCTGAACGTCGTGAGGAAAACAACGTCAGGCAGCTGGAAATTTCAAGGGATGAAGCATACACCCAATAAAGAAACATCCTCGTAATTGCGTAGAGTATTTTCAGGGAATGATCCAGCCACCATATGCCTCGTTTGATTTTTGTCGAATGAGTTTCACAGACCGACGATGATCAGTAATCATGTCATGTGTTTTACCGCAAAACTGTCAGACGAGATAGTGATGTGATAAAAATGAAAACAGAGCTTCCTTTTCTCCTACCGGTCAAAATTTCTGTCTGAGAAACCTCACATACCCCACGGGCTACACGGCAGTTGTCCCCGGAATAGCTCTCCAAGTCAGTGATTTAATTTTAGCTGATCGTGCTATGAACTCCTCCTTGGCAGCTAATTGACGTATCTTTGGCCGTGTATTCAGACACAAACAGTTGCGTATCATAGAAGAGACTCACGCGACAGTCGACGCATACTCCACCTCCTTCAAATACACCATCCTTTCGCTGACTCAGACGCAGGTTGGCCACCGTTTGGTTGAACACACAGCTGTCTGCTTTTCCGTGACAGTTACACTCTGGAAAATTATAAACAGAATGGGCAGGACTGGTGCTAACACGTTGCGCTCAAATGGAAAGGCGCCTGAATGAACTACAGGAGTTCAAATTTTTTTAGTATTGCACCAATAGGGTGTTAAGAAACTGTAAGGTCCTTCCAGGTATGTTGAGTGTTCCCTCGCTGTTGAAGCCACAGTACGATGGATGGAAGAGAAATATCTATTTGCACGTTGTCGACAAACGTCAAAGTATACTGGGAACTCCCTAGCTTCAATGGCACCAATCGCGAAAAGGCCCTGAATATTTTGCGACTTAAAATATCCTTGAATTTTCTAGGCGTGACAGACCAAGTGAAAGTGAGGCCCAGAGTGCAATCAATAAACTTAGTTTCACTCACTGCTTGATGGTCATCATCCATATAACCAAGTCTTAACATTGCCCTGGGGTCATTGTTTTGCTCAGCGTACAGCAAAATGATTTTCACTTCTCCCTCTCGGACCATGAGATGCATCCCCTTTCCAAGATCTAGTGCGTAAACTATTTACTAAGTACGTCTCTACCTAATGGAATTCGTGTGTCCACATTCTACTAAGTGAGAACCTTTATTTCGCTTGCTGAATTTCAGATAATCACCTTGACAAATTCGCGATTGGTGAGCATTTTGTCATCTGTCATAACTTGTCCCAAGGAACCGCATTTACCAATTAACTCTCCTTCACTGTAATTTATCTTGTCTTATAGCTTCGCTAGGCAAGTGGACGGACGACAAGTCTGTTCTCTCTTTAGGGTATTCTACTGTTACCAAATCATAGCACCCTTATCAGGATCTCCCGCTAAACTCACTTAAATTTGAACCTTACCCCGATACGATCGGGCAAGGTGATGGTCACCTGTGTAGCTGAATATCACCAAGCCAAACTTTCAGCATTCAGGAATAGCAGTGATATAGATCCAAACACACGACAGTGCATCGAAACACGCTCTGAATGAATTTGAGGCAGAATGGAAAAACATACCACTTTGGAAGTTTAGATGACTAAAGACATAACTCAGTCTTTTTGAGGAATGTGGTTGGTTATTCTGAGGGATAACGCCTCAAAATATCTACGTTGTTTTGTGAAACCATCGCTGGAAAAACCGTATACCGGAAGAAGTTTGGGTGGCCTTCATAACCACATGAGAATTCTGTCTTCTACAAGTTCAGGATGTTATGTGTAATCAATACAGCGTCTGATGTAATCATTGCTACCGAAAGGATGAGAGAAACTTAGCGTACATTGTGTTTCAAAGCAGATCACGTATCCTCAAAACGAAGAGCACTTCTGACAAGAAACCTAGCTGATAGGTATACATAAAGCTTAAAAATACTCAAACTTTCAACCGAAACCTAGTCGAAGCATACTTATGAATAAAAGAAGACAAGGAGGAAAAAATTGCAAATTACCAAAATTTTCTGAGCACAGCATATCATGTGATATCTTTCTTTTCATCCACGTCTGTGACTAGTTCCAGCCCTGCCTGCCTAGCTAGAACTGATATTTTACAGGTGAGCACTCACTACTAATGAGCTAAACAGTAGACGAAAGCCACAGGTGATTTTGGCCGTGCTGAAGCCACAGCTAATGAGCAGTGCATGCATTATTCTCCCACATAAGATGAAAATCCCCACTGAGCTGACGATACCGCCATATCGCAACCCGCTTCGTCAGTTGATTCATCGATGTCTTTGCTAGAATACTTGCACAGGGACATGCCTCATGCCATACTTTCTGTGTGGGATTGGCACACTTAGACTGGTGCAACCCACACTAACTACCGTTGCTTTTTTTAGTAGTGGAGCGCAGTTTCCTCGCACGATACATTTTTTGTGGTTTACGATTCAAATCGTTAATTAACACGCCCTGGGTACAAAAGGTTGATGGCAATTATTCAAGTTACGCTACGCTGCACATCGTAACAGTTTGTGAGTCATGTATTTCAAAATATCAAGATTTACAGAACTTCGGGCTTTGAATATTGCTGAAGCAAAGGCAGGGATTGGACGCCACTGCTTTGGTTAGTATGAATCGCATCAGGCCAAGGGTTCAATCTGGGGGTTATTCGGAAATATATGTGCGTACTGTTTGTTCTTCATTGCAAAAGAAACTTTATGTGAGGGTGGTTAGTAGTTTGGTTACATTAGTCGAGAGAGCTCCCAGGCTAAACTATTGATGCATACCATGCATAATTTAGCAACATAAGTGAGCCCAAACAATCTCGAAATGTACTGGGTGAAACAAACCTCTTACACTGACGAGATGATGACAAACAGGACATATCATTACTTTCTCGTCTAATCATTATGTGAGTGCTCCATAACTACATCAGGTCTATGGATACAGCGTAAAATGCAGTATCTCAAATGATTGGCCTTGCTAGTAACCAGTACTGCTGCTCATCGGTGAACCTCATACGCTAGGTGTCACCAATAAATATAATATAATATACCTGTTATTATCCCCTGGATAAGTTAAAGCAGAAAGGCCCAAAAACAGAACTGCTTTAAAAGGGATATTCCGGATAAAAACGAAAGCATTTAAAGATTATGGAAACCAAAAATTGTTGGTTTGCATTAAATAAATTCATTTGTCCTGCAAATGTATTGATTCGGATCAGCATTTAAGGTGCGTAAACTTCAGACACTGTGAACGTAGCCACGGCTAAATGGCCAGCTAGTCATATACAAGTCAACGAGAGTTCTTCATAGTGATGACCATGTGCATCGCCTGTGTTTAGGACATATGCTATTCGACAGTGATAGATAACGTTGTAGGGTAATTTTGCTATGATATTCCCCCTGGAGAGTAGATCAGTTGTATGATGAACCAGAAAGTGATATATGGTTGATTCTGAGGAGAGAGGCCATTCTCTCGAGTTCCTCAAACGAAAAAACTCCGATCTGTCTCTCCTTATTGGAGGTGTTATCTCTGCAGAGTTCTTCCAGAGAAGGAGCACTGTATTAGAGAGTAAATGCTAGGCCAGATAGCACACACACAAGCATCAAAAGCTTACCTTCACAGACTCTTCCTGGGCGCCAGGGTTGTTGGTTGAACATTGGACAGCATGTCTCACAGTTGGTGCCACAAGTGTTGTGTTGACAAACACATACCGCCCTAGGGACTCCCTTCAAGAGAAAATTGAAGTCAGAATGGGTGGTGCACTAATAGTATGTGAATAGTGGACGTGATGCGTAGTATGGTTTGAATAATCTTTTAGCTGGTGGTTTAACATCAGGACAGTGTATCTCATGCTGACATATATACATATATATATATATATATTGAATATCGTCCTGACGCTGTTAGTTACTCATTTTTGTGAAAGTCTAGTGCGGAAACTGCGCTGAGTTACGTCTTTTCAGTTGCAAACACACGATTAGTCTACAACAAACAGATTCTTGCCTAGTGCACGTAATTACTTAACCTGAACATAAACGACTACTCTGAGTCTCGTCATACTTTCTCGGCATAGTCTAACACACAAACTAGATGTGAGTTATTCATATGCTTCCGACGATTTCCAGTGAGAATGACAGAGCTCCGCAGTGCTTTTTGGATTTGCAAGCTTAAAGGGATCCACTCTCCTATCCCACTTGCAATCACGTCCATCTTTCTTGTGACATCCGGGTTGACACTTTTTGATTATGCGAAACTTTATTTGTTAAATTGATTAGGTTTATGCATATATGTATATATGTCTGAATGTATAAATAAGGGCCCAATAACTAAGTACCAAAAAGGCTTCCTTTCCTCGAGTGGGTGTTTTCAATTTTATCTGTTCTTCTTAATAAGGAACTACCCCTGGTAAAATTCGGAACCCTCTGAAAGAGATTGGAAACCATTCGGTGATCCCGGCTTCGCCACTCCTCAACAGGAACCAATCTTCCAGAAACCACTGAACTACCTACACTACGTGGAATCACAATGGGATCCTGTTATCTTCTAGTGAGTGCAAAGGTAACCTAAAGCTCCGTTGGTCACTAGAGGTTTGCATTCATGCCAAATAAGCGTGGCGTATGGAGAACTAGGACCGTAGCTTTTGTGCACTGCAGCAAATCATAAGGAGTATGTTGAGATTTTCATTACTTGGGCAAGACGAAGTTAAGCACACTTCAAGTTATTAGTGAACTGAACGGGTCGATGATGACTTGGTTATTCGGTGGTTCATTCGGCTTTAAAGTTCAATGTCCTCAGATGCTGAAGTTGTAGGAAATGAAGCTTTTCTTTCCCTTAAAGTTAAAATGAAAACAGGTAGACTTCCCATACAAGACACATTACCCAACTGTCAATAACCAACCATAACTAAAGACAACCTATGAATTACTTATGGCTTCGTCGAAAACCATATAACTACTGGATGTTTTGCTTACGATTCTTGGAGAACAGTTAGCAGTTTGGATAGTATATCGCCGTTGAATACCAACCATGAGTTCGGTAACATTCTTAACCATAGTGACCGTGGGATACTCACCACCTCCTTCCGTAGTGACCGCTGAGAAAGGGGTATGGTTATGGTTTCTTCAAGGCAGGTTTTAAGATACGTCAACCTGTTGAAACCAAAGCTAAGTCTTTAAACATTTGACCGAAAACCGAGACTGACGCCGAAAGTGGACCAAGGTCAATATTGACAGTGCAACAAAGACCATTTTCGCTAGCCATTTCGAAACAGCTGAGGGTCCTGATTCGGGAATTTAAGACATGGAATTTCGTCACCTGATATGAAGAGAAATGCCCATATAACGTTAAACGAATATAAGGGTGTTTCGACCATCACTGAGATCCTCACTGGTGCACCAACCTTGACTAACATAGTATAGCAGTGTGCTTTCAAAACTCTCTCCATTAACTGTCCTCGGCTTTCGATAAAGTAATGGAGCATCAAAGAAAATGAATATTAATTTACGAATCCTCGTAACGTAAACGGTAACAGTTTAAAAGATCGACTTACGTCTACTACTCGCTGTTCACAACGATTTGCATGGCTGTTACAAATGCATTTTCCACCAACTTTGATGGTCCGAATAGAATAGTAGTACTGAAAGTGTTGGAAAAGATTAAAACCAGAAAAAACATACAAAGGAATTAAAATCAGTTCTTTTAGAATTTAAGGGGTTAATGTTGCTATTTAGATCAATAATTCATGATGCTGCCCGGCCAACCTCTCCCAGTAGAAACCTATTCGAAGGAAGACTGTCCTTCAAAAGCGTCCATGAGAGCTTTCCTCAACAGGCATGGCTCCATTTTAAAGATCAGCTCTCCAAGCTAGACCAAATGTCTGCATTTCTCACCGTGAGCATCCTTTCCCAAGCCTGATTTATTATGTTTAGGTACAAGAATTTGAAAACCCAATGGTGATTGTTTCTTCTGTCGTTACTTGAGAGTATACAGTTCCAAAATGACAAGCTAATAATCTTGTATGAAAAAACACCCCAAAGGAACGCCAGAATCGGTCACCGTCTGGAGATGACCTTAGAAACTAAACATTTGCTTTGTTTTTTGTAAACTTTTATGGCCATGATGTTTACTTTTGGCCAATTCCAAAACGTTTTTTCAAAAGAACTTGTCCAGTATGCTAAGATAGCCTTCCCCAGAGGCACTACATCATAACTAGTTGCTTCAAAAAATCTTAGATTCACTCAACAGTTTGGGTTGTGTAAATCCCCAAGTTTAAATCGGTTGAGTCATCAGCATGCTGACAGACATTTTCATTCCATCGTCGCGGTCAGAATTTCGTCCGTTTCGACAAAAATTTGGAACCTACGTCTTCTTCCCTGATTATCAAGCAAATTGAAATTCATCTTGTTTGTCCATTTCAGTGTTTAGAAACAGGTCAGAGATTGCCTTGCAGCCTAGCATGTGCAATCCACAACTAATCTCGTCCGAGAAAACGGATGTTGGCTTTACGTCTGTAGGATACAGACAATAACATGCTAGGAGTTCCTCATTGATGTTCTAGCCCTACAAAATGCACAATCTTGGGTGCTCAGTAGTTATGGGAACATTATAAAATTGGTCATGCGAGTGGAAGAGCTATGATTAGAAGGAAGTGAAAGTTCTGAAACGTTTTGTTGATAATTTATTCATGACCGGGTGGCATTTTCTCGATAGGAGCCTAGATGAGGAGTTTTCCGCACACGCTGACAGAAGAAATTGTAGAATTGAAAATCGATTGATATTAGAGGGGTGTCTTTGTGCGAGAGGATTTATATTGGGGCCAGTTATCAGATTATCCTAATAATTCACTTTTGTACTCTGCTACATGTGTAGCAGACTGATGTCGATATATTAGACTAAAACTACACTTACACGATGAGTCGAAAGTTTGTAAAGGCCCCTTTGATGAAGATGTAGTTTTACCTGGACAACAACTGCTGACATAAGAATGATTCTGTCATACACAATTTTTCACTAAAAGAAAACAACTGGTCAAGAACATCCATAACCCACTTTATAAGTACCATCGAAATCGAGTGTTCTCTGTTTTATTGTCGTTTCTTCTATGCGGCAACTTAGGCTTGCCTCATTCGGTTGCAATGTTGGATTAAGCTGGAAAATTCAGCTTTCGATCATCCGTAAGTTTTCGATTTGCGCGGTTCTGTAACCCAGCTTCAGGATTCTAGTTAACAAAGTTTAATTTCTCTTCTACTCGTTTTTTGGTTGATATCAGTCCCCAACTTGGGTTCCAGTTATAATTATCACAAAGATGACCCATCATTAGGAAGATCACCTAAGATAACAAACGTAAATTCGTCTCTGAGACAAACAGAAACAGGAAATGCGAACTTAAAAGTTGACCCGGAATATTCCATAGACCAGCTGTAAGAATCGTATCTGTACACCTTTCGGTATGTTGTTCTGTTGGCTCCTCCCCGTTTGTTTATGTACCGAGTATGTTTGGTCCTGGCCTAATGGCAGGCGACCTAGTTGTGTAAGCACAAACCCGGAAAGCCGGTTAACAATGAATATCCGATTACTCTTCGCGTGTGTGCTGCATGGACTGATGAGAACAAGGCACACGCAGATGGCAATTTCTGCACAAGTCGTGTTGCGCGTGTGTGTGGTGTAAGGTAATTCGCTACACATTTGGCATGGTGCCTGGTCTCACCCGAGGGACGTGACTCTGTGTAAGGATGTTTCACATCTCTTTCTGTCAGTCTAAATTAAATTTGGTGTGTGCAGTCCGTTTGTTTACACAGGATCAGTGATACAAACATTCTCTGCATGTGTATGTGTGCGTGTGTGTATGTGCGTTTGATACCCTCCACCATAGCCACCAGCATTCTTGGTACCGTCGGTCTCGTTTTCAGGATACTCTAGGTTGGCTCGATCGGAACGCGAACAGTTTACGTACAGTGGTAGAGGTTGCAGTGTTGTTTAACTTGGTCCATCGGCGAGTCTATGGTCAAAGTTTTTGTATGCATGAACCCGATTCAGTGGTTAATCAGGTCGGCATTGGTCTATCTAACCCCAGCTTGTAACTGTTGGTCACGGTGGCAATTTTTCTGGCTAGAGAGGAGCCGATCATAATATTTTACTCACGAAAACACGATGGTTGCAGAGTTGCGCTGAATTTCACGGTGATTAGACCGCCCCAGATGGGTACACTTTGATAACTTCAGAACGTTTGAAGTTCAGGTGCATGAATGACAGAAGACAAGCCTGAATATGGATCCGTCCAACTGATCTGCTTATCGGACCGGTCCTATAACAACCGAACTACTGAAGATGCTTGCTCTAGGTTACACTCATGAACGCGAACTTCCTACGATACTGACCACACATACTAATAGTCCGTATCTCTCAGCAGCACTTGCGACAAATGTTGATATGGTCCATCTACACAAAAGAAGTTGGTGCGAGTTGTGTTAGAATGGGAGAGAATTTAGAGCCAATTATCACTGAAGCAGCATCTGTCCTACAAACAAAAAGCAGTTGGGTTGAATTTAACATCGGAAGGCTGTTCGGTTCGTGCTCGAGGTATCGTTCATTTTTTAGTATCACAGTCACAAACGTTGAAATTCAAGCAGAAGTTGGGGAATATGCAGAGGGACATGTAAAAGAGAAAAAATCTCTAGACGTGGGGAGTTTTACTCGTGGATTAGGCCGGTGTATGGCTTTAAACAATATGCATGAAATAGCTCATCCGCTCCAGCTAAGACGTCAGATAACATATCAGGCATTTCAATTTCAAATGCTGATTTCAAGCGAAACCTTTTCTTGTGTTGATGAAAATAGCCTTGCACGTTCCAATCATCAGAGCAATTTACTGACATGAGATTGATGGGGATTTGATGAGGACCAACATAAGGTCAAATGACTGATGTGCAGTTTTCAGGCGGTAACTCAAGACTGCTCTTCTCACTCCTGCTTGCTACATGACCTAAAGCTGTTATCTGTCACTTTTGTATAGGTGGCTGATGAGCCACGCAAACTTTGATGTTAGCCAGTCCTGGAACCATACGGCGAAGAAACAGTGCGGTGAAACCATCTTAACTTTTCAACCAGCACTCAGGTCAAACAGCTGAGTTCACTCTCAACACGGCATTGTTAGCCGTTTTTCCTACTAGACTCGGTTAAAAGGTTAGTTTAAACAGACAGTAGTCTTAGGGACGTCAGACATTTACAATGTGTGATTGAGCGGTGAAAGCTGGATTGGGCAACTCTACCGATGAATCATCTGTCGTAGTCACTTACACTTACCTCATTCAATTACCATCATTCTTCTCTGTTAGTAAAATGATAACGATAGCAGATCAATGAGACTTACGGCTCATTTGCACTATTACGTGTCCCATCCACAGTCTTGTAGAACTGTTGCCCATTTGTGGTGTATCCTCTGCTCATTGTGAAAACATACCATGTACGAAAAATGTAGTCGGATTTTTGTTTGCCGGTGGCAGTAAATTTTGATGTAGTTGGTTTAGATTGCACCTTCATGTACAAAAATCTCCCCGGGAAGAGAACGCAAATATAGTTCATTTACTGCAACAGGCTTTGCCAACAAGTCTCTGCGTAGCCCCGGAAACTCTGATAGTTCACACCTACCGTGAGATAAGCCCCCGAATTCTTCTACTGGATTGATTCATTGACATTTAGTAGTTTTATTCAGTTTAGGGTTAGTGGATATAAGACGATAATTTCCTCGATAGCTTTTTGGCTGGTTCAAACAAATCATTGATGACCTTGAGGAAAGTATGTACCAAAGTATGTACCACCAAAAATCGCTTGAATTAATGTTTTTCTGGTCAACTGACCAAAAACATGTAAATACTTATCTACTACGGCATTCTAAACGTCCGTATCTACAAGTGAGACCCCTCCTGAAAGAATCCTTACCCGAAGCACCACCCTTAAGCCATAACCTATGGTGCATTCCATACGATGCAAGTTCGGTTCCCGTAGACGGCAAATGCTTCCATCAACAGGGCCTTCATGATTGGCATAGAGCAACTTTGTTGCAACGGTCAGTACTACTACTTCTGCCAACAGCAGTGCTGGTTTGGCTTTAAACAATAAGCTGACATTTTACAAAGGCAGGCAAAACAACGTACGCGGTTGTAAACTGAGCTGTCCAGTTGATTCGGCATGGCCATCCAATCTCCAGAAAGTGTCTGCAGCTTTTGAAACCGTAGCCGTACATAGCGGGCAGACAAAAAATCCTGAGGGGATGTATAAACTGCATGGTATAGGAATCATGTAGGAAGTTAGGGTGTGCAGTCGTACCTGAACCTGTTCACTGAAGATTAGACGTTTCTATAAGCGTTACATACTACAGGAAATATAGAAAATCACAATCTAAATAGATCTTTATCCAGCTTTTTGATACCAAGCAAAAAAACTCGTGTATTTGAATTTCCATATGATAAACTTGCAAACTTTATAGATTAGTTCCTTTATTTTCCCAGGCTTTTAAAAAGTAACCGCGTAACTCCATGATGACTTAGTTGATCTAGTAAATTTCATGCTTACATCAAACGTTCCACTTATTTGAAATAATGCACAAGCTGTCCATTTTATATCTTCGGGATTCGTCGCTAATGCAGTAAGAATATCGTTCAAAGTATTAGCATTACAGAAATCATGTGTCTTCACAGTCAAATTTTTCCAACAAGGCCATTAGGCTCCATTCTTTCCATGCAAGATAACTTTGCAGTCAATGTGGATGGCCAGTTGCCCGAGGCGTAGATCAGTGGATACGGCAGTGACACTTGATTTGCTACGTAGACTGCATTCCAGAATGGTTACCTCCAGTTGTTCCAACCATAATTAAATGGTTACTGCAAACGTTTTAGCAGTCCATCATGGGGTTCGCTTTTTTTCTTCTGGTTAGTCTAGCTGTCAAATTTCTAACAACCTTATATTCTACCTGCATTTGCACTTTATTACTCCTCTGAGCTCATTATGGACTGAATCGGTACACAGTATTCAGAATTATGCAAGTCCAAGCATCGGATGAATTCCGATGACAAAATCACTTGATCTTTGTTCACAGTAATGGAAGTCAGTACATCCAACACATTTATTTCTGAGTCAGAGCCTGCCCAATACAATCATCCTAAGGACGGCAATATCACCAAACGTATGGTTGGTGGACTAACGCCAAGTTATTTAGTATCATATACACCGCTATTTAATAGATGGTTACTGTACAGTTTGCATAGTTCTATGCTAGGAGAGTGAATGCTTGCTAGAGAATACCGGTGTTTCGATGATATCCAATAAAATCTTGTCTGTGCCAGTTGTTATGCCATCAGGTTAACGCCGGTTGATGACGTGTAACAGACCTCTGAATATTCGCCTACCGATCTTAGTCACTCAGGTCTATATCGGTGACAGAGGCTTGCATACACCATCACATCTGACTCCGCTGGTGTGTGAAGGCGGTGGCTACCGTGGCTTGGCCACAATAGATCGAACACCAGTCATTCGCATAAAGTCAGTTGAATTTAACCAAAGGACTCATATGGAAACTGACGGTGGGAGAAAAAGGGCACGCGACAAAAGACTTACAATCAGTTTCGGTGAAACAGCACGTTCAAGTCCCAGTGTTGTCGAAATTGTGGAAGCCCGGTCGAGTGACAGAGTAACAATAATTTCACCAGATTGCAGAGCTTGCGGCTGGCTGTAGTACGTAGTACAGTAAACCTGAAAATTGGAGGTGCACATTTTTCATGACTTGTAGGACTGTACTACTGGCATTCGCGATTGCGTAAGTGTAGTGAACTGATGAACATTTTACGTTTACACCTCAACAACCGCAAAGTTTAAGTGACATCAGATGACAAAGCTTGTACGCCCAATTCAAGATAAAGAGGTAAGGATACCTGATTGCAAGATCAGTGAGGGTTTTTGGTAAACACCAGTCCTGTAGTAAACACTGGAATACCGCTACTTACTTCATCATCTTCCAACTTCCAAGGCCTTGGACCACTGGTTACCGTCAGTGCTCCTTCCAACAATGGTTCGTACAGTCGTTTGCAGTCATACTCACTTTCCGCAAAAAACACCCACGGCTTATAATTTTGGCCATCCAGAGAACGTTCCAAAATCCAGTTGGCTGGTCTCGGACTGTCACCCATCCGGAGCAGAACATACACAATTTGGTACACCTGAAAAAACGAGCAGAAATTATGCACCGAAACTCTCCCAAAGATTCATGAAAACCAGCGAGTGACAAATTTACTTACTGGAAGCCAGGGAGACATCCCTGGACTAGGTCTTTCACAGAGTTGAGGAATCAGTCCCTGTTGACGACTCATCATTCCGCCTTGGAGCAGTAAAAAACACCGGTGTACGTTATCGTACGCATGTACTTATAAGCAGCTGAACTGATTTCTAAGCTTCACCTAGTGACATTCCAACTGGCCTAATAAGAAAATGTCTTTCTTTAGAACAAACTAAGAAACGGTACACGTACTGACTGACGTTTAGGATCCGTATTGAGTAAAAACAAATCTTGTTGCCTAGTAGTGATAGCGGTACAGTAGTATAGTACATTACCAAGGTGAACATATGGTCAAAACCGTTAGGGGCAGAACCAACGGTACGTGGATTCTACTGAAATCGCGAAGTCACAGGGACAAGAGATCACAGCTACAATGACCTAGGTAAATTTCCAACTCGTAATTCCCAAGTACGCACGTCAAGGCTCAGTAGAATTTCAACTAATTAGGACACTTTCCTTCATTGCCGAAACAATAGCCGATCGTTTCCAGCATGGACCTATGATTAACCTCATTATTCTGAGCCACAAAATTTTCACAAAAATGCGCTGCTTTGTTTACGGAAACCAAAAAAATCAAGCCAGGGTTGCTAGAAAGCAAATTAATCACCGGAGCCCTGTGCATTAGGGTAATATAAAAGAACAGCCCAGAAGTCTCTATCTTCAACCACAGAACAGCCTCTCATTGGGTTCCCCAACCAAGGCCTATTAGACTGCTGCTCCTAGAGTCAGTCAATTGCAACAACTTTCCAATTCAAATAAAGTGTGATTACGATATGAAAGATGCGTTAGCTGAAGACATGAACATAAAATCTGACGTTTCCGTTATTGCCGTATTGACTGGGTTGATTCAAGACTAAAGAAAAGAAACACTCTTTACGTGCCTGTTTAAAATCCATTGTGATTGTGACAGCGTGGTACTTGAGGCCCTCGGCCAAGGAAGGACTTTGCCACCACAAATGGGGTTCACCACTGCGGACAAACTCAATCGGATGACGTAGAGATTCATTGCGTGCGTCACAAAAGCTGCATTGAACCCACTGTCCGCTTGGATCCCGGTAAGATCTTGGTTGCTGCTGGAAATACGTCATCACCTGACGTCTGTCGCGCTCCAGGCTAATGATAAAAAAGAAAACAATAAATAATTTTCAAAGTAATTAAACGTCGGTGGTCAAAAGTTATTAGTTTAAAAGACTTGTAAGCAGACGCCTGTTTGGCAACTCTTGTGCAATGAAGCCTTTGCACCCTTTCTCCGAGATGCAGCTGTTCCCTCTATTAGGACTGCCTGATGGAACTGATCAACACAGTCCCATTTTGAAGGCACAGTAAAGGGCCGTAACGGCCAACGAAAGTCAATCAACGATGTTTCTCTTAAAGATAGTCTTTCATGGGAATTATATTTATAAAAATAAAACAACTGTGTGAAATTATTTTTGATTTAGTGGAACACCAACACAAGGTAACATCTATCCCGTCACAACTGCATATATGCACAAATTTCTCCAGTAAAACACCACGAAGGAACAAGTTGAATGAGACATGGAGCACTGCATCGCGGATGAGCCGAAATTTTCGAAGTATCCACATATAGTTACCTTCTTACTTGACGACTTTATGGATGACGGATACTAAACTCGGTTTGGTGTTGCTCTCATTACTTCGCCCAGAGACACTGAAAGATGGTAGTTTTAATGAGTGAATATATTCCTAGCAACTTCGAAAATCGATAAATTTTCATGTTTTCAAGGTATCCACCAAATTTGTTTCAAGAGACAAGAGCGGATAACTAGGTGGAGTTTCCCCTAGGCGGAAATTAAGGTAGTAACCGCGTTTAGCCGTTTTGGTTTGCACTAAACTGTGTTGCACATTTTTTTCTGATCTTATTTGAAGCTCCTGGTTGTCGGGTTCTGATTCAGAATCAATCACAATATTCTTCAGTTAAGGGAATCCGCTCCACAGAAAGCGAAACTTCCTTGTAAGTAGATTCATCTCTAGAAATAAGCACACCTCAATAAAGATCACTGCTGGTCAATCATTTGAGATGGCCTCTCCAGAAATGGCAAATGCAATACAAAATCAGAGCCAGTCAGATCGTCGTACCATGCTTGACCGATAATTTCCGAAGCAACAAAGCGTACCAATTCGGTTTGACCAAACGAGTCTACGACGGAAAATCCGCATATGCCAATAGGTCACAAGTAGTACGACGGTGTCGCAGCCTATGTAAATTTTATTTCAGAGAGCTGCTATGTTCCAGATCACGTATGAATGCTTGGCCAAAGTGACGCCAAAACTTTGAACGGTATGAGTGATACGGATGGAGATGGAGATGGGAGTCCTTTCCTCAGCAAACCGGTCTGTCCAAGACAAAGGAACATAGCGCAATACTCCCCCCATGTAGTAGGTTGGACAATCCGTACTGACTTGCATCATTAAGTTACTCCCGACTTAGCTTTGCTGTATCAACGATTTTTTCCACTACTATGCTCGTCATAATAGCTTATTGTATGACCTTCCAATGGCAGCTTCAGTGCAACAGCGAGAATAAAAACAGCGAGCGTGTGTTTAAAAAACTTGGCAATACGCAAGACAAATATCACTGATTTATAGCCAAATGAATGAATTCAAGTTCCGCCCAATGGATTTGTTTTTGGTACTGAAGTCTCCATCCAGAAGTTTTGAAATATTTGTATTAAACGTTGATTCAAAGTCGATGCACTTTGTGTATTCGGGCAACAGACCTAGTCGTCTGTCAACACGCAAGGTGATAATGAAGTTTCCTTATGTGCCCGGAGACAAAAACTAACAATATCCCAGCAAAAAAACAAAGAAAACTTTGTACAACCTGAGAGTGCCCGGAAGAGTTTCATTCAGACTTGTGCTCAACTGACCTTGTCCCAAGTGGAACAGAAGCACGACTAAGACAACACAAAACCAAAACCAGTTAGTGTGTACCGCTTATCAGGCTGCGCAAGACGTGGATTACGATTTGAATTAAATGGTCAAACAGTTCAGGGTTCCAAACCTCAGTGTAATTTTGGGTATAAAAAAACAGGCAAGATCAAGTGTAGGGCGTTATCGCTTGTTTGTTAGACAAATAGGTGATGAAAATGCGCGTATTCTAGTTTTCCGATGCACATAATTCTGAATCCCATCCACCAAGTAATGTTACCCGTAGGGAGACAGCTCCCATTCACTCGTGAGTGTTTCACTTTCAAGGTGGAAATAGAATTGACTTAGCGGTGACAATCTGGGGAATTCGAAGTTTTTCAACTGCTGGCACTTGGCTCGTTGCTCTCCGGATCACGAGCACAATGAAGATTAAGTAAGTCGTTTCGTAGTGATGTCTTCATTCACAGATGTCATGTATAGTGTTGGCATTATAAAGGTGATCGAATCAGTTTGGTTCCTTTTCAGTCAGTGTGCATTTCTCGGTTGTTGGTTGAGAGAAGACTGGTAGTAATGTTCTGACACAAGGTTACACATAAAAAACACCCTAAAATCTTCAAGCAAATTTATTCTAGCTATGCATTTAACTATCGTTTAAGATGTTCAGCATGAAGTATTTACTGGACAAGTATTATCTTTTCTCGTAGCAGGATAGTGGCTAATACACACTATTCCACACATATATTATATACTGTTACGCACCAAACCACTAACCAATGGACCGAAAAAGCTAAAAATGCTGCTCTGTCTTCATTACATTGTAAAACGCGTAGAAGATACTAAAATCAAACAGACCTATGCTCTCACCGTTTGTAGATCAAAGCTCCATCGGCGTGTTCTACCAGGCGGCAGTAGTATTCCCGTCTGTGTTCACCACAAGTTGCATTAGCAGTAATCTCCGCATTCTCTTCCAGAATGGAGTCTGGATCCATATCCAGAAAATCGGAATCATAGGTATAGGCTGACATAAAGAAAAAACAAGGCATGTTCAAAGGATTTGTTCAGCCTGTTCTTTCAGGCATGCATTCGCGTTCATGGTAAACGGGTTTTATATATGGTTGATTTAGGATGCTAATTCCCCCTATGAATGTAGTTTAAAAAACATGTAGTTATTTTTCAAACTGAGTTTGGAGTCAACAGGAAGCTCATTTGAAATTCGACTGAATCCTTCTCTAATGATACTGTTTAAGTGGACTCTTTAAAGAAAATCCGCCTCACGTTTCAGCTGAAACGATATCCAAGGTGCCAAAGTTATTTTTCTTGGCAGTAAAAATACCAGAAACACGAAATTTAGCTGGGACTCGGCTGTAGTTGTTTCTCGCTTTAAACGCATAATTCAGTGTTCAAGTGTGATAGGATTGGTGAGACCTCAGAGACCGGGCGTACCTGAATAGGACCGAGAAAAGCAAAATAAGTGGCAGGCCTTCCAGTTTTTATTGGCCGTATGACTAGCATCGGGTAACCGGCCCGCCCTAAGTTTGAAGGATTGTTGTAGTTGCTTAACCAAGTTTTTTGAACTGCCATCCCTGTTACAACCGGTAAAAATATTGATCAGTGTTTCAAGAGTTTATTTAAAGAGTCTTAATCGATGGAAAGCGACCAGCGGCTTTATGTTGTGAAACTAACCCTATTCCATCTTCACAATTAATCACGTAAACAGCCGAAACCAGGATCGCCAAAAATGTTAGAGACAGCCACTGCACCGACTGCAGTGATCATCAGTTATCACTTTTCCCAATGAAATTATTGCACAGTATGGGCCAACAACTCAATTTAGTCCGTTAATACCCATGAGGACGATTTCAACTGATGAATGTATGGTACCAATCTGAAACAAGTAGAACCGAAACTGCTTGGCATGTATCCATCTCAAGTTTATGGGTACAAATTTAATGCCAGATTTATCCATGCCTTCGAATTGCATCCATGTTGTCTGTGTGGACGGCTAAAGTACTAATCTAGCACGTTACTATTCTTTCTTAGTTTTCTGCCTTTGAACCGAACGCCTTTAATTTCTATATACTACATGATGCTGAAGCATGAATGCAGTAAAAGCATCAATGTTCTCAGACGGCGTTTGAAGCTACTAATAATGTTACTAATTTGTTGAAATTAACCAAGCGGTGGATGTCTTTAGGGATCGACTAAGTCCTCCGTGAGGAAAGGGAACGTAAATCGTTGGCAATGATAAAATCTTTGCTAATACCGTACGCATAGTATGATGTAATAATTTTATCCATACTGTATTCTCCCATTCGTACTTTACGTGAAGAGCCAGAAGCGTACGACTTCAGAGTTGAGAGCTACTTTTCAGAGAATGGTATTGTATTAGTCTTGAGCAAGTAGTTTATGAAGAGTACCTAACCAGCTCATCAAGGTAAACACATGTTTCTGAAATTCATTTATCCAGTCTCCGTGATGCGATTCTCGTCAGCTCTTTCTTCGATGACAAATCCTTTTTTCCACTACACTGTTCAGATGTTGGGATTACAAATTAAAGAATGACAGAGTAAGAATGCAATTAAATATGCCTTTCTAATAAGACGAATTTTTCATGTGTATAGTCTGATACGCAACTTGCTAAGTTTGTGCAGAAAGTGAGATGGTAATCGAGATTGGCTTATTCTTCTCCACCATCGTAAGCATTAGTCAGCCTATCTGTGTGTACAGCCAATGATGGTAGCAACAAAGGAACACAAGCCATCTAGTGCCAGTTACACTACTGTGTATACAGCCATACATACCACGAATTTACGTTGAGTTTGTTGGGTTGAATATGACTAACATTACTGGGTAGTTTCTTGTTGTTTAAGGAAGAGTCAGCCAAGTTATATGATTGGAAGGAAAAGAGCTCACCTGGGTTGAGCGCTAACTGCTTCGGTCCCTGGTTTTATATTCAGCCAATGTAAAGTATGCACAAACATATACACTTGTTATAAAGTAACACATATCAATATATATTAATATAACATTCACAAGACCTGAGGTGAAGATATAATAATTAAATTTAGTCCTCACAGGATCGTGTTGTTCAGCTGGTGCTGCGAGTTCAGATGCGGTTGGTATCACAGAATGATCCACTGTTTGATGTGCGCATTATACTACATCAGTTCTTGTCCCAATCGAAGTAATTACGGTTCCTCCAGCCTGACCGCTAATATAAATGCCTCTTTGTTGTGTTTGGCTATTTGCTGCGTTAAAATGTAATATTCTTAAGTATGTTTAGACGGAATTACTTTTCAATAATGCGGTGGACTAATAATAAGCAGTAATAGCGCCAGATAACTAGAGCATTCCAAATTGTCAGCAGTTAGACGCTTCTCACGTGATGTCAGTATATCTCTCGTGTTTCAGTTTTAGGGTCGAAATTTCCATAGGTTTATTTATTACGGTTAAAGTCTGTGATTTGAGAAGGTTGTTTAAAATAGATTGGCGTTGTTTCAAGCTTTTGGTGCAATAATCTCCGTTAACAGTGTGGCCGAAAATCTCGAAGTTTCGGCTTGACAACTTTGTTACAGAAAGTCTGTCTAAAAAGGCATGTTTCTGTGTGGAAACTTATCCAAATAACCCGTCTGGTAGGTAGGTTCTCTGAGTTGAGAAGAGCCACGGTTTAGGGCACGACTATCTGAAAAATATATCCTAAGTTTTCGAGTACAGGGTAATGTTTCGTCGTCGCAGGCGCTCCTGTGTGAAAGCAAGCATAACTCAAAAATAGCACAGCACCGTGGGTAGTAATCCCAGAGGAAACCCATATATCCAACCTTTTATTTGAATGGATTATGTCTTACATATTTTGTCGAGGTTCCTCGCCACAACTAGGCTTTACGTTAGTAAATATTGTGCAGAAAAACAACGGTAACCGACGTTTTTGATTAAGCACTACTGTACTTAGATATGAGAAGAGGATTCTATCTCTCACATTTAAAAGAACCACTAGAAGCGTTTCCAGGTGTACTGTCTTGAGCATGTCCCAAAAGAAGTTCTGTACCCGGTAAAACTTGACAGAATAAAATTGACTGACACAGATGACACATTCGCAAAAATTTATTTGATTTGACTTACCTTGAAATACGACTGGCCCATGTTCCAACTAACAAACTGCAACTATTGTGGCTACATTTGAGTAATATCACACATTATTTTGGTGAATGCCTATTGGAAATCATAATAAAAATTGTTGTATAGGCAATACCAAAACTTTGAAGCAGAGAGAAGGCACTCGACAAAGTTTACACACAAAATCGACACTCGATGGGATGATAGAAATTCAGCAACAGACGACGATAAGTATCTCGGATTAGTAACTCCAAAAGTTTTCAAGATGAAATCAAGTGGAAATATGGTGAAGCGGAATTCCTTTTTCAGGGTTAGGAAGACTTGGCCAGACGGCACGTTATTTAATGAACCATAAGGATAGAAGATGGTTCCATTTGCATCTTCCCAAGTTTGATCCCACAATAATCACAACAGCAGTAATAAACATGACGCTAGTAAAAAAGCAATATCGTCAGTCGTGGCAATCAATCATTGTGGATCCACGGATATGTCCTTGATGTAGAACACTCAGATAAACTTCTCGGTTATTTTCGAGAGCTCCGGTGAGCGCAAGATATGAAATCCGTGAAAAAATCTCCACCAGGGAAAATTTCTTATCAGTGTGAAAATAATCAGCTTTTCTGTACATTAAGTACTCTAAAGGTAGATAAACAAATGGTTTTGTTGGTAATGTGAGGAGATTTCGGATTTTTGTGGATATTTCGTCCTGTAAGTGGAGCCAATCTATGCTGAAAAGTCGAAAAGCACGGAAAACTGTTTCATCCTTATTGAGAATCGTCATGTTTTTTCTGAAATCATCAGATATGTGATTATCCATCGCTTGTTATACCAGGCGGAAACAAAACCCGATCCGAAAAGTAATTCGATTGATCTTGGGGATGTTTAATTTCAAAGGTTATCACGTCTGTTGTTGTGAGCTAACTAAGCATGATTAAGCTTATTGGCTGATTTCAGATCGCAGTTTAATTTGGAAACACCATATTGCTGATAAAGAGCCTTTTGTGTTTTATTTTCAGAAAATAGTACTCATTATTAAGTTGTTGAACCTCCGGTGAGAACAAAAATACAAAATTAACCCTGCTGAGCCTAATAAAATTTTCCAGATACCTAATTACTGTCTAATGAACTGCAGACAAAAGCTCCGAGGAACATCGCCCGCTACCACAATATGACATTTCATGAAATAAAGCAAGCGTATTGGAAGATTTAGGTGAAATTATGTGCCATTGGGTCTGGCACTTTATTCGAGTATAATCTGGCCTACCGATAAATGAAAGACGCATAAAAAGCTTTAGCTAGGCGGCCGTCGGCTTAGCAGATGCCGAAGAGATACAATGCGGTAAAAAAAATACGCGCCAATGAAAAAGGAACAACAGTTGAAAAATTTTTAGAATGAATAGATCGATGGGTTTTGAAAGTAAAGCGTTCGGGAAAAAGGTACCGACTTATAAAAATAGAAACCAAAAATTACTCAAATACTTCAGGAATGCCTTAACATATTAAATCAACAGATGTGTTGAAGCCTGCTACTTTCATGCGATAGTCCATTATATATACTGAATTAACTGTGCAGGATAAACCTTTGCAAAATCCCGAGCTGCTTGTTACTTCTTATGTTAAAATCGCCAAAAAGCCAAAACTAGATATTGATGAAAATGGCTTCCACAACTTTTGATGACACAGCATAGGTTGAAAATGTTTCGTAAATTTTAGGGGTCTGTAGGTCTTCTCCGCAAAGATGGAAGCCCAAGTTGTGGCAAAATATTTTGAGAGGAAGGCTAGCTAGAATACCGGCTAGTTTTGAGTGGTCAACCTGGCCTTCCCGCGCCAAAATTTGTTATTTTCCTTGCTTTCTTTATACTCTTTTGTTCCTTGGAGAACCGATTACTACTACTGGGCTTTGGCTACCATTTGTGTCTTACTATGTAACTGCAGGTCGTATGCAAAGCGGCGAAGAACTCAGGTGAATATTTTTAGAATTAGTCAAAAGGACTGTACGCTGTACTTAGAATTATTCATTCCTCAGTTCATTGAGAACGGATGGGTTGTATTAAATTTATGGCTTCATCAACGGGGCTATCAGACGGTTTACATAAGTGGATTTTACATTCCATTGGTCTACTTGGGTGAGAGTGAAACTTTGAAACCGTGGTTTTACGTGGCACGATTGATTTGTTACTGAAAATTAAAGAAGTTATGGCTTATTGCGAATCGTAAGTTTGGTATCACGGACTCAGAGACTCAGTACAACTTAAAACCATAACGTGATTTGCTAGTGGTGAGTCCCTTAGCAAGGAGTCCATGTAGAAACGCTCCAATTTGTTAAAATTGGCGCGGAAGCGTTGGATAGGGTAAGTTCACTAAACTTTTGTTGTTTCTAGCATCAGTCCGAATAGTGGGATTTTAGTTGGGGCTGTCCTTCGGTTGATATGTGGTGGGTGATTGCAACTGCCGGACCTAGTAGTTAGGGTGAACTCATGATGGTTCTTTTGGTACATTAGAAAGGTCCAGCGAAATGCCTTCTTTGTGTTTGTTAAAGAGTTAAAGTGAGACTAACCGCTTTAGGTGGATTTATTTTTGAGGTGCAGAGTTGTATATTTCCAGAGTGGTGGAGTTAATATAAATAGGATATGAGCGTGGCTTTCCCAAGTCTGAGCTTGAGCTTCTTACTGCACTCCAGATCAACCTAGCTGTTACATCCGCAGCAATTAAGGATTATCCCATGCCCTACAGAAGCGTTTCATGTCTATCGTGTAAGTAGGTTTTAAAAAGATCCAAGTCACTTAGGAGTTAAAAACTGGAACCTGCCATCTAAGTAAACACACTGTTAATTTATTAACAGTGCAACTGAGATTTATTGGTTATTTTTGACGCAGGTAGATGGATAGGCTCACGCAAAGGTTGGCCAGGTTCCCCAGAGGTTTCAAGTTAATCCTGGAGCCCAGCATATCCATATTTTCCAAATCATTCACTTCCAATATCCAGTAGGTTTATGTTGATTGCTGTCATTTGGAGTGGTTTACCAGTTTAGCGGTAATTACCCAATGGCAGGATAGGTGAGAATTGGTGAAGGCAAAGAAGGGACGTCAAATAATCCTATAGGTATTACGGTTTGTTTTTAACCTGGATATTCTTGAGATCTTCGTTACTTTATTTCATAGAGTTTCCCAATGTTCATTTCCTTTTCTGCTTCTTTTGTATTGGAAAAAATCAAGATTTAGTATTAGAAGGTTGATGGTTGCGATAAATTCTCCCTAGATTAGGAGATGTAGGCGCGTCTGCGTAGCCCTTCATTGAAACGAACTCCATTTTACGCTAACATAATTACTAGGCCAATTTTTAGCGATCTTATATACAGTGGTTAGTCAAAACTGGCCATCTTTGTTGCACACAAAATTGGGAGAACCCACCCAACTGCGCACTGATGATATTTCCTCGTATAGTGACAAAACGTTTGCAAGTCAGTTGCCAAGCTCGGCAAACAGATCAACAGCCCCCTGAATAACAACCAACGGGAGAAACTTGGTTAGTGCAAATTTATTTGGAAATGCATTTCAAACCAGTAATGGCCATGAGTAAGTATAATCCCTCTCAGTGACTTTGTGTTGCAGAAATAGTAAATGGCCTCCTAAGTTAGGTACAGGTCATAGAGTGGAGAGTCTTCTGTAGTGATGAGACAAATTTCAATATATTTCTAAGGTAATAATCAAATTACTTCTCGGCGTCTGACATTCGATTTTGTAGAATTTTGATCGTTCCGGTTGGTGGTTAAAAGTCTGAAAAGCTAATCCTCTAGTAATGTAAGCTATTTTTCGTTAAGTCAATTCAACCGGAAAGCCTTTTTGAGAAAGAGTGACCCATCTAAATATTCGCTTCAAGTATAAAACCAACCGGCTTAACAGCTTTCATTCAGATTCTTTTGACCGAACAAAATTTTTATGACCGCTTTTTGCTTCTTCTGACAGCAAAAGACCAATTAATGTCATAAAGAATAATTATTTGACAATCTTTCTTCGACAAACTAGGCTATTTGGCTTCCTTACGTTATGTCAAACACAGAGCGAATAACATTTATTTGCGGCAAGCGCCACCTTTTTTGTATTTTCTTAGTTTTGTGGCATAGAAAGCATGATTCAACGATCCTGACGTCCTCTGAACATCGGGCAGAGTATAATGGTTTTCACTGCCTACGTACGCAACTAACAAAAAATGACTTTGCGTATATGACAAATAAATTTGAATTCCAGTGGAAAACTGAGTGTGTTAAAATAAAAAGGATAAAGTCAACAGATTAATAGTGCAGAAATACTACAGTCCTTCAGAAATCCGCCCAAGAGTAGAGTGACAAGATTTTACATGACTTTTGATGAGAGTTCCAGCTGTTGTTTTCTGAAAATATCTTGCTCTGCAATTGTTTATCCCTGTGTGACAACGTTTGGTATCCAATAATAGAAGCAAATTCTAATAGTGTTAAAACTGCTGTGTCTTAGTAATCAGGGTAGTCGAAGTTAAGTGATAACTGGTCATTTGTCAGCACAGGCTCTAGCTGTAAGGCAGACTCTCCATCTGAGTTCCAAATATCACATTATTAATGGGTCCGCTTTCGAGGTGTTGGAATTTTGTAGTTCCTGTGATTTCCAAAAACTAACTGTATGGCCTGCAAGCAGCTTTGTGCCTGGAATTTTAAAACTTTTTTGGATTCAATAAAGAGTTGTACTTGTTGTTGAGAACGTTGAGCGATGAGTTGACGCGAAGTTTGGCACATCTCTGTTTCATTTTAACCTGTTCAGTCGACTAAAATTTGGCCCTGGCATTTGAATCATAGGTATTTTTGTTTATTCAGGCTTCCATGTAGGCTACCATGTATGAGTCAACCGCAGACGGTGAACAGTTATAGAAATGTGCTTCCAAAATTGATCACGTATTTATGGAGTGCATTAGCTGCATTCAGTTGTTGAACTGAAGATATGTTTGTGGCCTGTCGGCTCTGATTTCGATGCTTTGAAATAGACGGTTTTATGCTGGTCCATTACAGACCTATGCAAGCTTTACTGCAATTTTCAACAGATAAGGCTAATTATCTACCTATCACCGGTGAAATTTTCGAGTGTTCCATACTCTTGATAGAATAAATATATTCTGGGACTACTGGCTAACTGCGGCCACTGGAAAATTTTGGGTCCTTGTGTCTTTGGGATACAAGATAGAGTACGACTTTTGAAAGTTAAACCGAGGTCATCATGGATGAAACATTCATTATCGGATATTTAATTCCTAGATTCTCTCATCAGATAAGAGTTCGTGGTATATGCCGATTTCGTTTCATCGCAACCCTTGTGAATTTCTTCTCCATGAGCCTAAAATAGCTTTCTGGGGTCATGGCGGCAGTCCAGAGTTTTTTTGGCGCGCTCTCTCTACTTTTTTCACCCTAGTGTTGGTGACAATTATGAAATCGGTGCCATTTTCCAGATTGTGCGTGGATTCTTGATTACTACCAATACGATCAACGTTCCTTGGGGGCTAACCCAGATGTTCAGGCTTGCCAGGACATTTAGAGTTTCTATGAGACGGTAGAATGCTAGACTCTCTCTCTCTCTTGGGCACTGTTTTATACCCATGCTTTCCTTCTCTAAGCTTTCTTCGTGAGACACCCAGCACTTTCACGCGTAGCCCAAATGACACATTCTCCGTAATATAGATTAAGGCTGATCATCCACCGGGTTTTCTTTTACCCATGCCTTTGTCAGCTTTTATGATCTTACGTTGCTATCGTATGCCAGTTGCAGGAAAAACTTTAATGCATGCTTCAGTTTGCGATTTTGAACTTCCTGACTGAACATCTCCACGGTAAAATTTTCTGAAACATCCAGCAAGTCGCGAACTTCCACTAAGACTCGTTGTAACCCTATAGTTTAAATGCCTTCGAAAAACCAACAGACGTTGTCAAATTTTATCCGTCAACTCCAGTTTTAAATATTTGACTGAACCCTGCATTAAGGTTAACAATTTTCATATCCAGGCTGGCGGTATCACTGACATAGCAGCTTAATAAAACGCTGTTTTTGAAACATTCAAGATGTTAGTTAGGACACCGTGCACTAATGCTAGTCTGGCGTTCAACTTCCCACGTCTTAAAAATGCAATAATACGAACTTCGAGTCCCTATTCGAAAAGTGGAGCATGTGAGCTGAATGAATAATTGGAAGCACTACGAGATACTTACGCAAATACCCCTGTCCGTAAGCAGTGAACAAAATGAGGGACAATAGCCCTGCGGTGCTCATCAACCAGTACATTGTTCATGTACGTGTTAACGGCTGACACCGTTTAAAAAAGGCGCTTTTGGCCTTTGGTTCAAGGTTGCGGGGCCGAATCGTCCCATAAGCTCGCACTTCAAGTGGTCTTTTAGGAATCATTGCAACTTCACCATACCAGAGTATTTCTAAGAGTTGGGAGTGCTAGATTCTGCGGGGTGATGATGGGGAGACAACCCCCGTGATGAGTACAAGTTGCAGAAATAAAATGTTTTCTTCGTTCAACACTAATTTTTCACTAGCTCCTTGTGTTCTGTTTTTCCCTTCTCCGTTCCTTCTTGTTTGTATATTTCCTTTTTTCTATGGTAACCTTGCACAGGTTAAGATTATATTACAAAAGCAACATCAGTTAACGGCCGATTTCAGGAAGCCAGCATACTTGCTGGCTTGGACTGGAGATGAGAATTTTCACTCTGGTGGCTAAAACATTTAAACCGCCAATAGTAACTACTTGGATGTTGTGGGGCAGCGTCGCGTTTTTGAGGAACTTGGGGTATCCAGGGCCAAGTTTATTGAAGCGTTGGTGCCTGTTTTCGTGAGGCCACCAGTGTGGGCTTTTCCCCGTACCGGTTAGAGTAAGGCTGCGCCGTTATTTGAAGGAGGCTTGAAAAGCATCTACACATACTTCTGTCACAGATTTGATGAGTGATGTGGACTTTTTCATCCATTTTTAAGATTCTCGAATTTACATCGCAGGATGCACATTTCTATGGAGAATTTGGTGATCTTCCAACGTTTGTGCGTTTCCACCATGGGTGATCTAAGTGCCTCATTGTCCTCCATTACCAATGCTGGATTCGGGGGGGCTGCTGGTGCTATTGGCTTTGTGCCATAGTTTGTTGGGCCTTTATTCGCAGCGATCAAGCAGGAAATTATTTCCGGCTGACAGGTTGTTTATTAGATCATGTGAGAAGTACAGAAACACCTCAAATTCTGAGGAGAAATAAGGATTACCCAAATAAGCCGTCGGTGAGAATGAGGTCAGCTGGACAGAGATCTTCGTGTGAAACGTCTCTTTCTCTAGGACTACCATCAGTAACGAAAGATACGACAGACAGATGAGTCGCGTACCTGTCGAGTGATACACGTTTAGTGTCGTGAGGTCAGCTGGACAGAGATCTTCGTGTGAAACGTCTCTTTCTCTAGGACTACCATCAGTAACGAAAGATACGACAGACAGATGAGTCGCGTACCTGTCGAGTGATACACGCTTAATGTCGAACCGTACGAACTTCCGGATTAGGAATTTGTCAGAATCTGTGAGAAAAATTACGGGATTAAGGAGTACACATGGGTTTTTTTATCTGCACAGAGGTCAATAATTCAGGGTAATCCGCCTCTTGAGCAAGCCTGTCAATAAAGGAAGTACTTGACTTTGCTTAGTTTTCCATGTATATGTCCTCCGAAAGGCGGATCGTGAATGTGAAAATGCTTGGTTGACAGTCTTGGCGGGTGAACTAATATCACCTGTAAATTCAACCGAAAGGTACAGGGAACCAACAGAGCGACATGCATGCTTGCCCACGCGGAACTAATACGAAACAGCGCAAACAATAGAACTAGGTGTGCGGACACCAGAACACGGCTGCAGTTAATTAAAGTGAATGGCATTGTGGAGGAGTGAAGTGAAAATGAAAAGTTTAATTCACCGTGACAGCCAGAAGTTTAAAAATGATAGAACTCAAATTATATGTGCCAAAACACCTTCAGCTGTTGTGGCTAAATCGACGGTTAATTTGGTCAGCCAACGTTAGTTTAAACGAGATAAGCCTGCCGATGGGATTTCATGTATAATTGGAAGCCAATGTGTCCAGTATGGACGGAAAACGTCACTTTAACGAACGGGTCAAGGTGGGGGGGGAACTGGGAAAGTCGCATAAAAATATAAGGGTTGCTAGTTTTCTGACACTTTCTAGAGATCTGGACATATTCGTGACGCGGCAAAACAGAATACAAAAACGGGGAGGCTGGTGTAACCTCGAAGCACGTAGCAGACGTATCGGATCCGGCACTCCGTGCTAAGCGTTCCAATAGGCAAATCGAATGTTGTAAAACGAATATCTGACGCACGCAAGTATTTATCCAGTGAATGCACACCAAAAGCGAAGAATTAATCCATTTATTCGCCTCCCTTCAGGATTCATACGGATTGCGTATTTAAAAACGGTGCTAACGACAGTAAATTCATCAGCGTCTTAATGCTTTTTACTTGTTTATATACCCCTGGTGACAATGGCTATCGTTTGTCCCCCTGAATCGTCTTCGTGCAGATAACAATGGAAAGAAGTTAGTCAATTGGCCTTTGCTGTGACGCTATTGCCAAAAAACCCGTCTTACCTATCCGATGGGGCTCTAATTTGAGCCATCACCATAAGAATTGTAGTTATTTTTAAAGATAAGTGAAGCCATGAATCACTCCAACTTTTTCAACAAGCTCGTGGCAAAAATGCAAATTAAATAAATTACCGGGTGACCGGTTGGCGTTAACGTCGGTGCCCTTCAACTAGGGCATCAAATAGTTTCAGTCCTTCCAAGTGAATTCACGTATTCCTCTTTTTCCCTCTATCAGTTCAGATAGTTGAACAATTTTTGTACAACTCGCTATCACTTTTGAAAGCGTTGTAGAATTCAACGAGCCGAATACACGAGCAGCTAGCGTGACTTCAACAGCTGGGATATTCCAAAGACTTTGATAAAATGATCATAGGAAGATACCAAGGGATTCACATATGTTTTATTAGCGACAGCATGTAAATTATGTTTTATACAGTGCAGGAAGGGAAGGAGTTTATGTTCATTATCCCCTGATGAGACGTGAACCATAGCAAACCAAACACAGGCTTAGAATATGCATATAAATGAATGCAACCAAGGAATAAATACGGTGGCACACGCGCGTATAATATGTGTGGCCTGTGTGATTGTTAATCGAGTTACCTGGAAAAGGGCGGCGGTTACAAGCAAATGGAAAACAGAAGGCTGGAAACTGACCCTATAACTGGGAGAGGGTAGAGTCAGAAAGATGTTACTGCTGATCACCCAAAATCAAAAAGCAGCTGGGTAAGGATAAGGGATCTGTAGGTCTGGTTGTAGAATGGATGCTCTACGGCGGAGAAGAGGCTCCAGCGTGCCCGTAACGTATAACGCGGGAAAATAAGCCCGAGTTAGAACAGCGTGTTTAGGAACTGCAGCTACATGTGAATAAACTTCTTGATTCTCCTTCTGAAAGACGCCGTTCCTGTGGAGCTGTCACCGCGCAAGCGGCTGTGCTTAGAACAGCCTCTGACCAGGGTAACTTAGGGAATAGAACGAATTCATAGCCTACTGATGGGTGTCCTCTGTGATATAATAATAATAACAATAGGTTTACTTCCAAAGGTATGGGAAACATGCCGAAAGAAGCCTGATTTGCATTTTGTTACGGGTTTACATGAAATCGCGCTTCAGCATATTTTGGCGTTCTTCGGTGTTCCATAAGAACAAAGAACATCTAAAGAATATATAATGTAAATTCCAATCCAACTTGGCGGTCATTGATGTTTGCCTGCTTCACACTTCTCAGATTTAACACATGAGATGCTTCTTTCGGCGAACATGTTCAAAACACAACACAAAATGAATCTCAACTTCCATTAAGTTCATTAAGTCATTCATTCATTCATTCATTCATTCATTCATTCATTCATTCATTCATTCATTCATTCATTCATTCATTCATTCATTCATTCATTCATTCATTCATTCATTCATTCATTCATTCATTCATTCATTCATTCATTCATTCATTCATTCATTCATTCATTCATTCATTCATTCATTCATTCATTCATTCATTCATTCATTCATTCATTCATTCATTCATTCATTCATTCATTCATTCATTCATTCATTCATTCATTCATTCATTCATTCATTCATTCATTCATTCATTCATTCATTCATTCATTCATTCATTCATTCATTCATTCATTCATTCATTCATTCATTCATTCATTCATTCATTCATTCATTCATTCATTCATTCATTCATTCATTCATTCATTCATTCATTCATTCATTCATTCATTCATTCATTCATTCATTCATTCATTCATTCATTCATTCATTCATTCATTCATTCATTCATTCATTCATTCATTCATTCATTCATTCATTCATTCATTCATTCATTCATTCATTCATTCATTCATTCATTCATTCATTCATTCATTAAGTCCATTAAGTCCATTAAGTTTCATTAAGTTCATCGTCGTCACGCAACTGCATCTCTCTGAATGATCCCCTTTCCCAGACATGCATTACTAGCCTGTAGATGATACAGCGTCACGAAATAGCTGCAGGTGTCATCCGTATTGTAAATGTGACGTTCTATGTGTGGTGCCCGCCTTAAATTGGTCGTCATAATAGCGGTAGCCGTTATCATTCACTTTGATTGCTGGGTATGTGTCTATGTCGACGCCGATTATGGGGCCTCACCCAAGCACGTCAGTTTAATCCAATGACCAACGACGGCCTCTTATACTCATAACTCTATGCGTTGTCACTCATCTCGAATACTGCCAGGCCCGCGTCCATGTGTGACGCTGATTATGAGATCTCATCTATGCACAGCAACACAATCCAATGGCCAACGACTGTCCTTCATACACTGCCACTCATCTTTGCTACCCATATTAAACACCAGGCCAGTATATATGCGGGCCGATAAAGACAAGGCCCCGATTTTATGTGATATCCTAATCTAACGGCCAAAGACGGCCGGTCACACTGATTGGCAACGCCGATTTTGAGGTCCACAATACGCCAGGTAGCTCACGGCCCGTCATATTCCCGATTTTACTCAACGTTACCTGCCGGGACAGCTTATTGTAACTGCC